CTTCATTATTCTCTTTATCGAGAACAATTTTAGCCATTTGTTAATTGGTCCTCCGATTCCATATTATGAAATTTTGTTGTGCAGTTTCTTGTGTGGTACTGTGTCGAAAGCCATTGAAAAAATCAAGTATTGTAATGATAGTTTATATAAAACGGCATCAAATGATATTTTTCATGATGTGTCTGCTTATAGTGTGTTTGAAAAAATTGTATTATACAGATGTCAATGGAACTGATCTATAGATTTCTGCAGCATGTTTATCTCCTTTTTTTTTGAGCTCACCTGGCCGAAAGGCCAAGTGAGCTTTTATCATCACTTGTCGTCCGTCATTAACTTTTACAAAAATCTTCTCCTCTGTAACCACTGGGCCAAATTTAACCAGACTTGGCCACAATTATCATTTGGGTATTTAGTTTTAAAAATGTGTCTGATGACCCCGCCTGCCAAACAAGATGGCCGATATGCCGTTGATTAAAATAGAACATAGGGGTAAAATACAAGTCATGTGTGTCTATTATTTTGAAAACCGCTATAAGAAGAGAAATTCTGAGAGCAGGAAAAATGTTCAGCATGTTGTGCTCTTACTGTTGTCCATATAAGTCAAAACTGTCAGACGACTTCTTATAGGAGTTATTGCCTTTAAATGACGATTTTTACGATTTTTAAAATGTTTCCATATTATCTTGAAAATTAGAATAAATAGATAGAAACTTTTAAAAGCAAATCGAGATCTACAAACAAGTCAAACATGACCAAAATTGTAAGTCGACTCCTTATTGAAGTTATTGCCCTTTAATGTCGATTTTTGCATTTTTTGCCTGTCATCTTGAAAACTATAATAGATAAACAGAAACTTTATTAAGGAAAAATAATAGCAGGATAAGATCTACAAATATGTCAACATGACTGAAATTGTCAGTTAAATGTTAATAGAGTTATACCCCTTTAATGATGATTTTTACCAAAAGGTTGCCTTTAAGAGCCTCTAGTTTTAACCCCCCATGAGATGTTTGCCTTCGGTCATAGTAAAAGTATAGCCAAAGCCGGATAAGGGTGATATTCCCATTGTGATTTGCATTGGTGTTCACTTTAATTCCAGTTTACATCTATACTGCAATGAAGACCCATTGGTGGCCTTCGGCTGTTGTCTGCTCTATGGTCGGGTCGTTGTCTCTTTGACACATTCCCCATTTCCATTCTCAATTTTATAGTCAAAGTCAGTAAAACAAATGCTCTAATTGTGTATTATCGCACTATGGCCCTGCAGGGTGTGACAACAAATGTGTGACAACAAATGTGCAAGAAAATAAAATCAGTCTAAATGTGCGATTATGGGAAACTGCAGCTCAGTACCCTCGCATGAAAGCATCTAGTGAGGTACTATCCACCAAAAATAGTGAAAGGCTGTTTTATATACGTATACTGTCTGGGATGAAGGAATTTTTTAATTCTATATGTTGATGTTCTGGTATATGGGACAAGGAATCGTGTGGTATGTCCTGTAGCTACTGGTAATGTTGTATGCAGCTCTAGTATTGGTATTGATACGAAGCCATGTACAATTTTGTACATTATCATGTCTTCCTCTCAGCTATTGGTTGTCACCGTAGAGTGTTTAGCATTGATCCTACACTACTGGTATGTTGGTAGTCGTTCATTACAAACCGGGCTGATCATCTATGCATACTTTCTAATTTCTGCACGTGTATGTTGGTCTCAAATTGTACATGCATACTGAAGTAGTGGTCTTACTTGAGTTCTGTAGCATACAGCTTTTGTTTGTTGTGGACAGTGGTGCAGGTTTCTTTGGATAAAGCCCCCTCCCCCGTTGAATTACCCTTTTTAGTTATGTTCTCTATATGTGCGTGTTCCAATTTATAGTTTTATAGATTGGTACAAATAGGTATTTAGCCGAGTCAACCATTTCTAATGTATGCCCAACGGTATGTCATAACTTGCGGGATATGGTTAACGCGTGTTGGTCATGGCGTAAAAGTTGTCAGTTGCTGTGATGGAATTCCATTTGCCAGTCAGATTCCATCCGAGCAAGTTGTTCAGGTCTTCCTGGAGTAATTTTTAGTTTGCATCATTCTTGTATCCTTCTGCACAGTACGCAAATAAACTGTTGATGAATGTGCGTAGTATGGCAAGTCGTTGATGAATGTGCGTAGTATGGCAAGTCGTTGATGAATGTGCGTAGTATGGCAAGTCGTTGATAAAAGGAGAAACGTGAGTGGCACAAGTGCACTGGTGCAGTTTGTGATGTTTTGCCTTGTTTCTGAGGCTCAGAAAATACCTTATACACTGAAGTGTCGATCCGATGATACCTTTGCAGAATTATATCTCATGAGGGAATTTATCGGATGCCTTCGAAAAATCGAGCAAGATAAGGGGGTATCAATCGTATTCAATCGATACTATCGTACCATAGTTGATCAACTTAATCGTTTCTATTACTTTCTTAATTGAAAGGAAATAGAATGAAATAGTTGAGTCGTTTTTTTCTTTCTGTTTCTGTACTGATTTGAAGAGTTGGATGCTAAGAATAGCCTTTCATATCAAACTGAAGAGTTAATTGAATCGACAGCTGATGATCACTTTTTAGCTCACCTGGCCAGAAGGGCCAAGTGAGCTTTTCTCATCACTTGGCGTCCGTCGTCCGTCGTCGTCGTCAACTTTTTACATTTTGAACTTCTTCTAGAGAACCACTGAATGGAATGAAACCAAACATGGCATGAGTGTTCCTTATGAGGTGTTGACCAAGTGTTGTTACTTTGTAGCTGATCCATCATCCAAGATGGCCGCCAGCGGGGGACTTCGTTTAACATAGGACCCTAAGGACAATACATACAAATGTCTTCTTTTAGAGAACCACTGAATGGAATGACACCAAACATAGTATGAATGTTCCTTATGAGGTGCTGACCAAGTGCTGTAACTTTGCAGGTGATCCATCCTCCAAGATGGCCGCCAGCGGGGGACTTAGTTTAACATAGGAACCTACGGACAATACATACAAATGTCTTCTTTTAGAGAACCATTGAATGGAATCAAACCAAACATGGCATGAATGTTCCTTATGAGGTGCTGACCAAGTGTTGTTACAATGAAGCCGATCCGTCATCCAAGATGGCCACCAGAGAGGGACATAGTTTAACATAAGACCCTATGGACAATACGTACAAATGTATTCCTTTAGAGAACCACTGAATGGAATGAAACCAAACATGGTATGAATGTTCCTTATGAGGTGCTGACCAAGTGTAGTTACTCTGAAGCCGATCCATCATCCAAGATGGCCGCCAGCAGGGAACTTCGTTTAACATAGGACCCTATTGACAATACATACAAATGTCTTCTTTTAGAGAACCACTGAATGGAATGAAACCAAACATGGCATGAATGTTCCTAATGTGGTGCTGACTAAGTGTTGTTACTTTGTAGCCAATCAATCATCCAAGATGGCTGCCAGAGGGGAACTTAGTTTAACAAAGGACCAGATGTGAAATACATACAAAAGTCTTCTTCTGAAAAACACTGAATGGAATGAAACCAAACATGGCATGAATGTTTCTTATGAGGTGCTGACCAAGTGTTGTTACTTTGTAGCAAATCCATCAACCAAGATGGCTGCCAACGGGGGACTTAGTTTAACAAAGGACCCTATGGGAAATATATACAAATATCTTCTTCTAGAAAACCGCTTAATGGATTGAAACCAAACATGGCATGAATGTTTCTTTTGACGTGCTGACCAAGTTTTGTTACTTTGTAGCAGATTTGTCATTGTCCTTATAAAGTCATTTTCTACAGTTTCAATGAATTTATTGGTAATTTCGGTAAACTTTACAAAAGTCTTCTGCTTTTGATTAAATTACGGGGCCAATATTAAACCAAATTTGGCCTCAATCATTATTAGGGTATCTGTTATGATTTTAATCTATTTTTACATGATTTCCAAAACCAAAGTAGAATCAGGTGAGCGACACAGGCTCTTGTGAGCCTCTAGTTTTCGATTCTGTCGATTGTAATTATCGTGCTTTTCGTATTAATTTGAGTTGATTGAATCGACAGCCGATGTTCAATTGTGACAGGCACTTGTCTCTGAAAACAAATTCCTATAGTATATAGGATTTTTTTTAAAGGGACAAGTACCTGTGTCAATTGTGATAAATCTTATTGATTGTTACGATCGTGCCTTCCATGTTATTTTGAATAGTTGATTGAATCGACAGCTAATGCTCAATTATAATCAAATGTGTCTCCATTTCAACTTAGATGAGTTGATTGAATAGACAGCTAATATTCAATCGTTACAATCGATTCCCCCTTAATCATTTTGATGGATTGATTGATTCAGTAGCAGATGTTCGTTGTCATCGACCGTGTCCGCATTCGTGATGATTATGATTTCCAAGTTCAAATTTTGATGAATTGACGATTTGATCGAATAGACAACAGGACTTCAACTATTGTCGAATCAATCGATTTTCGACTACTGTACCATCATGATGTGGACTCCATCCTCTTTATTGGGAATGATATAAGTATCCTCGCTGCTGTTAAATACTGAGGAAAATTGGTCGTTTAAAATATTAACCTTGCTCGCTCTCTATTCAATATTAATAAAGTATGTAAGTCGGGTAAACTGTCCATCTAAACTTGTATAGCGAAAACTACAACAGATTCACATTTTTTTTTCATGTTAATACATCCCCATAATCCTTAAGGATTTGCAGATAACTTTGGATTAATAATGTCGACGTTAACCATCTTACCATTTTTTTCTGTGTTTCGAGCTTTTCAGTCAAAGAAGGCAGTGCAATTGTCCATATAATGGGAAAGAGTGCCAACATTGTATGCCCAAAAAAAATCATTGGTTTTCTTATCAAAAATGGGAAGCGTAACGTGACTTTAATTGCTCCCAAATTGGCAACCGAGTAGACCGTAAACACACTCAGAATATACCGTATACGATTTGTATTTATAATCGCCTCAATTTGTAAACAATGGCGGAAACTTTGGAAAGTGGAAAACGTGATTCCACAACTGCAGATCTTAACGATGAGGACGACGAATGGATAGGACCACTGCCGGCAGAAGCAGTAAAGACAAAAAAGAGAAAAGGTGTATACAGCTTTACAGTCATGATATGTTATAAGCTCAGGTTGTAAGATCCATAAATCTATTCAGTGATCGGTTGCCGCTCTTTACCTGCTGTACGATACAGATAGTATGTAAATACCTGTTGTATGTTATGCTGTTAGGTTGGTACCAAATGTGTAAGCTTAATATGATTAGAGTCGACATGGCTTACAAAACCAAGACAAAACATAACTCCGGTCTAATTGCCTTCTCAGTCACCGCTTTAATATTAGGCAGTGTCTGCGCGTACCCGCATGCGGGTACGAATAGTCAAATTGCCATTCATAGGCTACGCGTACCCACATCCGGTTTTATAATAAAATGCTATCGGATCGGGAATGAAACGTAAAATATATACGGAAATTATCGATAATATGGGGATTTCGTGTAGAACGAGTGAAGAGTATGAAAAATAATATTTTCAAAGTGTATTTATTAGATAATGATACATAATAAACATTGCAAATTAAATGCACACTGACGGAAAATGAAACTGTACAGTCCCTGTAAAAGGAGAACATGATAAAAATTAATACTATTATAAAATGTAAAATAAAATGCAAATTTAAAGAATAAAATTTTACTGATTTTGAAAAATACCCATATGAGATTTAAAAATAATCTTTTAGTAAAATGTAAAACAGAAACTGAAATTTTAAAATATCTTAAACGACTAAAATTAAAGCTTGGATGTCTATATAAAAATTAGAGAAGCAAGTAATAATGTCAAATTAAACCAATTAACATAAAAGATTCATGTAGCTAATTAAGATTTGGAACAAATTTTACGTATCCAATATGATTGTTTTGGCACATATTTCAACCCTGCACATTTCAAATGTTGCCAGTCCAAACAACAATCACAGGCCAAAGAGTCCTGATCGTGTAGGTTTTTTTTTGACATTTGATACATATTTATTCGCATGATTCTCTTCTTTCGTTGATCCGAATTTTAAGTTGCTTCCACGATTCAAAGGTAAAATATTTTTTGATGCGCTGAAGGTTTACATTTTCGTCAAATATTTTGTTATTTATTAACGAAGCATCTAGAAGATTATTGGCATCGGCCTTTGTTTTATCAGAATAGTTTTTGTGTTTCCAGTTCTTCTTTTCTCTGCAGCTGCAATTGACTCCGAGTTTCTTTTATACAATTGTATAAAATTAATCGACTGATAGTTCTGAACAAATTGTTCTAATTCGTGATAACTTTGAAATGTCTTCCCCACATGTATATCACTCTCTTACATTTTAACAAGGATTTGTATAGTGAGACTATACAAATCCTTGATTTTAAGAATATTTATTAACTGATAAAAACTGTTCACTTACCTATATATAAATATTCATAAAAATTCTGAGTAGTTTTAATCAATTTATTCACTAATTGCGACAAATTCCGTATATATTTCACGTTTCATTCCCTATCCGATGGCATTTTATTATAAAACTGGATGTGGGTACGCGTAGCCTATGAATGGCAATTTGACTATTCGTACCCGCATGCGGGTACGCACAGACACTGCCTTAATATTATAAAGACCATAGGGATTCTATATTGAGATTTGAGGGTTTTCTGGCTTCAGGAACAAACACTGGTGAGCCCACAACTAGTAAAGAGAGGAAAAAGATACTTAATGGATATTAAAACTCATAAATAGAAGACAAACCTACAATACAATGGCTATAAAACATTGAAAGCACAACATAGAAAACTAAAGACTGAGTTACAAATCCCACAAAAAAAACAGGGGTGATCTTGAAGGGTAAAAAGATCCTGCTCCAAATGCTGCACCCACCCTGTTGCAGGTATAAGAACAAATTCGGTGATGTGACCTACGAGGGAAAGATGATAATAAAGACAATTGGAACATATATCTGTTGTCATAACATGACGGTCAACCAACTTGTGATGGCGTCATTTAAATTATCAAAATGAATTATTTCAACTTCGCCACTTGGAACCTTTGGTACCTTTGATTTAAAAGCCTCAATGTAAGAAGCAACCCTCTATCTAGGAAATCATGATAGAACATGTAGGAAATGCAAGCTCTAAAATATTGTAATGGGGGTCTCATTGGGGGGTTCTGATCCCGGATCCCGCTTACTGTTTTGTCAGATTCCTGTATCCTGCTTACACTATGTACGTAAGCAATTCTCATTTTTTGTAATTTCCCGTGTCCCGCTGGACTTCATTTCCCGTTTTCGCGGCACAATAATTTGACTTTCACGGGTCACGCTTAGACCCCAATGAGACCCACTGTAATAGGAGATATATACCCAATATGCAGTCGCTGCTGAAATGTTGCTACATGAAAATGGGAACTTCGCAATCATCTCTCTTGTTGTCAGGTTTTTTTTAAACCCACCTCAGTGTCAATTTCTAGATTTTAGTCAATATATTAGGCAGTCTTAACTGTATCTGTTGTTATTTCAACTTTTCGAGTTTGATAGTATATACACATTCAACATAGTCACTAAACATTGAATTATTCAGTGAGAGGACATCATCTATATAGCGGATGGTGAAGTTAAAGGATGATGCTAGTTTCTTTTCATTCTTCTCAAGAATTTCCTGTATGAAGTCAGTCTGACTCTCATATGAATAAAGGAACATGTCAGCAAGAAGAGGAGCACAGTTGGTTTCCATGGGAAAAAATTGGGAATGCCTATTGTTTGTTGAAAAACATGTCCTCCAAAAAAAACTAATATGTTGCCAAACAAGAAATCAAGCATTTTGATAAGATCAGTTTCAGAGAATTTTGTCTATGAATCAGAGTGGATTTTTACAAAGTATGATTTATCCCTCCTCAAAACAAGATATTTGTATCTATGTTGGCCATTGACTAGAATATATATGCATCTTCTGTTTTGAATAACTCAATGTAAGTGTTCTGCGAAGATTCATCATTATAAACTAGGGATGGCAACGAGTATTTTAGTACTCGCTCTGAAGGACGAGTACTTAAGTACAGTTTTAGTACACAGATACTTGTTTGCCTTTTAAAAATCTTGAGACATTTCCCCTCACTTTATTTCCATTTGACATATCGCTTTCGTAATGCTAATTAATATCTATTAACAACGTTCACCTGAAATCTTACGTCTGACATTTAAATTCAGTACGTTAAAAATGCCTCCTCTGAAATCAGCCGTATGGACTTATCTCAAAAGATCATTCAATCGAAATACCGTAAAATGCACTCTTTGTGACACATAGTTAACATATTGTGGTGGTTCATCAAATATGATTAATCATATTAGACTTAAACATCTGGCTGAGAGCCCTGCAGAATCTCCAGTGAAACCATCTTCACTCCACAGTTTTTAATTTCTCAAAGAATAATCAATTTTGCAAATAAAAGAAATAATCACAACAGCGATTGTCAAAATGGACGTAAAGGATTACTTTCCGTTAAGTTTTATTGAAGTTGATTTTATGAACATTGTCACACTTGAGTACAAGGTTCCAACTCGTAATACGATCAAATCCTGTATCACAAAATTATATGTGGAACAGAAAATGTGTCTCATTTTATTTTGAGTACTTGCGAGTATCGTGACCAAGTACATGTACTTAAGTATTAAATTTCATTAACTATTAATTATAAGGAGGGTGAGGGCTCGATAATAACTTTTTATTATACACATGTACATGAATATACCACTGTCACACTTAGTAGGGTGGCATTGCCTATCCTGATTCACTATCACTGACAATTTCAAGATATTTAATGAAATAATCATTGAAAATATTCTATTTCAGTTTTGGAGTTTGAAAAAGTCTACCTCGATAACTTACCAAGTGCTCAGTATTATGAAAAAAGTTTCATGCATAGAGATGTTATAACACATTTAGCAGTATCAAAGTAAGTAAAAAGGTTGTCAGAAGTAAGTTCATGTGTCAATATGGATTCAGAGGGAACATTTCTTAAATGAAAAAATTCCCAAATTAAGACTTTAATGAAAAAAAGGTGTGGATGCACTTACCATACAAGTAGCTTGATAAGGGAAAATAGCTTTGAAAAACACATTGTTAGATTTTCATGTAAAGTGAAAAAGAGGCAACTTTAATTTGGCAGATACCCTCTCCATATGGAATATCAAAACTTCTCTTATCATGTCAAGTTTGGATCCTGAAGAGATGAAATACATTTTTGATGTTCTCAACTCCCTTATTAAAGATCAATGAATTTCTATTTCAATCACTTTGTTTTTTATTACTACTGTTTTTGTCCTGTCCATGACTGTGTTTGTAACTATATATATATAGCTAGCAGTTTGAAAATGATATGAAATGATTGTATTTGCAAATGTAACATATTAGATATGCACAAAATGTCCAACTGTTCTTCCTGAAACTGTAATTTACATCAAATTTGAAAGTCAGTGAGTTTAGTTGTCATTGCCTTTTTTTTAAAGTATTTTATGGAGCTGGGATCATCTAATTTTGTTTTATTCTCCAATAAAGAGTTGGAAGACACCAAAGGCAGAATCAAAACTCATAAAGTTGAAGAGACCAATTCAACAAAATCATGGAAAAACATAAAAATGACAAAAAGACAAAAAAAAGTCTACAAAACAATACATAAAAAGTTAAAGACTAAGCAAGATGTTTTAAGAAAACTACCCATGGTATCATCCCGAATAAAGAAAAATTCTTTATATTTATGAATAGGATACATATATGGATTGTGAATGCAGCTTTTCCTACAGGATGTTCAACAAAGCCTATTTCAGATTGAAATGTTGTTTTTCACTATTTGTTGGAGTGCATTTCATAGTATTTCAATTATTGAGAGTTTGATGATACATTTTGTATTTATAATATATTAATTGAAATTTATATACTGTGTCCAAATTTTCAGTGATTGAATAAAATTTTATCTTTAAAAAAACATCCATCTTTAATTTTCAGGAGTGATTTTATAGTGACTGCTAGTTGTGATGGCCATGTTAAGTTCTGGAAGAAAAAAGAAGAAGAAGGAATTGAATTTGTCAAACACTTCAGAAGCCATTTAGGTAAATGATGAGGTATACATGTATATCATTTGATTGGTAGTTCTTAGATTGATATGAAATTTAGCTTGTTTTTAATAGCTACACACAAGTGCAAATAGTTGTTGCTTATCATTGTTGCAATGAATAATACCTGTCTATAATTATAGAAGAATTTCAGAAAAAAAACATTAATGGTGTCACACGACATGCATGCACCGCCATACACGAGGCTTTCATAGTTTACGAAGTATATGCCATCATTACTGTTTTTGAGGTTACTATATCAAAGGCCAAGTTCAAGTTACTAAAAATAGACCAAAATTTGTACAGAAGAGCAGTCTCAGGATTCTAAATCAAATATTATATAAAATTGCAACCATACTTGGATATATTGTCACATTAAATGAGAGGAAGATCCTTATTGATTTTTAGGTCAATACCTTAAAGATCAAGGTCAAAGTTACTAAAAAAAAAGGATCACTGTTTGTGCAGAAAAGTGGTTTCCTTATGTTTAATCAAATACTACATATGGAATGGAAACCTTACATGGATATATAGTCACATATAATGAGAAGAAAATTCAGATTGATTTTGAGGTCACAATATCTAAGGTCAAGTTCATTGTTTCTAAAGATAGATTTATGTAAGACAATTTTACTGTCTAAAATCATAACAGAAAAGAATCATACCTTAAAGTAAACAGAAAAAAAACTATGGTTCTTTAAAGACTGTGTCCTCTACAAAAGCTAGGTTAAGAGCCATAAAATTTACTCACAGTAGTTTTTTTTTAATGTTCTAACATTATCTTAGTAAACAAAAGTACACTTTATAGTGTTGTTTAATGGTGATATCAAGGAGCTCAAAGTTGAAAAATTGACCAAAAGAAGTACATTATCCTGCAGTGTCTATAAACAAAATAACTATTGAGAACTCTACTCTTGCAGGATAAAAAGAAATGACAAGATGATTTAAAACAATCTAATTGGGGCTTCACCAGAATGAAGATATAATTTATTTTGGAGGATCAAGACATATTAGATAAAATTTGATAAATTGTTGATGTTTCTGAAGGTCAGACATAGAGAACAGGTCAATGCAAATACTAAATATGTTTGCATGAAATTTAAAGGGTCTTTCAATTCCCAATCTGCCATCACTACTCTTCTTCCCAATCTAGACATTTATTTCTAGAACATCCTTCATAGTTTAAAAGTTTTCATCCTTGGTAGTTGAATTTAGATGTATTCTTTTGTTAAAAAAATCCTACTTTATTTTCTGTATTTTAGGAAATATCCAAGATCTTGGCATGAGTCCTAATGGTGAATTTTGTTGTACCATCTCTGATGACAAGTCTGCTAAAGTATTTGATGTTGTTAACTTTGGTAAGTTCAGTTCTTGAATATATAAATTGGTTCACCTCCAGGTAAGAAGAAGAAAACAAAAACAAAATATTTAATGTTTGTTGCTACTATTTCTGCTGGTAATTCTGAAATACTTGAATCAAACAATTGTAATTGATGTATATACATTTGAATTAAAATGCCAAAGAGGAAAGGCTTCTGCCAACCTCAGGTTTTTGCATAAATGTAAAAGTCATAGATTTAAACAAACAGTTTGTCAACAATTTATTAATACGAATGATCAGGAGTAATTAAAACAAACTTAAGAATGGTACGATTACAATGAAAATCATTTAAAGATAAGAAAACAAAAGAAATGATAAAAAAAGACAACCCAGCTACCACAATTAAAATAAGAAGATATTTGATGTTTAGAACAAGTAATTGAAATAATTAATTTTATTTTATATGACTATAAATTTTATATTTTCTCATTGGCTAAAAGCAGAGGAATTCCTCTTTGATAAAACATATTCACCGCGGCAAAAATCACGAGAGGTTAATATAAGATTCGGAACAGCGTCCGTGTACCTAAATATAGATATTTCAAGGCAACGTCAATGACATATGTTTATGACGTCATGTAATTTTTCAGTTTTTAAAGGCAGTGCTTTAATGCCTTTCTAGTTGCCGGGTTAATCCTTCCTTCCGCAATATCCATCTTATCTACGTGGGGGGTCGTTAAGCTCCAAGTAGATCCGGAAATGTTGAATTCTCTCCTCTTCTTATTGCGATATCAAATGTTTTTTGTTTCATTTCATTTACATTGGGAAATAGAGAAACGATCATTGTGTTTTGTTAGTTTTAAAAACTTTAAATATATTTGTATTTTGCATTATAAGCAGTCAACCGATTGACAAACTAGAATTATTTGAATTCCGTGTGGAAAGAGCTCGGGTTAATTTCGAGTGTTATCTGCAATCTATATGTTTATAAATCATTTCAGTCGTTGATATAATAATTAAAGGTCGACTGAACATGAATTATATTATACAATTTAAAGCGCATTTCTGTTTATGCACGTGAAACCGTCTAACGTTATTGTTATTTCGCAGTTATATAAAGTAGCAAATTATCGTTCCTGAATAGGTGGCGCCGTGGTAGCCGATCCTGTTCCTCAATTTCCGGTTTCTGCACTGTGCAACTATTTCAGTTACATTTTTAATTAACGATGCCAAGTACTTGTTGTTGTGTACCTGGGTGTCATTTAAGAGGAGGACATGCATTTCCAAATGACTTAAAAAGAAGGAAAAGTTGGATCAACGCCATGGCCCATACGCAGATTGGACGAGAACACGATGAAATCGTGGAGTCCATCTCAATCAGCTGTTGTTTGCAAGGCACATTTTACTGAAAAAGACTACGTGCAGGAAACTATTCATGGTAAAACTCTATTTTCTTTTTGAAATATATAGTTATATATGTAATCGCCATGCGAATAAACCAAAGTCTGTTTACAACCGCAATTATCGTTTTAGAATAAAAGGGGGTGGTTAATTCAAGACGTCATAATTTTTTGGATTACGATTCAATATGATCTGTTTGAGATTTTTTGGTGATTGCTACAATTATAATGATTTCTTACAAGAGGTATACATGTATCATACTGAGAATTATTTTAGCAGTAAGGCTTAAATTAAAATATTGTTTGTTTGCAGTTTACCGACCGACCTTCGAAAATCCGCCCAACTGTGAACATTTTATTGCTTTTAATTTGAAGAAATTATTTTTAATACTTCAACTGACTCGATCCGGAATTTCTGGTCGTTTCCGGAATTGATTTCGAGTCTAGGTCAATTACATGTTTGAAGTTCGGTTTTTCTTCCCTTCCTGTCAAGCGTTCATCAGACCCTTTAATGGTAAAGCACATGGAGATTGTTTACAGGTATCCACGAAGTCATGGAGGAGTACTTTATTCTGTCGTCTTCTGTCAATTTCAAGACAAATAATACACAGAAAAGTTTCAGAGTAAACTGTTTATACTGATTCAGGCAGAATTGCACACGGAATGATGTCTTCGATGATATCATTGACGATGATGCAGCGGATATTCATAAAACCGACACGATAACCATTTCTGTCTTAAACAAATCGGATACAGAATCTTTTGAGACTGACTTTATGGAACCAATATCAGTGGTTCAACAATTCGACACCAGCCTGAAGTATGCCATATTTTCTTTAAATCGTCGTGAAGACGACAAAGAGGAAACAGACTCCTCCGTGACTTCATGGATAACTGTAAATACGCCTGTACGGTGGAAGGACGCATTTGAAATGTTAAATCAATAAGAAGCCACACAAAATACACAAAGATATAGAGAAAATGAATGGTTGGCTTGAGAAATAAATATATTCTTTCTGTATCAAATCTATCTTCGATTGCAATGAGTATGCTCCTTTAGGATAAGGGGGGGCTGTCCCACTCATTGCAATTATTCTCTCTCTTACAATATTAAATATACCCAAACTGTGAATTGAATTGAAATATGTCCTTAGCTAGGAGCTATGCTGCTATTTTTAAGTAGTTAAGCTGCTTTATGCGAGCACCCTAGATTTGTGTTCTACCCAATAAATGCTGAAATATGTGCCATTGTTATTATCTGGCTGGCTATTATGTTATTTATAACTAATTGAACACTTTTTTCATACTTTTAATTCTGGAATTCAAAAAATATGACCAGAAAAACCTTAAATGATCGTCGAACCACCCAAAAGTTTTGAAGTTGCACATAGGAAGTAGTGCTCAATAGAAATCCTTATGTAGTTTATTATCCCCTGTGCTTTTGGCCAAGATGTCAAAGAACAATTGCATGAATTATTTCATCGCCGAAAATCTCTAATTACAAGTCGTTTACAGTTGCCAAATGGCACAAAGCGCAGGAATATTGTATAACGGCTGTGACTAATATGACACGGAGTTGAAGTCTCAGTTGGCGGTAATTTTAACTTCGTCGACAAAACGTAAATCAAGGACGTTTTAAATTTGGTGATTTCTGATAATAATCATTTTGTTCAACCGCTAGCTTTATAACGAAAATCGCCAACATGTTATGTGTAAATCCGAGTAAATCGTATCTGACTGACAAAAACAACATTGAAAAACAATGGATGCCATAAACCGGAAATGAAGACAATTATAATACCGGATCTAATTCTGGGGGCGGATAAGGGTAATTCCGGGTTTGCCGATCAAATACAATAAAAATATAATAATTCCAGGCATGAGACAAAATACATCTATCATGATGAAATATAAACTCTAGAATTGAAAACCAAAGATATATTGAAAAGAAAGAAAAAGCAGGAAATATTTTATACAGAAACTCAAAATGACTTTTAGTTCACAAATTTTCATGTCAAAAACCAATAAAATGTGACAGTATTTTCCTTATCATTAATAATATTGATATTACATGTAGATGTTTTTATTGTTTAAACATATTACTACAATTCCATGAGGTAATTTCTTCTCAATTTTGAAGGGCCTATAAAAATCTGGAAGTTTCTTACTTTATTTTCACAGAGGAACTAGCTAATATAATATATAGTGCAACTAGATATGATACACTTAAACAGTTTTGAATTTGAACTGTTTAATATAATGGTATAATTAGTAATAAATAATCAATTGTTGAGACAACACACCCACCCACAGTGATACCCTCAGCCTCCCTCAGCCTTCCTAATACAAAAAAAAAAGATTATTTGAATTCATAAATTAATATACAAGACAATTACATTTATTATTAAACATGTTAAACGACAGTGACACTGACAATGAAACAAGCTAACTTAACACCAAAAGCACATTAAAGTATCTTACTGAGTTATGAACTATTTCAAGTAAAAGCAGGACCTGGAATTTAGGTTGTGGACCTTTCAGTTTGGAGTGTCAAAGGTCCTGGACTGTCCAGTACCAAATGTTAATTTTAACCCCTGCATTCACAGTAAAGCGATTTTGACGTGACATTGCAATTCCAAGTAGAATTTACTTTTGGACATTAAACGTTTCGAATGCGTATTAAACTAATTCAGATCAGTTAATAATGTGAATCGAATTCGAATTATGTGTGAACGCAGCATTGATATATCTAAGAAATGAAGAATATTAAAAAAAGATGGACAAAATATTTGTATTAAATTTGTTGCAATTTTTGTCTTGCCTTGACAGAGTCAAAAAGTGAGACATATATATATATATATATATATAGGCATGCTGTTTTGGCGGAATCAACAATGTATTAGTTTGTGATTTTGTGATAAGGTCTGGTTTCTGGTAGGTAAATGACATTTTGTAAGTAGTTGTGTTAGCATAGGCGCATCTCATTACCATAGAGAACATTTGGCCCCACCCCCTTAGTCATGGTCTATTGACTTTGAAACTTTGCATAGTTTACATGTATATGTTTGTGATTAGGTCAGTTTGGGGGGAACCACTAGTGGTAGGTCAATGATATTTGGTGTGCAGTTGTATAAACTTTTTCATTTCTAATTTCCATTGAGATTATTTGGCCCCGCCCCCTCAATCATGCTCTTTTTACTTGGAAACTTATGTTACTTTGAAATTTCATTTATTAGTTTTCGATTAGGTTAGTATTAGGGAAACCAATAGTGGTAGGTCAATGATAATTGGCATGTAGGTGTAGAAGCATTAGTACGTCTCATTTCCATAGAGGATATTTGGTCCTCACCCCTCAGTCATATGCATGATCTATTGACTTTGAAACTTTTACTTAGTTTACATGAATGAGTTTGTGATTATTATGATTATGTCAGTTTAAAATTACCAGCAATCTTAAGTCAAAGCTATTTGGTATGCGAACGTATTGGTATTCAAAAGTTTCATTTCCATGGATATTATATAACCCCACCCCCTCATTATGGTTCATTGACTTAGAAATTGAATTTGTGTTAAGGTTTGTTTAAAGGGAACGACTTATGAAAAGTCAATGGTATTTGGTTTGCAGTTGAACAAGCATTGGCACCTTTCATTTCCATAGAGATTGTTTAGCCTTGTACCTTCAGTCATGGTTCATTGACTTTGAATATCACTTACATGTTAAAGTATTACTATTTTAAGTGTAACATTTGCATTATCAAAATAACAAATAGGCAAAACATTACCTTGTGTTAATAGCTTATTATAGATTAGACATGTGTAATTATTTTAAAAATAAGGAGATGTGGTATGATTGCCAATGAGACAACTATCCACCAAAATTCAAATGAAGTGGATGTAAGCAATTACAGGCAACCGTACAGCCTTCAAAAATATATGTTGCATCATTGCTAGACCATTATAACAACATCAGCATTTCTTGTAATACTAGTATACAAGAAAATTACACCATTTCAGATAGTTTCAGGTATGATTTGATAATTGTGCATAGTGGCACCAGCTGATCCAACTAAAAGCGCTAATATGGCATATTCAAACTCTAGTACATAGTGGAATTAAACCATACACCACTGTTGGACACCATAATTGAAATTATTATTCTGAAAAGAATATTCCTCCATGCAGCCTGCAACAATTAGCAAAACCTATACTGCATAGTAAGATATAAACGACCACGAAATGACAAATGTAAAACAATAAAACTAAAGCAGCCTGATTTATGTACAAAACAATTATGAACAATAAATATGATATACAGCAACAATCAACAATCACCAAATTACTGGGTCCTCACTATGGACAGGTACATACAGAATGTGGCGGGTTAAACATGTTAGCTGGCACAAAACTCTCCCCTAACATGGGACAGTGAATGTGCATAATCTCAGACATTAAATCTTTAAAAAATAAATTGGAAATAACTTTTGAAAGTGGTAGGATTGGATAGCAGAAACATTACGGTACAAACATTATTTGATACTTGAGAAATAGCTGAGATATATAGATTCTACCACTGCATCGAGTGTGATACGATATTTATCCACTCGAGACAGTTAAATTTTCAAATTTAAAACGCGAGGCTCGCCGAGCGTTTTAAATATTTAAAATTTAACTGTCGAGAGTGGATAAATATCGTATTACACGAGATTTGGTGGTGGAATCTGTTTCTCTAATGATTTTCAAACAATATGCAGGCAAACTTATTCCGTCTTTTCGAATGATCTGTAAAAAGATGTGTTCTTTCTATGTGACGTCATCAGGCATGGTCGCCTTTTTTCAGGCCGTCACAATAGGAAATTCAGAGGAAAGCAAGTAAATTCGACGTCATAATCGGATTTTAACCAATGAAGAACTGAGATCAAACGAACCACACGTTGATTAAATTTTTTTTATACAATGGGTGCAGAAAGGGATAAATTGACGAAGAATTAGAGAAAAATATTTTCATCCATTCTTCCACTATATTCATCTTAACTTCTGCCAAGTTTACCTTTGATTTTTTTAATTAACTGCCTATAGCGCCTTTGGTGCTTTGATTTTTTATGCAGTCAAAACATTTCAGTACAGACCATTAACTTTTAATGGGGTGCTATGGATTTCACCCCAAAGCTAGACTTTAGATTTTTGTTTGTTTTAATTAAAGCCTGGCATCAACATATCTTTCCAAATATAACCTTTATGTCAGATGTCTAATATCTTTTTTTTAAGTTGTCTTTTTTTTCAATTGAGGAAGATTCAATGGTTGATTTTTTTTAACACACTCCTAAATTGTCTTTTGAATCTTTAATATCTACATTTTTCTGATGCAAATACCCTACTCATGAAAACATTCTAGTAAAGATGCATATATGTCAGTGAATATGTTTCTTTACAACAATTCTAGTCATTCCTTGTTTATAAGTGTTCCAGTATTTCATAATACCATAAATTTATGTCATAAATTGTATAATGACACTATGTTAAAGTTCAGTTTTGGCTAAAAAGGTGTTTACCTGGAAATGCCTGTTCATTTCATGTTGGTTTTCAGTGTTTGTTGTTTTAAAATGTTTTTTCTTCACGAGAAACTTGGTTTGTGTTAAAATACTTGTTTAAACTTTATTCTGGTTGATAAAATAAAATATTTTTCCTACCTACCGACCCTGCAGTCTGAAGGTACAGTTGGAAAACTGCAAACAAACATATTTTTAAGGTTGGCCTAATTATGCTAATGTAGTAATGACAGGAATGCTTAAGCTATGCCTCATAGACTTTCTTGAAAAATATCAATGACAATGTTAACAGGAACAAAACAATATTATCTATACTATAATTATTTAGGTATAAACAATGTACGTTTGTTGCATAAGTCTCTCATTGTTTGTCCTTTGGATTTACATAACATACATTGAATCAGGCAAACATAGTTTTATCCAGATTGTAATGAATAAATCTAGTTAATATTTCGCCAGGTAATACAAAGTATACATTGCTAATGGAAGTTCATTTAATTATCAAAAAACTAATGTTTTATAACCTTTTTCAGGGCGCAAACCCACCATTCAGAGACTTAAGTCTACTGCCATTCCCAGCCTATTTTCCTGGACCAAGCAAGAGACTGAATCATCCGCAAAAAGAAAAATCAGGGCAGTTTCCTGTGAAAACAAAAGAACCAAACTTGATGAATATTGTAGTAGAAATCTAGAGGAAAGTTTTGATTGTAAAGTTGGTTTTCCTGAAGAAGTCATTCATACTGCAGAAAGGATTTATGACTGTCCACCACCAACTGCCGAGCTAATGTTGAGCTTCACAGATGGAATTATGCAAACACCATCAATGCCTATGTTTTCAGCAGAGAATTTTGAAATGAAGACATGTGACACAGCCATGCATTTTTATACCGGTTTAGAGTTGTATACTAAATTTTTATTTGTTTTGACCACACTTGGTCCAGCAGCACATTGTTTGAGATACATATATTTTCAAATTGATAGGGTGTCAGTTGAAAATCATTTTTTTTATGACTTTGATGAAATTGAGGCATTATACAACCAACTTTGAACTTTCTAGATTCTAGATTGAATCTAGTGTTAAGAATATTGTGTATACATGGATTGTTTTTATGTCTAAACAGTGGTGTGAGGCTAACACTTGGCCATCTAGTGGTTTAGTCAGGTATTTTCACCATCCAACTTCAAATTAAAGTTTCCTACGACTTGGATTATTATTGACAGAACAGAATATCCCGTGATAAAACCTAAAGCTCCTAGAGCTCAGGCAACCTTTTCATCATATAAAAACAGAAACACTGAAAATACTTGTATGTTCGACACCTGGTGGTTTAGTCAACGATGTCTCTAATGCATATGTTGGTTCTACCAGTGACTATGAAATAGTTGAAAGATGTAGAATAGTTCAATTATGTGATCCAGGTGACAGTGTGATGGCAGACAAAGGTTTAAATGTGCAAGATTTGTTTGCTACATTTTTTCAAAAAAAGAAACAGAATTAGTTCCAAAACTCTTATACGGGATAGAAAAGTCTCCAATTAACATGTGCACATAGAGCGAATTATTGGACTTGGCAAAACATACAAAATTCTAATAAATCCTATGAATGGAACTGAAACAAAACTTTCATCTGAAATAACATTTAGTTGTACTATGTTGTGTAATTTTAGAACTTGTATTGTGCCAAAGGATGCATAAATAAAAGTGACGCAATGAATTTTGTTCTGATATATATATATTTATAATTACATGCACATGTAAATTGTAATGCATTTAAAAGTAAGGAGATGTGGTATGATATTCAGTGAGTTTATCGAACTAAAGTGCATAAGAAATGGGTTTAAGTAGTTACAGGTGTTACTGTCACCGTACAATCTCCCAACAATGAGAAAAACTTGTACCATGTAAAACATTTCAGAGATCTTACCACTAAGTTTTGTTGTCTCACCTTGACTTTGGTAAATTGTTTATATCTGTTGATGTAAATATAAAAATGAAGATGTGGTATGATTGCCAATGAGACAACTCTCCACAAGAGACCAAATGACACAGAAATTAACAGCTATAGATCACAGTACGGCCTTCAACAATGAACAAAGCCCATACCGCACAGTCAGCTATAAAAGGCCCCGAAATGACAATGTAAAACAATTTAAACAAGAAAACTAACGGCCTAATTTATGTACAAAAAATGAACGAATATAACAAATATGCAACACATAAACAAACAACAACCACTAAATTACAGGCTCCTGACTTGGGACAGGCACGCCACATACATGTACATACAGAATGTGTCGGGGTTAAACATGTTAGCGGGATCCCAACCCTCCCCCTAACCTGGGACAGTGGTGTAACAGTACAATATAAGAACGAACTATAAAAATCAGTTGAAAGAGGCTTAACTCATCAGATGGATAAATACAAATACAAGTGGACGTGGTCGGGTAGTTGTAAATCCAAACAACAAAAAGACACTAAGTACAGATCTGAGAGTACTCAAAGTTACTGACAGCTAGTTCAAAGCCACTAACAACTGATAAAAAAATCTTGCATCTAAGACTAAATTATCAATCTGTAAGCTCCCTTTAGAATTTTATAAATTTTAGATTTTACATTTCTGAGTTATGGGGTTTTATTCATTAAAAAAGGGGGGATTTTCCAGTTTTTGTCGAGCCTGCAACTTTTGTCTCAGAAAGCTCGACATAGGGATAGTGATGTGGCGGCGGCGTTAGCTAACTTCTTAAAAGCTTTATATTTTAGAAGGTGGAAGACCTAGATGCTTCATACTTTGTATATGGATGCCTCATGTTACGAAGTTTCCGTCAGCCACATGTCCAATGTCCTTGACCTCATTTTCATGGTTCAGTGACTACTTGAAAAAAAAGTTAACATTTTTTGTAATGTTAAATTCTCTCTTATTATAAGTAGTAGGATAACTATATTTGGTATGTGCGTACCTTGCAAGGTCCTCATGCCCGTCAGACAGTTTTCACTTGACCTCGACCTCATTTCATGGATCAGTGAACAAGGTTAAGTTTTGGTGGTCAAGTCCATATCTCAGATACTATAAGCAATAGGTCAAGTATATATTTGGTGTATGGAAGGACTGTAAGGCGTACATGTCCAACTGGCAGGTGTCATCTGACCTTGACCTCATTTTCATGGTTCAGTGGTTATAGTTAAGTTTTTGTGTTTTGGTCTGTTTTCTTATACTGTATGCAATAGGTCTACTATATTTGGTGTATGGAATGATTGTAAGGTGTACATGTCTAGCTGGCAGGTCTCATTTGACCTTGACCTCATTTTCATGGTTCAGTGGTCAAAGTTAAGATTTTGAGTTTTGGTCTTTTTTTCTAATACTATATGCAATAGGTCAACTATATTTGGTGTATGGAAATATTTTATGATCTATATGTCAGTCGCGCAGGTTTTATTTGACCTTGACCTCATTTTCACAGTTCATTGCTCAGTGTTAAGTTTTTGTGTTTTGGTCTGTTTTTTAGCTCACCTGACCTGAAAGGTCAAGTGAGCTTTTCTCATCACTTTGCGTCCGTCGTCCGTAAACTTTTACAAAAATCTTCTCCTCTGAAACTACTGGGTCAAATTTAACCAAACTTGGTCACAATCATCATTGGGGTATCTAGTTTAAAAAATGTGTCTGGTGATCCGGTCAACCAACCAAGATGGCCGCCATGGCTAAAAATAGAACGTAGGGGTAAAATGTAGATTTTGGCTTATATCTCTGAAACCAAAGCATTTAGAGCAAATCTGACATGGGGTAAAATTGTTTATCAGGTCAAGATCTATCTGCCCTGAAATTTTTGGATGAATCTGACAACCCGTTGTTGGGTTGCTGCCCCTGAATTGGTAATTTTAAGGAAATTTTGCCGTTTTTATACGACCGCAAAAAAATTTTGTGGTCGTATATTGGTATGACGTTGGCGTCGTCGGCGTCGTCGTCGTCGGCGTCGTCGTCCGGCGTCGTCGTCCGAATACATATTGGTTTTTCGCACTCTAACTTTCGTTTAAGTGAATGGATCTTTTTGAAATTTGACCATAAGGTTAAATACCACAAAAGGAAGGTTGGGATTGATTTTGGGGGTTATGGTACCAACAGTTAAGGAATTAGGGGCCAAAAAGGGGCCAAAAATGAGCATTTTCTAGTTTCCAGACAATAACTGTGGAACGGTGTATGGATCTCTCTGAAATTATACTACAAGTTTCCATACCACAAAGGGATGGTTAGGATTTGCTTTGGGGGGTTATGGCTCAAACCGTTTAGGAATTAGGGGCAAAAAAGGGGGAAAAACAAGGTTGTCCTGGTTAATGGACAAATACTTTAGTACAAAACATAATTTAAAGCAGTGTAAGGGAGATAAATCAAATACATCATTGAAATTATCTCCCTTACACTGCTTTTAAATTATGTATAAAGTAATGGTTAATGAACAATAAAGATAATCTAAAACAGTGTAAGGGAGGTAATCCAAATACAACGTTTTGGTTACTTCCCTTACACTGCTTTTAAATTATGTTTAAAGAAATGCATATTTATAAAGGAAGACCAGTAAAAATATCTGCAAATGTTTTCATCTTTTTTTTTTACAAAAAAATCCATATGAAAGATTTGACACTATATTTTTATTAATTCTATTATAAAATAGATTAAGTTAGCACTATGGTAAATTTAAATGGGTAATTATGGTTGCCAACTCCATTGGAAATTTGAATTGAGATTATGACCATATCTTGAGGGAAAGAATTTTTTTGGGGGAAAAAGGGGGGGGGGATAAAAAGAAATTGTGGGGGCCAATTTTTTCTCATTTCAGATTTCAGAAATTAAAAAGAATTATTCTTCAAATATTATTTTTTTTTCAAATTTCAAATATTGAAAAATTTCAAGAAGTAATCTTTAATTGCACAGTATGGCGCATTAGATTTGTAAAATCTTTGATCACATTTATTTATTTGTTATGCCGAATCTAACAGTGTATTTAGATTTTTAATTTTGGGTCCAGTTTTCAAATTGGTCTACATTAATGTCCAAAGGGTCCAAAATTAAACTTTGTTTGATTTTAGCAAAAATTGAATATATGAGGTTCTTTGATATGCTGAATCTAAACATGTATTTAGATTTTTGATTTTTGGCCCAGTTTTCAAGTTGGTCCAAATTGGGGTCCAAAATTAAACTTTGTTTGATTTCAACAAAAATTGAATATATGGGGTTCTTTGATATGCTGAATCTAACCATGTATTTAGATTTTTTATTTGTGGACCCCGTTATCTAATTGGTTCATATTGAGGTCAAAAGGGTCCAAAATTAAACTTTGTTTGATTTCATCTAAAATTGAATTATTGGGGTTCTTTGATATTCCAAATCTAACAGTGTATTTAGGTTTTTAATTTTGGGTCCTGTTTTTTTAAATTGGTCTACATTGAGGTCCAAAGGGTCCAAAATTAAACTTAGTTTGATTTTGACAAAAATTGAATTCTTGGGGTTCTTTGATTTGCTGAATCTAAACATGTGTTTAGATTTTTGATTATGGGCCCAGTTTTCAAGTTGGTCCAAGTTAGGGTCCAGTATTTAAACTTTGTTTGATTTCAACAAAAATTGAATATATGGGGTTCTTTGATATGCTGAATCTAAACATGTATTTAGATTTTTGATTATGGGCCCAGTTTTCAAGTTGGTTCAAATTGGGGTCCAAAATTAAACTTTGTTTGATTTCAACAAAAATTGAATATATGAGGTTCTTTGATATGCTGAATCTAACCATGTATTTAGATTTTTTATTTGTAGGCCCCGCTATCAAATTGGTTCATATTGAGGTCAAAAGGGTCCAAAATTAAACTTTGTTTGATTTCATCAAAAATTGAATTATTGGGGTTCTTTGATATGCCAAATCTAACCGTGTTTTTAGATTTTTAATTTGGGTCCCGTTTTTTAAATTGGTCTTCATTGAGGTCCAAAGGGTCCAAAATTAAACTTAGTTTGATTTTAACAAAAATTGAATTCTTGGGGTTCTTTGATATGCTGAATCTAAACATGTGTTTAGATTTTTGATTATGGGCCCAGTTTTCAAGTTGGTCCAAGTTGGGGTCCAAAATTAAACTTTTTTTGATTTCAACAAAAATTGAATATATGGGGTTCTTTGATATGCTGAATCTAACCATGAATTTAGATTTTTTATTTGTGGGCCCCGCTATCAAATTGGTTCATATTGAGGTCAAAAGGGTCCAAAATTAAACTTTGTTTGATTTCATCAAAAATTGAATTATTGGGGTTCTTTGATATTCCAAATCTAACCGTGTATTTAGATTTTTAATTTTAAGTACCGTTTTTTAAATTGGTCTACATTAAGGTCCAAAGGGTCCAAAATTAAACTTAGTTTGATTTTAGCAAAAATTGAATTCTTGGGGTTCTTTGATATGCTGAATCTAAACATGTGTTTAGATTTTTGATTATGGGCCCAGTTTTCAAGTTTGTCCAAGTTGGGGTCCAAAATTAAACTTTGTTTGATTTTAACAAAAATTGAATATATGGGGTTCTTTGATATGCTGAATCTAACCATGTATTTTGATTTTGGACATTGGACCATAATAGGTAAATTAAAAAAATTCAAGTTCTTAGACCACATTCTTTCTGTGTCAGAAACCTATGCTGTGTCAAATATTTAATAACAATCCAAATTCAGAGCTGTATCAAGCTTGAATGTTGTGTCCATACTTGCCCCAACTGTTCAGGGTTCGACCTCTGCGGTCGTATCAAGCTGCGCCCCAGCGAAGCATTTTATTGGTTATTATCTTGAATATTATTATAGATAGAGATAAACTGTAAACAGCAATAATGTTCAGCAGAGTAAGATCTACAATTAAGTCAACTTGACCAAAATGGTCAGTTGACCCCTTAAGGAGTTATTGCCCTTTATAATCAATTTTTAACCATTTTTCGTAAATTTTTGTAATCTTTTACAAAAATCTTCTCCTCTGAAACTTCTAAGACAAATTTAACCAACCTTTTACACAATCATCATTAGGGTATATAGTTTAAAAAATGTGTCCGATGACCCCGCCCACGAACTAAGATGGCCAACATGGCTTAAAAATAGTACATAGGGTAAAATGCAGTTTTTGGCTCATATCTCTGAAACCAAAGCATTTAGAGCAAATCTGACATGGGGTAAAATTGTTTATCAGGTCAAGATCTATCTGCCCTGTAATTTTCAGACCAATCAGGCAAATCGTTGTTTGGGTGCTGCCCCTGAATTGGTAATTTTAATGAAATTTTGTCGTTTTTGGTTATTATCTTGAATATTATTATAGATAGAGATAAACTGTAAACAGCAATAATGTTCAGCAAAGTAAGATCTACAATTAAGTCAACTTGACCAAAATGGTCAGTTTACCCTTTAAGGAGTTATTGCCCTTTATAATCAATTTTTAACCATTTTTCCTAAATTTTTGTAATCTTTTACAAAAATCTTCTCCTCTGAAACTACGAAGACAAATTTAACCAAACTTTTACACAATCATCATTAGGGTATATAGTTTAAAAAATGTGTCCGATGATCCCGCCCGCGAACCAAGATGGCAGACATGGCTAAAAATAGAACATAGGGGTAAAATGTAGATTTTGGCTTATATCTCTGAAACCAAAGCATTTAGAGTAAATCTGACATTGGGTAAAACTGATTATCAGGTCAAGATCTATCTGCCCTGAAATTTTCAGACCAATCAGGCAACACGTTGTTGGGTTGCTGCCCCTGAATTGGTAATTTTAAGAAAATTTTGCAGCTTTTGGTTATTATCTTGAATATTATTATAGATAGAGATAAACTGTAAACAGCAATAATGTACAGCAAAGTAAGATCTACAAATAAGTCAACATGACCAAAATTGTCAATTGACCCCTTAAGGAGTTATTGCCCTTTATAGTCAATTTTTTACAATTTTTTCATAAATTTTGTAAATTTTTGTAAATTTTTACAAAATATTTTCCACTATAACTACTGGGCCAAGTTCATTATAGATAGAGATAATTGTAAGCAGCAAGAATGTTCAGTAAAGTAAGATCTACAAACACATCACCATCACCAAAACACAATTTTGTCATGAATCCATCTTTGTCCTTTGTTTAATATGCACATATACCAAGGTGAGCGACACAGGCTCTTTAGAGCCTCTAGTCTTAAACTATAAGCAATAGGTCAACTATATTTGTTGTATGGAAGAATTGTTAGCTGTACATGTCTGCCTGGCATGGTTCATCTGACCTTGACCTCATTTTCATGGTTCATTGGTCAATGTTTAGTTTTCTTGGTTAATGTTAAGTTTATGTGACAGTTGTAATAAAGCTTTATATTAAGGACTATCAACATGATATCAGTGATTAGTAAAGAAGGCGAGACATTTCAGCGTGTGCACTCTTGTTGGACAACAACTCAAAAATGCTTTAAGCAGTTCGCATGAAACTTTGGTAAATTATTTATAGCTATTGATGTAATCTCCCTATAGATTTTCATAAATTTCAAATATGACATTGAGAAGAAATTGAACTTTATTTGTTTATAGTCTGGCAACAGATTTATTAAGTATTGCGCAACAGCACAGTGTATTGCACAACAGCAAGAAATCTTTAATTGAATATAAATTCAATTCATATAACCGATTTCAAGTTCTTTGACTACATTTATTCAGAAACTATAATATGTCAAATATTTAATTACAATCCAAATTCAGACCTGTATCAAGCTTGAATATTGTGTCCATTTTTGCCCCAACTGTTCAGGGTTGGACCTCTGCGGGTGTATCCAGCTGCGCTCAGCGAATCAGTTTATTTCTTAATTAAGAACTCTTTTTTTCATTCATAAATTACTTTAAACTTGGAAATATAATTTTGCTTGGAGTTATAGTTTCTTAAAAAAGTATTGTCATTGAAAGAGTTGACATGTTGCAATGTACATTTATTCTACATAGTTCTATGGTACCAAATCAAAAGTTTATATAAAAGAAAGAAGTCAAAGGTTTCCCATCATAGTTAAGTTACATACATTTTTTTTGTACCTGAGGTCGTTGAATATAGATCATTATATAAATAAGGAGATGTGTTATGATTGCCAATGAAGCAACTATCATCCATACTTAACAGTAACAAACCACATTTGCAGAGTTGAATAAAATACAGTTGATAACATTTTCTTATTACTAAAAAGAAAATGCCTAACTATTTTAAACAGTATTTGAATATCAATTATATGGTCATTTTTATAAACTTCCTGTTACAAAACTTTGAATTTTTCGAAAAACTAAGGATTTTCTTATCCAAGAATAGATTACCTTAGCCGTATTTGGCACAACTTTTTGGAATTTTGGGTCCTCAATGCTCTTCAACTTTGTACTTGTTTGGTTTTATAACCATTTTGATCTGAGCGTCACTGATGAGTCTTATGTAGACGAAACGCGCGTCTGGCGTATTAAATTATAATCCTGGTACCTTTGATAACTAATTTGACTATAAACATAGATAAAAAAAGGTACAAACTGGACATAATGCACTAGTTCATAAACAAGTGAGAACAATCACCTTCATATAGTGCTCAGAATATGACATTCATATAACTTGTTCAATATCATTAGAGAACTCTAAATCTTAAATACTGAAAGCCACCTCTGATAAGTACACTGTACTATGCAAGATAATGATATAACTGGACTAAAAATACACACAACCTGTAATTAACTGCCTTTACAGCGCTTTCGCGCTTTGATTTCTTTTTCTTCTTGTTTTTGGTGTATTTTTCCTCTTCTTCTTTTCTGTGGTTTTTTTTAGTAAACTTTATTGAATATTTCAACTTATGAAAATTAGCAACTGCAAAAGCAGATGATATATTTAGTATAAAAACAAGGAGCAATTTTAAAAGTATCTTGAGCAAATACTAGAAAATTGGAGAAGGATAAAAAGTTATATAAAAAAACAATTGTTGACTTTTGATTTCAGTTGATACAATGATTTATAAACCCCAGAGATATGACATTCACCCTCGGTCATTGTCCTCGGTGAATATCATATCTCTGGGGTTGATAAATCATTGTATCAACCTCATCATAAGTCAATAATTGTATACTATTTACCAGTGCACATGATGCTATGCTGTCTGTTTTTTTTTTTAGATATGATCAATATGATGAAATTAACATATAATCCTTTGTGTTGTGGCTGGCTGTTTAAGGCAGGTGATCCACTCGCAGCTTTAGCAATGTAAGTAGACATTTTTTGGCTAGTAAATATGTTGGTACATATAGAAACAGATATGCACAGTGGTGGAATAATGGGGGATGGGAGGGGTACCTCCCCCCTTTGATCAGAAAAAATAATCATTCTTGACATAGAATTGTGTTTCAGGTTGAGATGATTGAAGCTTTCAATTTCAGAAAAAGAAACTAAAATTAGGCATACATTTAAGTAAAAAAAGATATAAGAATTTATGTTAATTCCTGATATTGAAAAAGTAGGTTAAGTAGTGATTTGGTCCAGTTCAAAAAGGTCATAAACAGTTTATTAATATTCCAAGTGTATTAGATTGAATTATATGAGTTCTGCTTTACATGACAATGTGTAAATTACCTAGAACCTGTCAAAACTGTCCTGTCTTGGAATCTTCAAAATGATTGTATTTCTTTATTGTGGTATATTGATGACTATCAACAACAACAAAAAAAGTTAACAGAAAATAATGATTTACTAATACAGAATGTCATGTTATTTATCATGTTAGTTTTCCCTTAGTCTGTGTATGAAATCATGATCTGCTTTCTAATTCATTACACGTAAATATTACAGATCAGATAAAGACAGTGGCTGTATTTACATTTATGATGGACGAGGGGGAAATGATCCAATACATAAAATAGAGAAATTACATTATAAACCTGTGATTATTATTAAGGTAAGAGGACAGTATTTCATTTGATTGGATTGTGTAATAAAGAATCTTGTTGATAAACATACATTAGAATGTCTCATCTAGGGAAATATTAAATTAACCAATTTATGATTCAGTTTATACTTTCATCAGTCATAATTTTAAGTACAGTTTACACCAGGTATTATCAGATTACATGACTATGATTTGAGAATCTTGGTCCACAATTAAAACTATAAAATCTTCAATTTATGAATATTTGTATCAAAAGAAAACAGAATGAAATTCCATGTTGACATGCTGATGACATATCTTAGTTGATTTCATAATGACCTCTAAATCTTTATTTACATTTAATTGAAGATGATATTGAGTTTTTTTTGTTTTTTAAATCAGTCTAAGAGAGAATTTGTTATTCATTTAGATGTTTGAAATTGCAAGAATCTAATGAAATAATGTTGTTCATTAAGATTTTATTTTCCAATATGAATTTAGATAGCCATTTACACCTTATTAAAGTATTGTGTGTTATGAATTTATATGGCTGTTTACACCTTATTTTAGAGATAACTGTATTGTATTTGAAGCTTTGCGGACGTCCATCGGTATTTTTACTATCGCAAATTTAGTTTACCTGGCGACGCATAGCGGAGACAGGTAAACGGGTATTTGCGACAGTAAAACTACCGATGGACATCCGCAAAGCTTCAAATACAATACTGTTATCTCTATTCTAATGCAAAATAGACAAATCATTCAATTTTAGTCATTATTTCTGTGTTAAATTTTCATTAAACGAAAATTCCGCGAAATGATGTTATCTTCTTTGGCGCCTAAACTAGGTGACATCATAGGTGTGCTTCCGGCATCAAACGTAAACACCGGGCGTTTTCTGGGTTCTTGTCCGCTTCAAAATGTAATAAAATTTGGTGAAAAGAAGATTTGTAGGTCCAAATGTGAGTTTTTGTGCTTATTATTGGAGAAATTACATGTCAATATATTCTGGAATTCAAAATGTCGGCTTCCTTAGTTACAGACAGGGAGATTGAGAATTTTACGCTTGTCGTCATCCAATCAGAGCCATTGATACAAACTAGTTGCATTAGAATTAAGGATTGTGTGTTATGAATTTAGATAGCCATTTACACCTTATTTAAGGATTGATTGTTATGAATTTAGATAGCCATTTACACCTTATTTAAGGATTGATTGTTATGAATTTAGATAGCCATTTACACCTTATTTAAGGATTGTGTGTTATGAATTTAGATAGCCATTTACACCTTATTTAAGGATTGATTGTTATGAATTTAGATAGCCATTTACACCTTATTTAAGGATTGATTGTTATGAATTTAGATAGCCATTTACACCTTATTTAAGGATTGTGTGTTATGAATTTAGATAGCCATTTACACCTTATTTAAGGATTGTGTGTTATGAATTTAGATAGCCATTTACACCTTATTTAAGGATTATGTATTATGAATGATTTTCTTTGTTTTACAGTACAATATACAGTATAATGTTACAGTATCTGTAGATAAGAGTGGAATGTTAGAATATTGGACAGGACCAAAGCGGGACTATTCATTTCCTAAAAATGTAGACTGGGAACATAAAACTGATACTGACCTGTATGAGTTTGCAAAGGTTGCTATTATTTAGTAGACAAAGGTGTTATTTGAATTTGATAATTAAAAAGTTGACCTGTATAACCAACACATACATTAACATTTTACTACAAAGTTAAATCATGTATTTAATGGGTTTGGTTTCACATTTGTATTGTAATTTTTGCAAATTTTAGATATGTTGTAGATCAAAATGAGATCAATGAAAAACACAAAATATAAGATAGGTTAGTGTGCTTGTTTTTTTTTTAAAGAAAAATTAGGCTCAAAGTTAGGAATTTATTTAATTATTGAAACTTTCTGACAACTTCAAGATTTCCTAAAACTGGTATATTCAGCAATAAGATAGCCAACTATCAGGAAAAATAAAATTACATGTCATCAGTTTTGTTTCATTTCAAATTGTTGGAAGTTGTAGACCTTTATTGAGCAGTTTACAAGATTCTTTTATTAATATTTTCCTAATATTTTTGTATGATTTGGGTTTAATTATGCTTTTTGAAGAAAAAAATAATGAAAAGTATGTGTTATCTATATATTTTAGAGAAAAAATTGTTCCTGAAAATTTATTTCCCAATTGTTGCCTCATATTTTGTGGGAAATCACTTTACAAAGTTCAGAAAAAATAACAACATCCCAAGTCAAATACCAAATTCCGAACAAATTTGAGCAATGCAGTTGACGAAGTAAATATATTTGTCTTCTGTCTCATTTGCTTTACGATTCATTTGATTGGTGATTTTATACAGTACTTTATTTTTCAGATTTTTAGTCCTATGATTAGATTCTTTTACTGTGCCATTATCATAAACAAAACTTTCACTAATGAGACATTTTCAAATGTTAATTATGGTTTCGAAATTTATCTTGTCTGAAAATTGATTGACTTTCGTTAAGAGGGTATGCATTTACCACTAAGAAGAAGATAATGATTTAAAAATTATACAGAAATAAGATAATTATGTTTTTTGTCCCTTCAGATGATTCAGCTGAAAGGTTCATTTTTTAATTGAATTCTTATGTATTTACAGCTTCAGATCTCAGTCTTTGACATATGTTTCTCACCTGATGGGAAATTATTTGCAACTGTATCCTCTGATAGAAAGGTAAAGTAAAACATAGATCATTGTTAAGTAACTTTATACCCATATGTTAAAAGACAGTTATATAGATCTTATTCTAATACAAAAGTACTGGATGGCAGAACAAATCAGTAACTACATATACAATGTAAGGAAACATTTTCCTAACAAAAAATGAAAATTAAGAAAAATTGACAAGGAAAATTCAAATAAACTTAATCATTCAATATGTTAATAAAACAGAAACGATACTAAATATTTCATCATGTCCAAGTTGTATTTATCAGTAATAAGAGCAGCATTCATGCTTAAGACTTATAATAAACAAGAGGCTTCAAGGAGCCTGTATCAATGACATGGTGTCTATGTATATTATTGACTAGTGTTCTTGTACATTTTAAAAATTTTAACAAGAAAAGATATATTGTTCCAAATTGTAAGGAGCCAGAAGGCTGTTTTCATCAATCACATTAAGTTTCAGAACATTTCATTTCTTACCATGTTGTTTCATAAAAAAATATTTTTTGGAAATTGACAATCAGAACAAATGTTTTCTCTGGTGGTCATTTTTTTTCATTAGACCAATGCTGATCATAAGTAGAGAACGCTCTATCCATCGTCCTTGCCATTACGGGATAAAATTGTTGACACAATTTCAAAGAAGAGAAAACACATTTGATTTTCAATCAGGTTTCAATGGGAACTATGTACCACCAATGCCTCCATGTTTGCCACATGATAAACATTAAATGAGGATTGTTTGTAGTGAGTCTTCCAATCATCAATCCTTTCAAGTCATAAAACAATATGCCTTGTAGTTTCAGAGGAGATTCAGAAAAATTGGCCAATCAGATACCCATGTTTATAATCCAATAAGATCCAAATGAGGATAATTTATAGAGAACTTTTCATACATATTTTCTGCAAAGTTTGCTTTAAATTGATCAAGAGGATTCATAGAAGATGAAAAAGTAATTTTCCATTGGATATCAGTTGAAACTCTGTGCAACCTTGATCAACATTAAATATGATTGTTTGTAGACTGTGCTCTAAATAGCAAACCCCATAAGTTTCAAAACATTTATAGCTGTCTTCATATACAAAATGTTAGTAATCATAATCAGTTTTTTGTTTTTACAGGTCAGAGTATTTAAATTTTTGACTGGGAAGTTGTCCAAAGTTTTAGATGAATCTCTCCAACAGTTCACAGAATTGCAGCAGGTATAAATTTTGTGTGTGATTATTTTCCATCTCTAGTGACTCAACTGAGAATGTTTTTTTTTAGTTGAGTAGAGTGGGAAATTATGACATCATAAGTCGAAATCATGTCTGGGAAAATAGCAATAAACAGATTATCTATGGTCTTTCAACTCTAGGAAGTTGCACAGAATCTTATCTCAGGGCTTTCTCCCTTTGATGAGATTATAGCTGAGAGAATCCCTCTCATTTTCTAAACTATAGATAACCTATAGGTATTGTAAATTTAGAAATTTTTGCGATGTTTTATTTTTGCGAAAAATTGTTATAAGATTGGTTTCACAAAAATAGGAAGTTGCATGTTAATAAATGATTGCATAATATTTATGCAGAATTTTTTATCCATTGTTTAACAATTGCAATAATAAATGCACACACACATTTTTGTTTTGGAATTAAGGTCATGAAAAAACTTGTACAAGTATAGAAACTTTCAAGTCATCTAAAAATGACTGAAATTGTGTGAAAAAAATTCTGAAATCCTTGCTTCATATAAAGATAAGTAGATATGGTATGAATGCCAATGAGACAACTATCCACCAAAGTCCATATGAAATGGATATAAGCAATTATAGGCAACTGTACAGCCTTCAACAATGAGAAAAACCCATATCGTATAGTCGGCTATAAAAGGCACAGACATGAAAAATATGAAACAATTCAATTGAGAAAAGTCTGGTTTTCACACGTTGTAAAGGAATTTGACTGTCAGATGAATATATACTCCATATCTAGGAGATAAAGATCAATTGAGATAACTGATAAGCAGTACAAATTTTAAAATTCTTGATATTTTGAATGTGGAACCCTCAAAGATTTGTTGCAAGGGTTCTTAATGTGCACTCTCTCCACATAAGGCATTGGATTAAATGTCCCCATTCTGACTGGGTAGTAGTATAAAAAGTCACACACTGGCAGTTTTACATCTACAATGGATATTATTAATGAATCAGTTTGAATTAGCTTTATTTGACAACAATATGTGGATGAGCATATATTATCAATTAATAGTTATGTTTTGTAATGATTTAGATAATATAAGTACTTAAAAACTTTGTATGTGTTGATTACAGATGAAACAGCAGTTACCAAATATGGAGTTTGGGAGGAGATTAGCAGCAGAAAGAGATCTAGAAAAGTCTGAAGCATTTCATTTATGTAACATTAGTAAGTGAGTGTTATAAGTTGGAAAAAGAAAATATTTTTCATCCATGTTAGTCTTTTAATTCAATAGAACTATATCTACTTTGTTTCTTACCTATTTCATACCTATGCATATTACTTAATTTACTCTGCAATACTTGGATATGTTTGGTTAGGGTAATGCACAGTTTATCAAGTCCCAATATTTGGAAAGTGCCATATTATATGAATGTAAAAGAACCTCTGTAATAACAATCATATGGTCTGTAGATGGCCTGTTATAGGACAAACCTTCAAATTTATTCCAAAATGACAATGTTTTACCAGTACCAATCAAGATTCTCAAATAGTTCTTAACTGCTGCTCATTTTATTTTTAAGAACCTATAGATTGGTTTATTGTATAATTTATATACCTCCTTTAAGATGCCAACGCTTTTTTTGGTGCACGATAATAACAAGACAATCAAGCCTCAAAATGATCACAACAATATTTAAAGTGGAAACTGATCTGTTCTACACCAGTAAAAACCCAGAAGAATAACAAGTAGACTTTTTGACTATATCACTGTAATTCAGGCCTGGATTTTGTTCCAAATATGGAAAATAGTAATGGTTGGCATCTATGCATCATGAATATGCAGAGTAGGCTTGTAGTTGAATAATTTGTCTGTGAAGGGTGATATTTCTTCCCGCAGAATATTACATTGGGAAACTAAAACATAAAAAATGAACTGAGTATGGTAGTCTAGTTTAAATCTGGATGTATTATATCTCACTGACATTTTTATGTCCAATAAATGCATGTTAAATTTGAAACTGGCTGTTAAGTAGCAATCTAGCAATCCATCAATCAACTATAGTTGGAAGATAGAAAGAACCCTTTTATACTGTTTAGTTTCTGTTTTTCAGTATTTGATGAAAGTGGGAACTTTATTTTGTATGGAACCATGCTTGGAATAAAAGGTAATGTATTTAATGTATTTCTTCTTCTAAAAGTAACCATTTATATCTGGTCTGTGACCAATCTGATTAAAATCAGATCCTTCACTTTGCTTGTCACTTATGTAACATCTCAAACCACCCAATAAGGGGTCGTGTTCTGATGACCTTTTATGCAAATCTTTAATCAACCAATCATTTTGTGTGACATGCTTGCACTTTAAGGTAGATTCATGGTATACCACCATCTTGTACAATCGCAGTACACAATCGGTCTAGATCTTTGTCCAAATCTGCAAAATTGGAGACATATAGGCAATTCATAGGTTAGACTGTTTATTTAATGAAAGAAAACTTGGTGATTTACTGTATTATACAAAAGGTTTAAATAAATACCAAATAATTGTGTTTTTATAATCATTTTTTCAACTTGGCCATTTAAGGGGAGATAACTCTTTGAGTACAAAATTTATACTGGACTGATAGGGAAATTTTAATTTTTTACTTGTAGCAAGAAAACAAGTTCGGTGACACCATTTTTTGGAAAATGACGCTATCAGCTGCATGTTTCCGATACCATTGACCAGAACTAACGGAAGTTGATTATGCCTCCGCCTACCGCACTCGGTTTCATATTTACTATTTTACATACTATTACTAACTGGAATCTGCTTGTATTACGCTACACTCGAACAAAGTGTTGTAGTCGGACGGGAACCAGTTTACATACGTTATTTTATTTACCAAAAAGATATCTTGACCTGTCCATATGTTTTTTGTTATTAAATGGTATTTGGAGCTATCCCTTTGTTATATTTTTCATATTTATTCGAGCTTTCACTTTTATGCACATGTCTTACAATCGTAAACAATCGGTATGTATACATGATAAATAGATCCGTTTTGTTATGGTGTTGGACTTTTTACCCTCCAATGATCAGCAATCGCTAGACAAAATAGTTCTCCTAAATAATGTCAGCCTTTCGTGCCATTTCTACTTTACAATCATTAAAAAAGTAATAGCCGGAATCATTTTGATATACATTGGATAGAAACTGGTCTTTATCCAGATTTACGAAGATTTTAATAATCGGAAATTAGTAATACGGTTACACCCACGCGGTGCGTATGAATCTTTGTTTACAAAGTTATAGCAGCAGAGTCTGTAACTGTATCATTATTAATTAACTACACTGTTATTGAACTTAATATGATGAAAACTGCATATGCAATATAAGATGTCAACTCGGCCAATACAGATTTTTTTCCGTATTGGCCGAGTTCTGATCCGGCCAAAACAGGATTTCGGAACATCTCTAGTTTTTAGATCGTAAGTCAGGATAAACTCAAACTGAAAGTAAACAGTTGTTTGTACGACGCAGTTTTTATTTACTCACCATAAACAAGCTGAAACGTTCAGTATGGCATATATTTTAGGTTAAAGACGGTCCCATTCATTTGAAAAGCATTTTGAAAGTAGACGATGGAATTATTTCAGGTTTGGAGAACGAGTAAATTATCACAAAGTTCATTTCTTGACGACCTCATAATTTCATCATGTCGATGGTACAAATCGATATTTACTGTTCACTTTCGCTTCTCATGTTTTGTAAACGGTCTTTTATTTTTAAACCCGAACCAGGCATATGCATTCTGTAATTGCGCAAATCTTCGTTCTTTGGTCAATTGGCTTATGGATAGTTGTATCAATTTCAACTCTTACATTATTTTTTTAAAAATATATTTGCATTACACATGCAATGGCAGTACCTTTCCAATTACTATTTATGTGTTGTGTCTAAATTAAAGTTGTAACACTTTATAGTGACTGGAAAGGGTAGATAAATTCATCAGATGAGAACAGGCTGAAGATACATGGAAACGGCACCAAATCATTAGATATTGCATCTTATAAAAAGAAACTGAGATTTGGATAGTTCCACTTCAAGGTAAAAATGTTTATCTCTTGTGAAATGGAATAAAAAAAATATTGTAACACTGTAGTTAATTAATAAAGATACTATTACATGTATTTCTGTATTGGCCTTATTGTTGGTCCTCGGCATGCAGTACACCAAGACATGACCCAATAACAAAGACAATACAGAAATACTTACGTAATAATATTATAGAATGACAGTATGGTTCAATAGCGGGAATCAGCCCCTCAACTACTTTTTACATAAATATTAACTTCTGGCTTCAACTCCTTGTTCGTCTTGTCTGGAGATCTTGTTGTAGTTCCAGTTAGGCAAGCATTTTAGAGACGTATCCGATCCATCCTCTCTTGACTTGTAATTTCTGGTGATAGATTTTGCCGCTTGACGTTGTATCCTTTCAAGCTTGTTTTTTTTGTTACCGTGTAGGGATCCCATACTATGGCTCCATATTAAATTGTAAGATCCATTCCTAAAGGTCTAGATCATTGTTCTAATCTGACACAAATTTCAATAACTGGAATGCTACCCAAGTTGAATATATGGTGACCTACTAGAACAGCATTATAACTATTGAAATTGTGTTTAATACCATGATTGTTCAATGTCATTAACTTAAATGGAGACAGACATTTGACCCGAAAGGTGGTGTGGGAGTGCAAAATCAAAAACTAACTAACTATGATATATGGTTAAAGAATGAATATCAATTACATGGGTCAACATGGTCAAGGGCAGAGTTGTTATGAAATAACAATATGGCAGAGAAGTGGTTTCAAGTTTCATATAAAGCGACCTGACTGACATGAAATAAAAAATCAAAGGAGTATCCCTATTTGTCTAATCTTCAAGGTGAAATAAAACTAGTAAAACAATATTATACTATTGTCTAAATCTACAGAAATATTATTTGCTTCAAGTAACAGAAATAACTAGGTCACTAGTAACTTATTTAATGAGTACATGTATGTGGGGTATAAGAGCTTGATAACAACAGGCTCTTCATAATCATTTGGTTTGAAAAGGATACTAGTAGTCTATATTCTTGATTTAGAAAAATGTAATTGCAAGACAAAAATCACATTACTTGGAATACTTTAGATCATTCAGGTAGTCTTTATTTATATGTACAAAAGAACAGCCAGTAGTCATTGGATAGTGTAGATCATTCAAATAGTCTTAACCTATTTATTAGTACAAAAGAACAGCCAGTAGTCATTGGATATTGTAGATCATTATGGTAGTCTTGACCTATTTATTTATAGAAAAAAACAGCCAGTAGTCATTGGATACTGTAGATCATTCCGGTAGTCTTGACCTATACATTTGTACTAAAAAAACAGCCAGTTGTCATCTTCACATAACACACACATATACGAATATCAATTATATGCTTACGAGACATGTTGGAATGTTAAACTAATTACGGTATGTGAAAATCAAGACTTGCATAAAAAATATCACAATATTAGAGACAATGGCGTCATTTTTCCTCAGAGCTTTCAGCTCTTTGATTCTTTTTATTTTCTTTAAGCATATTATAAAACCTATCTTCTCATATTTTATTTCAAAATTTTATCTCATAGATTTCTTTTTATGCACAAAAATGTGTTTTTTCATGAACAATCTAAGCAAATTTGTGCAATTTCGTATGACCCGTAGCTTAAAAAATAGCACGGTGACCCATACTTTTTATTATATTTTTGGAAAAAGCATAGAAAAATCTTTATTTTGGCAAAGTATAAAAAAATTCTATCTGAGGAAATATATACCTATGATCTACCTTAATTTTCCTGCAAACATAGATTACACAATTGGATAAAAATTTAAACATTATAATGATTAAATGTTACAACTTATTATTCATAATACATAAAATGAATAAAAAAAGCAACCTGGCTGCAGACAATAGTGGATTATGAATAAAGAGAGACCCACACACTTTATATTTTAACAACATTTTTAAAGATTTTTCAATTGAAGCCAAGAGCTACCCATTTTTGTTCCAAAACAAGTTCTATGTAGTGTAGAGCATGTTTATTTCCATCAAATAGCACGTAAGAAGGAGATGACTGGACTCAAATGTAAAAATTCAAATGCATTGTGAAAATTGAAATCAATACAATTCTTTGATCACATTTAATCTACAATCAATTAATTATGAGATAATTTTATAAAGACTCTTGACAGTTACCTGTCAAAAACATTTATCTACACCTTCTTAAAAAGCTTCTTTCATCTTATTTATGTACAAGTTCAATACTTGGATACTATGTAATCTACAATCATTTAACTTGTAATGATGATATAACTAGTAGAATCTGTTTGCTTCTTATCAAAATTAGGTCATCTGATAATACCTTATGTGTTATTGACAAAATTTTATTCTACCTCATGTACTATAGTGAATGCCTCAATAATGACTGTTTAGAAGACCACCTTAAAGGAGATTATCTATAATGTTTAAAATCATATATGACATTTACCAAGCAAATATTGTACTTAAATATATTATATGATAGAGATATCAAAATCATGATAAACGTTTTATGAAGTAAAAATGACGAGAATGATATTTATAGGTTTCATAACGAGTGAGAATTGGATATCGCTTCATATCAACTCTCTTTATTTAATTTCAATATAATAATAAACGAGCCTTTGGCGAGTTTATTATTAATATTTAAATTAAATAACGAGGGTTGATATCAAGCGATATCCAATGCTCACAAGTTGTTAAACCTATTTCTCTTATGGTCAACACTCTTGTTGTGTTTAATTAAAAATTCCACGAAAAGTTGATCTAGTCTTTTGCACATACAAGTATGACGTCATATGTCCTGTTCCGGTGTCAAACTTTAACATCGGACATTTTAAAACTTTTTGTACGCTTCAGAATGTAATAAAATTTGACAAAAAGAAGATTTTTAGGTGAAAAGTGTGAGTGTTTTGTATATTATTGAAGAAATCACATATGTCTGTTGCCATGGACAAAATGTACATCCTCTTAACCTTTGAAAGTGATAAATGACCTAACGAATAGCCAATGGAAATGTCATAATATCGTCTCATGATGCTGGATAGCCCAATCAAATTAACACAGATTTTCGTATCACATTTTCGTATAACACTCCGTGCAGTGTGATAGGAGAAATATCTCTTTATGCAAGAAATAGATAGTAGGCCGCAACCATAAGAGAATTATATTTGGAGCGTGAACAGACCTGTAAATTTTATTTAATATTTCAGTGATTAATCTACATACAAACAGATGTGTACGTATGATAGGGAAGCCAGAAAACATCAGAAGTTTATCAATAAGTTTATTCCAAGGTACAGGGAAGAAAAAAAAGGCTGCAATAGATGTAGAAACTGCAGCATCAGACAATCCAACATTACAGAATGTTTTCTTTGATCCATTGTTGTTCTGTACAGCTTTTAAGAAAAACAGATTTTATATTTACTCACGCAGGGAACCAGAAGATACAAAAAGGTACTAGAGATTAAAAAATTTTGAAATTTTTAGCAAAGGACAGGCATCCATGTCATGTGACAAACTTCAAATGTCATTGAGTTAGAACAAGTGTAAATAGAATCAACAGACAAACAAAAATCTCACAAAATGCTTGACAGTCAAATACCATGTTCTTTTATATAGATTTTCTGTTGGCAGCAACCAATGAATTAATGTGAACAAATTAAGATATAATATAACAAAAAAACAAAGGATATGGAGTATCCATCCATGACGCAAAATCAGTGCAGCAAAAAAACACACATAAAAGCAAAGGAACAGCACTTTTATTGCTGTTCTTCATCTCAGAGTCACAGTGAGGCCTTCAACACGGAACAACAAAACTCTCACCTCACTGCAAGTTTAAGATGGCCCCTACGCATAGGTGTAAATATCAAACTATGTAGAATATATTTTAGTAATTAAGGTATCAAATGAAAGGTGAAGGACTGGTGATCCTTGTAGAACACATATTGACTGATAAGTTTGAATGATACAAAAATGTATGAATTAATTCTAAAATTATATCTTTATTTTCTGATGAAACAAAACACTTGGTTTATTTGCCATTGAGATTTCGTAATATTTTACAAGAAGGTGTAAAAGAACAAGCTTTGTCACTTGAATATTTGATATTGAATAATCTTTTTATAAGAATTATATAGATCAAGCTGCCTTTACCATAAACTGTAGATTTAATAAATGTGAAACTTTTTATCCTAAACTGGTTCAAATAATTGACTTTGTTAATTTCAGTATTGATTCAGAAAGAGATGTGTTCAATGAAAAACCATCAAAAGAAGAAATTGTATCTTCTGCACAGGTATGTTGACTATCAGTGATGTTGTAATTAAGATAAAGGCTGTAATGACTAAATAATAAAGTTAAGAAAATAACAGATATTCACAGTTTTTGTCGAGCCTGTGACTTTTGTCGCAGAAAGCTCGACATAGGGATAGTGATCCGGCGGCGGCGGCGTTAGCTAACTTCTTAAAAGCTTAATATTTCAGAAGGTAGATTACCTGGATCCTTCATACTTTGTATATAGATGCCTTATGTTATGAAGTTTCCGTCTGTCATATGTCCATCGACCTTGACCTCATTTTCATGGTTAAGTGACTACTTGAAAAAAAAAGTTAAAATTTTTAGTATTCTTAATTTCTCTCTTATTATGAGTAATAGGATAACTATATTTGGTAGGTGCGTACCTTGCAAGGTCCTCATGCCCATCAGACAGTTTTCACTTGACCTCGACCTCATTTCATGGATCAGTGAACAAGGTTAAGTTTTGGTGGTCGTCCATATCTCAGATACTATAAGCAATAGGTCTACTATATTTGGTGTATGGAATGATTGTAAGGTGTACATGTCCAACTGGTAGGTGTCATCTGACCTTGACCTCATTTTCATGGTTCAGTGGTTATAGTTAAGTTTTTGTGTTTTGGTCTGTTTTTGTTATACTGTATAAAATAAATCGACTATATTTGGTGTATGAAAATATTTTACGATGTACATGTCAGTCTGGCATGTTTTATTTGACCTTGACCTCATTTTCACGGTTCATTGCTCAATGTTTAGTTTTTGTTTTTGGTCTATTTTTCTAATACTTTCAGCAATAGGTCAACTATATTTGGATTATGGAATGATTGTAAGGTGTACATGTCCAACTGGCAGGTGTCATCTGACCTTGACCTCATTTTCATGGTTCAGTGGTCAAAGTTAAGTTTTTGTGTTTTGGTCCTTTTTTCATATACTATATGCAATAGGTGAACTATATTTGGTGTATGGAAATATTTTAGGATGTACATGTCTGTCTCGCAGGTTTTATCTGACCTTGACCTGATTTTCACGGTTCATTGCTCAGTGTTAAAATTTGGTGTTTTGGTCTATTTTTGTTCAACTATAAGCAATAGGTGATAACTTTATAATTTTCAAACTGACATAATTATGTTTTATGTGTTAAGTGTATTAATGACATTAAATAAAAGTAAAGAGATATGGCGTGATTGACAATGAAACAACTATCCACCAGAGACAAAAAGAAGGATGAAAACAAATATATAGCCTTCAACAATGAGCAAAACCCATACAGTTTAAATAGTATTTATAATTCACTTTTTCAACATTTTACAGAAAATCAGAAAATATGTTGATTTAACAAATAGTTAATTTCATGCTTTGTAGTCTTAACTTATTGCCAAACATATTTTAACATGCCTTACAGTTGTTAGAGCATTACCTGTAACAAAAAAAATAATCAAGGTTAGATGCATAAGAAATGAATAACTTGTGGCAAAAAGACAAAGCTGAGTTTTTAAGGGTAAAAAATCCATTTTATCAGAGAAAAAAATTAAACAAATTAATTGTAAGGTGTTAGATTTAGTGCAAAGTCTCTTTCATAATCTGATGCAGTGTTTAGCAATCACCAATCAATCAATCAATCTTTCATAATCATTTTCTTTTTTTAAATAAACTTGTAGGATGCTTCATACACAAGAGTAGCTGAATCTTGTATTATGTATACAACTATGGGTGATATTCATCTCAAATTATTTGCAAAAGAGTGAGTACAAGTATATACTTAGAAATTGTAACCTTTCACATTTTTTCTTGTGTGAAAGATTTCTTGTCTTACTAATATTTCACTTACCAGATTTTCTTACTTTGCATTATCACTGGTCTTAGATTCGTAGCAGAAACCTTTACAAAATAGTTAAAACTGTCTTCCAACCTTTTTTTTTACTTTAAGGTTAGCATTATTTTACAAATCATATTGAAAATATCTATGCTTTTTCTTTCACTTACTTCAATTTAATGTTTTACTTGTTATATACTTTAGAGTTTCCCTATTATTTCTTGACTGCATTTGTTGTTGATATATAATGAAAAACATAGTTATATGTCTTTTCTTTTTCTGTTGTAGATGTCCAAAGACTGTAGAGAATTTCTGTGTACATTCTAGGGATGGATACTATAATGGACATATATTTCATAGGGTCATCAAAAACTTTATGATTCAGACAGGGGATCCACAAGGTATTATTTTCAAATATTTTACAGAATATTATTTTCAAATATTGCTCGTGTTTCTTTTATACATGAATAGTGTAGAGAACTTGTATAGCTTTTGATCCCTTATAAGAATATAATTTAAATTTTCATAAATTTTATCAAAATATAAACTTTGGCTAATAAAAGACAATTTGCTAAACAGTCCAAAAAAAGTCTTGCCTGATAAAATACTTCTTATTAAATGTACATTCTCTTAAGACTGTAGCAGCAGTAACAACAGAAAACATGATATTTTTACAGGAAATGGTACTGGTGGAGAATCTATCTGGGGTGGAGAATTTGAAGATGAGTTCCATCCCTCATTAAGACATGACAGACCATATACACTCAGTATGGCTAATGCTGGACCAAATACCAATGGATCTCAGTTCTTCATAACTCTTGTGCCTACAGTGAGTTTATTGAATCTTTAAAGTATTTTTATACGACCGCAAAAAAATTTTGCGGTCGTATATTGGTATGACGGCGTTATCCGGCGTCGTCGTAGTCCGAAGACACATTGGTTTTCGCACAATAACTTTAGTTGAAGTGAATGGATCTCTATGAAATTTTACCATAAGGTTCAATACCACAAAGGGAAGGTTGGGATTGATTTTGGGGGTTATGGTTAAGGAATTAGGGGCCAAAAAGGGTCCAAAAATATGCATTTTTGTAACTTCCAGACAATAACTTGTGTGTTAGTGTATGGATCTCTCTGACATTGTACCACAAGGTTCCATATCACAAAGGGAATGCTGTGATTGATTTTGGGGGTAATTGCCTCAAAATTTTAGGAATTAGGGGCCAAAAAAGGGGCAAAAAACAAGCATTTTTACAGTTTCCAGACAATAACTTGTGTTCAAATGTATAAATCTCTCTGAAATTGTACTTCAAGGTACCATCCACAGCCTTTTTCTTGTTTCAAGACAATAACTTGTGTGTAAGTGTATGGATCTTTATGAAATTGTACTACAAGGTTCCATATCACAAAGGGAAAGCCTGGTTTGAGTTTGGGGGTAATTGCCCTAAACGTTTAGGAATTTGGGGCCAAAAAAGGGCCAAAAAAAAAGCATTTTTACAGTTTCCAGACAATAACTTGTGTTCAAATGTATAAATCTCTCTGAAATTGTACTTCAAGGTACCATCCACAAAGGGAAGGCTGGGATTGAGTTTGGGGTGATGAATCATAAGGGGGTTAAAAAAATTTGGGGGGGGGGGATTTTTTTTTCCTTTTTTTCCTTTTTTTTTTCTTTTAAATTTTCCATTTTAAGTTAGTTATTTTTATACGACCGCAAAAATTAAAAATTTTTTGGTCGTATATTGGTATCACGTTGTCGTCGTCGTCGTTGTCAGCGTCGTCCGAAGACAGATGGTTTCCTGATAATAACTGTAGTATAAGTAAATAGAAATCAATAAAATTTTAACACAAGGTTTATAACCACTAAAGGAAGGTTGGGATCGAATTTGGGGCTAATGGTCCCAACTGTTTAGGAATTAGGGGCCAAAAAAGGGGCCCAAATAAGCATTTTTGTAGTTTCCAGACAATAACTTGTGTTGAAGTGTATGAATCTCTCTGAAATTATACCACAAACTTCCATACAACAAAGGGAAGGTTAGGATTGGCTTTGGGGGTCATGGCTCAAACCATTTAGTAATTAGGGGCAAAAAAAGGGGAAAAAAAGGATTTTTCTGGTTAAAGGACAATTGAGACAATTTAAAAGCAGTGTAAGGGAGGTAATCCAATTCAAATTAAAGAACACTGTTTGATTACCTCCCTTACACTGCTTGTAAATTATGTATTAAGAAATGATGATTGTCTTGAGGTGATTAGCTGTCAATTTATTTTTAGCAGTTACTATTAATTAATATTAATTTTAGCCACGACTATGTAAGTCATTTCATATTTTAAAACTTTTATGATGTATTTAAATGGTTAATTTTGGTTGCAAACTGCATTAGAAATTTGAATTGAGATACTGACCATATCTTGAGGGAAAGAATTTTTTTGGGGAATAAGGGAAAGGGGGGAGGTGAAAAAAATTGGAAGGGGGGACAATTTTTCTCATTTCAGATTTCAGAAATTAAAAGAAAATTTCTTCAAATATTTTTTTAGGGGGGTTAATATTCAACAGCATAGTGTATTGCACAAAAGCAAAAAACCGGGGTAAAATAATTTTTTTTTGGTAGGGAAGGGGGGGGGGGGGGGACAATTCACAACAGCATAGTGTATTGCACAAAAAGCAATAAATGAATATAAATTCAAATCATATAACCAATTTGAAGTTCTTTGACTACAGTTATTCTGTGTCAGAAACCTATTATGTGTCAAAAATTTAGTTACAATCCAAATTCAGACCTGTATCAAGCGTGAATATTGTGTCCATTTTGGCCCAACTTTTCAGGGTTGGACATCTGCGGTCGTATCCAGCTGCGCTCAGCGAAGCAATTTATTTATTTATATATTAAAGCAAATAATAATGATATGGTTTGATTTCATCAAAAATTGAAATATTGGGGTTCTTTGATATGCTGAATTTAACCGTGTATTTAAATTCTTATTTTTTGGTCCCGTTTTCAAATTGGTCTACATTAAGGTCCAAAGGGTCCAAAATCAAACTTAGTTTGATTTTAACAAAAATTGAATTCTTGGGGTTCTTTGATATGCTGAATCTAACCGTGTATGTATTTAGATTTTGGATATTGGACCATAATAGGTAAATTAAAATTTTTTTAGTTCTTAGACCACATTCATTCTGTGTCAGAAACCTATGCTGTGTCAAATATTTAATCACAATCCAAATTCAGAGCTGTATCAAGCTTAAATTTTGTGTCCATACTTGCCCTAACTGTTCAGGGTTCAACCTCTGCGGTCGTATCAAGCTGCGTCAGCATTTTATTAGTTTCTAAATACAGTTTTATTTAGCCATCTTTCCTGATAAATTTAAACAGGGTTTTTCATGGAAGTTTTCATTTTTGACAGCATTTTTAGAAAAAAGCTGAATTTTTAGGTAGTTGATACATGTATTTTACATTTATTTATCTTTTTTCACAAATAATTATCAACTTAAAAGTCATCTTTTATTTTTGCTAAATGAGTTAATGACAGTCAAATACCATTACATGATTATGTCAAATATATTTGTGTTTCAATTTTCAATATATAAGTCCACATAAAATGACTATTATCTTATTTCATACTGACAGGAAATTCCCTATGCTGCCAACACTGTCTGTATGATGGAAAGGCTATTATCTTGAGGAGGTTGTCTTTCTTTATTAAAATATTTTATCAATTCACTTTAGGTTGAATTGTTTGCAGTATTTTGCTGGATCAGTTCATGTTCCTTACCTTTCAATATGGTTTATTACTATTTTACTTCTTGAAGGAGTTTCAAGTAATTATTTGGTCTGTTGTTTATGTATTTTACATGAACTTGCAATGCAAATTTGAGGTGATTCAGTATTACAAGAAATCTAAACAAAGGGGTTGTTGAATTTTAATTTCTTTTTGTTACATCCTATATCGAACACTACACCAGAGGTATTTACTTTGGATAGTTAAAAAAAGAGGGGGAGAGAGATAAGTGGAAATAAATATTAAAACTATAAACCCAAGAAAAATAGGCAACATCATGGCAAAAAAAAATATACATTGACAAACAAGTCCACAATAACACTACAATGAGCAACACAAACCTCACTAAAACAGAGTGCTGAAAATTGGTAAAAACCCAAGAAAAACAATTAAACAGTAAAAAATGGAGTTTACGGGCCTTGGAAATGAAAACTATGGAAAATTGCATTATTAGCACTCTCATGTCTACATTTCTTGTCAGATTTTTTTTAAGAGTTTGAAAAAACTGAATGCTAGAATACAAAGGACATAGGGTATCCATCCATGACACAAAATCAGTACATGCACAGCAAAAAACACACAAAAAGTAAAGGAGTAACCTTTTAATGCTGTTCTTTTTCATGATTGTCATTGTACTGCAATACTATATTTTCAATTATATTTTGGTTGAAATTTTATTGTTTCTTTGTATTCAATACTGAACAAAAAGCTGTTAAACAACCTGGTCATTCGATTCTATGGACTATTGTTTTATTGTCTTGCCTGCGACGAAAGTGGCGGAAAGCGAGACATAGGGATTGCTTTTCCGGCGATGACGTAAACAATTGTTAAGTTTTCTGCTTAAGTTAGTTTGATAGGAACTACTTGTGATAGATCATTGATATTTAATATAAAGTTGCATTACTATCAGTACATATCAGTTTGATGACTATTTCGAGGCCCTGCCCCCTAGATTATGGTCCAGCGACTTTGAATTAATTAGCAATTTTCAATGTTAAGTTTTCTGCTTAAGTTAGTTTGATAGAAACTACTTGTGATAGATCATTGATATTTAACAAAAAGTTGTATTTCTATCAGTACATATCAGTTTGATGACTATTTCGATGCCCTTCCCCCTAGATAATGGTCTAGCAACTGAATTAATAAACCATGTTGCTGTCCATCAGATTGTCTTTTTCTGATCTTTTTGCCGACAGACGAGACATATCTCTGTGTCAACAGTTTATTAAATGAATAACTGCAAATTCAGAAAATGAGGTATTCTCCACGGCAGATCTATATTTTCATATTAGAAACTATCAACTGTCTATCAAAAATAGAATTTTAGAGCCTTTTGTTCCTTATAGAAAGAAAGAGTGACATGATTTTATGAACATTTGAATGTTTAACGTTAATGTTTTGATTTGTTTTTGTTTTCAGCCTTGGTTAGACAATAAACACACAGTTTTGGGAAGAGTGACAAGAGGCATGGATGTGGTGCAAAACCTGGGAAATGTGAAAACAAATAGTAAAACAGACAAACCATTAGACGATATCAGAATAATAAATATAGCTATTAAATGATGCTTCTGTCAATAAAATATATATTTGTAATGCTAAACTCATTTCTTACCATAAAAAGTATAGTTTTTAGTTCTCTCCTTTATATCTTAACACTTTAAATTTGTTTGCACATTTAGCTATCATTGTCCAAGTGTCAGTATGAGCTTTTCTCATCACTGTGTGTAAATCTTCATTAACTTTTTTTTGCTTGAAAATATGGGACCAAAACTATTTGCAATCATCCCTATGGTGTTTAGTTTAAAAATTGCATCTACTCACTATTGTTTAAAGGCAAAATGAGACATCCTTGATGGCTTTCTATGTAAATAGTTAACAGATTTTTATTGTCTAACAGTATGTATAAAGCAGCCATGGTTTTCTGGTATTGTGATCACCTCGAGTACTGGAGGTTGTGGGTTCAAACCCTGGCTGGGTCTAACCAAAGACTGTAAAATTTGTATTTGCTGCTTCTTCGCTTTGCATGCAATATTAAGGAGTAAGAGCAAAGATTAGTGGACTTGAAGTCTTACGTTTTCTTATGTGTTGTCAAACTTCATTGCAGATATTGAGCTGATATTTGGTACATAATTCTATAATTAGAAGTTACAGAACTTTTGATTTTAATAATAGCAATTGGATGATTTAACAAACACAACAGTTTTCTGTTCAATTTTCAGCTATACCTCTGACTATTGTGCTGATGTGTTGTATCTTAATTGTAGCATGAGCTATGACAGAATTCATTTGAACTAGGTTCCAGTTCCTTTTGAATTCATATGGCCATTGAACTTTTACAGTTAAATTAAATTATGGTTTTTCTGTTGCCTTATAATTATTTTAAGCAGATAGTTATCCGATTTTGTTTATATTTTATAATGAACCGTAAGAGATCCTATATGTAACAATATTTTTTTTAAATTCTTTAAGGTTAAAAAAAATCTTTTCAATTGTCTGTGAATCACATCAACCTTACAGCACCACCTGATCAAAGTGTTGCAGGGTTTTCAGAAATATAACAGTAAACGACTATTGTTTTACATTTCAAAACTTTACTGAATAAAATGTATACAAATGAAAGAAGGGTGGCCACCCTTTTGCTGGAATAATTACATATGGAATATAGCTGCTGACTACCAAATTATTTGTCTATTTGTCTTTTTATTTTTGGCCATGACCTTGTCAGTTTGTTTTCGATCTATGAGTTTGACTGTCCCTCTGGTATCTTTCGTCCCTCTTTTACATGAATGTAAAACACTTAGAAGTGAGATCAGACCTAAAACCAATGACAATGGAATATTATGTACTAAGGAAAAAGGTTTACTTTCTTTTGGTAGATAGCAGATTTTTCCATTGTTCCACAATCACAATAATAAATGCATATTAAATATTCTGAATATTAAAAATTCTGAATTTTTAATAGAAACAACTGAGAAAAACAAAAACTTCGAAATTTTATACCAATTGAATAGATGGAAAGAGGTATTATATTTGGGTGTATTTGTAACCGTTTATCTTTTCCTACAGTGAAGCTTTTCCTTTTGGAAGAAATAAAGTAGTTTGAATAATCATTGAAGGGATTTTCCTAGTGTGTCATTTCTTTTGCAAGTGAATAGAAATACTTTAGGGCATTTTATGTACAAGAAATTTTATCCACTGACATTAAACTTTGCTTATTGATTCAACTGTTACATTCTGTTTTTACTCCTATCCATTATCCAAGATGACCTTTCCCCTGTTAAACAAGAACAAAAAAAATTAACCAAACTCGGCCACAATCATCAATGGAGTATGTAGTTTAAAAAAATATGTCTGATGACCCTGTCTGCAAACCAACATGGCCACCATGGCTAAAAGTAGAACATAGGAGAAAAATGCAGTTTTTTGTCTATTATCTTGAAAACCACTATAGAGAGAGAAAATTAGATAGAGGCAGAAAAGAATGTTGAGATCTACCTATTGTATATTTAAATCAAAACTGTCAGACGACTTCTTATAGGAGTTATTACCCTTAAATGACGATTTTTTTCCCCCATTTTTTGTGCATTTTTGCCTTATATCTTAAAAATTATAAAAGATAGAGAGAAAACTTTAAAAAGCAATAATGATCAGCAAGACAAGATCTACAATTAAAAATACATTGCTGAAATTGTCAGACGACCCTTATTGGATTTTTGCCCTTTAATGACGATTTTTATTAATTTTTGGGGTTTTCACCTTATATCTTAAATTATTTTAGATAAGCAGAAACTTAATTAAGCGATGTTAGCTATTTGTATAAAGCTTTATATTTCAGAAGGTAGAAGACCCGGATTCTTCAGATCTTGTATGTAGATACCTTATGTTACAAAGTTTCCGTCTGTCATATGTCCATGTCCTTGACCTCATTTCCATGGTTCAGCAACTTCTTGAAAAAAGATTTGAGTTTTTTTGTCATGTGAATTTCTCACTTATCAGTAATAGGATAATTATATTTGGTATATGGGTTCCTAGCAACTTCTACATGACCGTCAGACAGGGTTCACTTGACCTCGACCTTATTTCATTTATCAGTGATCAAGGTTAAAGTTACGTGATGAGGTCCATTTCTCAAATACTATAAGCAGAAGGTCAACTATATGTGGTACATGGAATGACTGTAATGGGTACATGTCAGTCTGGCAGATTTCATCTGACCTTGACCTCATTTTCATGGTTCATTGGTTAATGTTAGGTTAATGTTAAGTTTTTGTGTTTTGGTCTGTTTTTCAATTACCATAAGCAAAAGGTCAACTATATTTGGTGAATAAAATAATTGTAAGGTGTATATGTCTGTCTGACAGGATTTATCTGACCTTGACCTCATTGTCATAGATCACTTAAAATTTTAAGTTTCTGTGATACTTTTAGTAAAACCTTTATCTTTAAGACTTTCAACATAAAATCAATGGTCAGTAAAGCAGGCAAGACATTTCAGCATGTGCACTCTTTTCAAGATTAGATTGAATTGTTGAAAGTGATATTAAAAGATTGAAGAAATGATAGAACTTTTTTTCAGCGTAGAAGTATTCATAAAAACTTGTGGGAATCAGCCAAAGTCTACTGCAATACCATAAGCCTATAGCTTTAGACCTAAAAGAAAAAAGGATGGAACACTGATAAGAATTAGAACAGCTCCATGCATGGCAGAAATGAAAACCTATAAGTTACATCTATAAAATAATGCTGATACTGGCTAAAAAATCATGATGATCACCAAGGTTTTACATAGTATTAACTTTAGAAAAGTCTGATATTGAATTCATAGTCAGGCTGTTGTGCACTGTTTGTCCATACCAATACTTGTTTTTGTGTCATTGGGTTTCTGACTCATTGTCTCATTATATGAGAAAATTTGAAGCAAAAATATTATTGAAAAGCATCAGTTTACTCACTTCCACAGCTCCAGATTTAATTTTTTGTAGTTGCGAGTCAGATTGCTGATTATAATATCTTATTAGACTATTTTTAAAAACACTATTATTTAAGTAGGCTAAATAAAATATTTAAAGTACTTAAACTTGATACAAAAGATTAATTGACAGATAATAGTGTTTTTAAAATTGTATAATTATTATAGGAGACTTACTTAAGGGTAGAAAACCAGCATTTTGAGTTTTCTTGCGGTAATTCTTGATCTGCAGTAAGCGCACTATTTCATATTCTATCTCTATTTAATTTAAGTAAGTCTCATATAATAATTATACATTAAACATAATGAGAAATTCAAAATTAAACTCCTGTTACATTCAAGTCTACTTAGCCATATATTTGATGACTGTCTTTTGACCCCAAGAATAGATTTCAACATCTTGTGTTGTAATTTATCAATAGGTAGATTGTCAAAATTTTTAAATTTATGTTATAATCTGATAATCATATTTCACTACCATATATGTCAAAATAGGTTTAATTAGACTATCAAAAGTTTAAGACAGGTTTTCAATGGTACCTCTTGGAAGTTATTTAAAATTTACTTTTAACAGAGAAAAAGGCTATTAGAACTTTATTATAGAGATCATCTGGCGCATGTTTAAGATTACCATTGAAATAAAATACAATGCCTAAATATTTGTATCTTTCCACAATTTAAGTTTGTTAAGACAATGTTGGAAACCTTCTTTATTTTCTGATAAAAGTAAATATTAGATGATTGATTTTATGATTTCCCAGAACTTATGGATAGGATTTGTCTTTGTCATCAAAACATTTACCTAAATCTTTAAATAATGTAGGGCTAAGACGGTAACCTTATTTGACACCTTTATCATTTTTAATTGGATTGGTTATAAAAAAAAAAAAAATTTTATACAGAAAAATGTGTTAACTAGAATACATATTTTTTTTAACATTAAAGATATTCCCTGTTATTCCAATTTCTCTTAATTTGAAATACATAGATTCTCTCCAAACTGAATCAAATGCCTTACAAAAGTCAACAAAACATACAAATTAAGGTTGTTTGAGCTTGTGTAAGTATTTATTTAACAGTGTTTTCAAAATAAATATTTGATCTGTAGTTCTGTAATCCTGCCTAAAATCACCGGCTTGGTTATCTTCAATTAAATTTTTCTACAAGGTAATTTATAGATATTCTACACTGCAATATTTTCGTAAATAGCTTTCCTAAGCAACTTCCAATACTTATTGCACGGTAGTTATTACAATCATAGATGGAATGGCCTTTATGTAAAGTAGAGATAGTTGAAATATTCCAAATATCTGGAAATATACCAGGTTCTAAAATTTCATTAAAGAGTTTAACTATATATTTAGTGGCAATATTAAGCTGTTTGCACCATATTTCAAAAATTCATTGAGAATAAGGTCAAGACCTCCACTTTTATTATTTTTCAATGATTTTAAAGCTTTTCTGACTTCTTTACATGTAATGGGTGAATTCAAAATTTCAATGTATGTATCCGTTTTAAATTCAAATGTAGAGTCAGATGTATTTTAATTTTCCTTTAATAAATTTTTTAAATGATTTTCCAATTGGTCTTTTTTTTTGGATTTTGTTGTGGTATTATGTTCTATTTATTTTTTTGCCCATTATTTTCTTTTCAGTGTATGCTGGGTCTATAAAACTAATGTATTATGTCCCAGGTATATGTCAAGCTTAAATCCATAAACCGGAAATATCGTCATTGTTATTCCGTTCTGAAACTCAATACTATAAATTTGTCAGAAAGAAGCTTCGTTTAAGTTTTGCGATCTCTGAAACGTTTTGTTGACCACTAAGCATCTCAAGAAAAACAAACAGGAACTGTCTTGTGAAAATGAGTCAAAATTAATGAATTTAACAATGTTTTAAGAAGAATTGGCTGTAAAAATGTTCGGCGGTAAAAAGAAACAAGCACCAGATCCCCCGAAACGAAAGGGGGCTTCGCTTGCTAATCAGGTATTTGTCCAAAGCGTCAGTGGCTCTTATCATCACAGGCACTTGTCTAAAAATAAATATATACCTTTACTTGAAATCAAGGCAACATGTATATAGGTTATTTGTTTACAATGTTTTCAATGCCTGTGGGTATAATAGATACTTTGTGGGTCGGAATATGTGTAAGTAACCTTGGTATTATGAGACAGGTGTGAAAGAGGATAACTTTGTAAACCATTTTTTTTTTTTGTACGACACAAATTTGTGTGGCCATAACTGGATGATAAGTTCTATTCAGACAAAAACTAACAGGTTTTTTGGAAATAATTATTATGATTAATCATTTAATGCGAGTCATATTTCCAATCGGCTGTGGGTAGACGAAATAATTAGGGTTGACATACTTGTGGAGGCCTGCTACGAATGATTCCAACAACAAAGGAAGGCTAGTTATACACCATTGTGTAGATAAATCAATTTAGATTTACGGCATAAGTTTTTAGTGTGGTTGATAACCGAGAAATTGAAATATAACGGAAGTTCGCAACCAGGTGACACTTTTCAAAAATGCAAGTTTTAAAAGTACCTTGTGTTATATTAAGGTAAATAGGAATTATTTTTTTCAGAGACAAGTGCCTGAGTGTGGGCCTTAAAATGGTATGGCGTTGTTGTCAGCGTTAGAATACATTTGGTATCCAGACAATAACTTGAGTATAAGTGAATGGATCTCTTTGAAATTGTACCACAAGGTTCCATACCAAAAAAGGAAAGTCAGGATTGATTTTGGGGATTATTGTTCTAACTCACTGTTGAGGAATTAGGGGCAAAAAACTATAATTTTTCTTGTTTCAGGTCAATAACTTATGTATAAGGGTATGGGTCTCTATAAAATTGTACCACAAGATGCAATACCAATGTAAAGAATTGCGCTAATATTAACGTACCTTTATGTGGTACGGCTGCTATCTTTGAGACGTCGCGTTATTGTGATACTTTTATGTTTATTGAATAGAAACTTGTAATGGCAGACGTAGTTCTATCTGTAATGCCTTAGTTAAACTTACGATCAAACTACACAACGCAATCCATTAATCTACATTGGTGCCGTGACTTCAAACGGAGAGAATGGACATCAAATATAAGTGTATTCTCAAATACATGTAATCATCAATGTACATTAAAACAAAAATGTTAACATACTTAAAATTTAAACACTTAACATTTTCATTCGATTTAATTGTTTTGTATTTATGAATATATGTAATATTAATATGACTAATCCAGTGTTATAAAAGATTCTTCTTTAAATTTGATTTGATTTTTGGTGTTTTAACGCCACTGTTAAGCACGGCTTTTTGGGCTATTTCGTGGCGGTCACAACTTCAGTGTTGACTGGCTAGTGATTACAGTAGTAACTACTTAGACCACTTGGCCACAGAGGCCCCCGTCTTCTTTAGAAGATGTCCACTTAGCCAAATAAGACGCTTTAAATTGGAACTGTTTGAGTGACAGTACTATGAACTCATCCAAATCAGCTGGGACTTGCCATTTCAATTCAAAATGGTCATAAATATTTTGAGTATTAATATTGTACTCGGACTAAGAATTCAACCAATCAAAATATTAGATTTGGTAATTAAGAGTACAAATTTTGTACTGTGAGCTCTGAGTCTGGTTTTATAACCGTATGAACTCACCTTAAAAATATCCTAGTGAGAACCCTGCATATGATGTCCTGCAAATTTGTTGTATCTGAATCTGATTATCAAAAGAATATTGACAGATAATCAATGAAAATAAATTTCATATCATTTTGAAATGAGTCTGCTTATTCAACTTACTGTTTTACAGCTACAAGATGATGTCTATGGGAAAACTCACCTGATCAATCCGGCAGATTTTTGTACCTGATAATGAATCAGATAAATACAGAAAAATAATAAGCTGATTTTGTATCTTCGTTGTTTTAAAACTTATTGTTATATTTTAGAATGGATAATACACATGTACTTTGATATGAAAAAACTGTGACTTGAAGAAAGCGATTCTTTTTTTTACATTGCAAATGATGTCATAAATAAAAAATAAACAACAGGAACAACATATAGGACATATTTTTCTTATTTGAGTTACCTTTTCAACAGAAATTATGCTGTGAATCTTTTTTTATTGTTGCAATTTGGTGAAGAGTTATTTATTGTTCAGCCCTAGGTCATAAAGACTATGATGTAGGGTATTCAAAATTAAGGAATTGTTTTTTATTGATAGTGATTTTTTAAGTCATAATTTGTAAAATGTATCATTAATTGATAGCCTTAGTTCATTTTACTGTAGTTTTAATTTTGCAAAATTTAGTATTTAAATAATTATTTTTACAGACTTCATCTTCGTTCACATCACAGGTAAAAACACCTGCCTCATATTAAATTCAATAATCAGTTATATGCATACATTTTTGTCATTAAAAAGATAGATTTAAAAATGGAATTTGTTTCATTACAAAGATTGCGTGAACAGATATTGATATACTTGTACAATTCAGAATCATTAAAATTTCTTACCTCTAAAATAAACACGAAAAATCATGTTATTTTATTCCTTTACAATTTTGAGAAAATTTTCATATTTTTGCTACCGTAATATAGATTGCCAGAGATGGAGATAGTTGACCTAAAAAACTTAAGCTTTTTATCCTCATGATCCAATAATAATATTTATTAGGTATTTTCATTTTTCGGTGGAAAGACCTTTTGCTTTTGTTCTGTTTTTTTTCTTAGGTGTTTTTTTGTTACTTGACATATCGAAACAATTTTTGGCCCATGATATTGTACAGTGATTACGATTTCACCAATCACCCTGCGTGACCTAACACTTATCTTATAGGAGTTACATGTATCTCCCCTCAACTCCTTTTTCTTGTTAAGTCTCCCAAACGAAGTTTGGGAAGACTTATTGTTTTTGCTCAGTTCTTATTATTATTATTATTATTCTTCCTCTTCCGCCGCTTTTAAATTTGAACTTGTCCGCACCCGTTCTCCAAAACCGCTTGTCAGATTAACTTAGGGTTTCACAATATGTTAGACTAACATGTCTAGTGGTGCAATCAGGGTTTTGTTTGTGCAATGGGGTTTATAAAGGGGTACTTTGAGGGGCAAAAAGAAAAGAGGGTTTTACTATAGAACCCTATGGGATTTTATTTTTTTAAATTTTCAAATGATTATAAATTGAAAACCGTTTGTGATAGATACAATCTTTTTAATTGAAAATGTTCTAAATGACAAAACCCATTAAATGAAATACAGGGTTAGTCCCCAGGGGTCATCCCCACCCCCTGCCATTTAAGAAAGTTCTAATACCTTGTAAGTGGTCAAGATCCCCACCCCTAAACCATATATATTATGGTTTGTCATGCTAAGATGGTTTGAATGATATACAGGGTTAGTCCCCAGGGGTCATCCCGACCCCCTGCCATTTGAGAAAGTTCTAATATCTTGTAAATGGTCGAGATCCCCACCCCTAAACCATATATATTCTGGTTTGTCATGCTAAGATGGTTTGAATGATATACAGAGTTAGACCCCAGGGGGTCAACCCAACCCCCTGTTGTTTGAGAAAGTTCTAATATCTTGTAAATGGTCGAGATCCCCACCCCTAAACCATATATATTATGGTTTGTCATGATAAAGCACATGAAATGAAATACAGGGTTAGTCCCCAGGGATCACCCCAGGGCTTCCAAAATTATTTTTAGCCAGCCGGACATTTTATTTATTATCCCGATTTTAATCCCTTAAGACTAAATAAACAAAAGGCAATTATGGTAATCAGTTGCCAAGTTGGCCGTCCCAATGATTGACATTAAAAAAAAACGATATTAAATTTTCTTTGATTCAAATTCGAAGTTCTGACGTAAACTGTTAAATTGGCAGTGCATCATTCGAAGTGTGCAACATCAGCGTACTTATATCTGCCTTAGACTCTTTATTTGTGCAAAATAACGTTGTCAAAAACTTTACTTTCGTTTTATACCGGATGTTATCTTGACAATGGTAAAACATGGACCAGAGACGGATACGTAAATTCCGTGTACGTTTGCAAAGCGTGAATGAGTGGAAGTAGCTCTTTCTACGTTATTTCTTCTAGAAAATATTCGATATAAACGTGAGATAAAGGTATCAAAAACAATTTAAGCATTTTTTGAAGAAATTAGGATGCATAATTAAATTTCACACCTGCGCACATGCGCACACGTGTACTAGTTCAACCAGAGACATGTCTCTAGGTTCAAACAACGTGGTTATGACGATTTTTCATTTTCACCTTTTTAATTTTTTCATCAAATCATATTTGTAAACGTATTTCTGATAATTTAAATCTTTTTGGCTATATTAATTAGATGCAAACCGCTGAAATGTAAGAAAATAACTTTAAATAGTACCGATCAATGTCCAGTTTAAAATAGTTTACCTGTCACCTGAACAGGTAAATTTCAGCTGTTTGACAACTAATTAGCCTTGATTAAAATGAGAAGGTATTAAAGTAGGGATTGTTTTGATAGTACTTAATGATCATGTCACTTTTATGACCGGAAATGTGTGGCTGTTAAAGGCAAAACGTTGGGTCAAAAAGATCGTGAATTATGTTAAAATGACCGTCTCTTAAAGCCTTGAAAACTAAAAAGTAGATGACCGTTTCATGCTTTGCCCAGCCGGACTTTTACCGGACATTATACAAATGTCCGGCATATATGACCGTTTTGGAAGCCTTGGATCACCCCCACCCCATGCCATTTAAGAAAGTTCTAATATCTTGTAAGTGGTCAAGATCCCCACCCCTAAACCATATATATTCTGGTTTGTCATGCTAAGATGGTTTGAATGATATACAGGGTTAGTCCCCAGGGGTCATCCCGACCCCTGCCATTTGAGAAAGTTCTAATATCTTGTAAATGGTCGAGATCCCCACCCCTAAACCATATATATTCTGGTTTGTCATGATAAAGCACATGAAATGAAATACAGGGTTAGTCCCCAGGGGTCACCCCACCCCATGCCATTAAAGAAAGTTCTAATATCTTGTAAGTGGTCAAGATCCCCACCCCTAAACCATATATATTCTGGTTTGTCATGCTAAGATGGTTTGAATGATATACAGGGTTAGTCCCCAGGGGTCATCCCGACCCCCTGCCATTTGAGAAAGTTCTAATATCTTGTAAATGGTCGAGATCCCCACCCCTAAACCATACATATTCTGGTTTGTCATGCCAAGATGATATGAATGATATACAGGGTTAGTCCTTTGGCATCACTTATGCATATAACTTTACTGGACCAAACCAGTTTTCACTGGACTTTGCCCAATGTCAGGCGACCCTGGGAATTACGAATTATGGGAGCTTCGTTTGGGAGACTTCGTAACAGCATCCTGTTACAATCATTTCTTGTTATCTTTATTTCTCTGTAACTGTAATGATATTGACAAAAAATATTTTTCCAAATTGTTCGTCTACTCTAAAGGATGTTTTTGGTGGGGTTCGTGTTACTCAGTCTTTAGTTTTCTATGTTGTTTCTTGTGTACTATTATTTGTCTGTTTGTCTTTTTCATTTTTATCCATGGCTTTGTCAGTTTATTTTCGATTTATGAGTTTGACTGTTCCTCTGGTATCTTTTGCCCCTCTTTTACTTAAGTTTAACCAAAGTGATCCAATGATATCTTATGTGAGTTATTTCCCTTTTAAAATTTAACATTGGTGAGATGTTGAATAAATTCATACACCATAAGTCATAGAGACCTAAAGTCCTTGGTCCATTTGGAGAAAATTGAGGTCAAGGTCAAAGGTCAAGGTCATATTCTTAATTTTCAACTTTGCTTGTTATCTTTATTCCAAAGAAATCGTAACAGTTAATGATAAGATGCTTTTGCCAAATAATTGTTTACAACATGGAGCAACTTCAACGCATTTGAGTCAACGTGTTTTGTTGACCCTTTATAGGAGTTTTCTCCCCTCTTATATATTTGAAATCATTAAAACTCCTCAACGATACAAGTGAATGACCTGGGGTCTTTTGATGTGAGATCAATGACCTTGAAATTGAGCTCAAGGTCAAAGGTCAATCTGATGTTCAAGATTTTGACCTTTGCTAAGAATTCATACTGGTTCATTATTAAACCATTAAGTCTTTTTCATTAGGTTGGTAGACATATGACCTTCAAAAAGGTCAACCCGAAGTGACATCATTTTTACCGGAAGTATCCATTTTCATACTAATTTAATGAAAAAGTACATAGAAACCTTTTATTTTTAGAACCAGTTTGAAGTCACCAATTATATGTACCCGAAGTGACATCTTCTATGGACGTTTTTTAATCTAATCTTTTGATATAGAAATTTGAGGTGGAAAGACCTTCAATAGAACAATTGGTTTTTAATACAATTGTTATTACAATTCTTCTTGGAAAACATGGATCAAATGCAAGTTATCTTATCTGCTCTGAAACTACACGTCCAATTGACCTCAGAATTTGCAGTCAGCAGGGTATACATGTATTCCATCTTTCTATAACACCGTTATCTCCAAAGAATTTTCGTTGTGGGAACAAATTTCAATGATGAAGAAATCGCTTTCTAGCTCCATAAATATTTGTGAAAATACAAAATACAAATCTGTGTTACAAACTGCTGCTGAAATATGTACATTGTCTGAAAATAATCGATAAACGTGTTATAAAAATAGCACAGGATAAAATATATCAAAAGCATGCACTGCTTGTGAACTCCGATAAAAAAATCAATTAAATACAGTAACAAAAGAAATATGAAATGTACTATTCCGTCGATACAAATGTTGTCTGTTCAACTCCTCCACCTAAAAAGAAAGAAAGTTTTCGCTAATATGAACAAGCCTAGTGACGTCATAATCTGCGTGAGAGAATAAAAACTTTCCAATCTAAATATAGAGACAATCTAGATATAGAAACTTAACCAAATCATGTATGAAAATATGAACTTGGGTCCCCCCTCTTTTTATTTGGGGGGGTGTCATTAAACCTGTTTCTTTCTTTTACTGTATCCTAATAAATAAATAAATATCTCTCACTGGACAATAAATCTCTTGTGTGGTTTTTACTCATGGTTGTTTTTTTTTTTCGCCTTGTAATGTTAACAATTGACTGGAAGCCATTAATATATTCATTGAATAAACAAACAAACAAAGCAAGCAAGCTAGCAAGTACAAACAAATAAACAAGCAGAGCAATCAATCAATCATGTTTCGAAAGGGGAAAGACTGTTTACAATTACTTTTTTAAAGCAATTGATTTATATTTCTGTTTGTATTTCAAAGAAACCTTAAATTTCTGTTCATATTAGACTTGTGATCTCTTACTACATGTGTACTAGGAAATTGAATTATCTTTTCTTCAATGATTGATTTATTGAAACCCTAAGATGACATTTTACAGATGGGAATAGGAGACATAGAAAACATGATGTATGGAGATCTTGATAATGATGAAGACTTAGAGGCAGAGTTATTGGCCCTACAAGGAGATGGTAATCCTGTCAGGAGAAAACCAAAACAGCAGCAAAAAGGTGATTATTTTTTTAGAAATCAATTTACAAATATTTTTTTTTTATCAATATGAAAAATTAGACCTATCTAATGGTTTTGTATTATAATGTTTAATGTAGAAGAAAATTAAAAAACATTGCAGTTGAGGTGGAACACTTGAAAAGACGTTTTGAGTGATAAGAACTTTCTAAGTACAGCAGAAATTGAAGAGTGTTAAAGAAGGTAGTTGTTTTAAGCACTTCAGTTTCTCCAATAATAAGACTGTCTGTGTACGGTACTAAATTCAGGTTGGAAGTAAATAATATATTATTTATTTTTGATTTGTTCTAGCTTTAACAATGGCTGATTTAGACAAGTATTCCAAGATAGCAGAAATAAATGAGGATGATGATGATGATGTATCTGATACAGAGGATCCAGATTTACTGGTATGAGTTCTACCATTTTGAAATAATTCAATAAAAGATCATTAAAAGTTTTACAGATGTAATGTGGTATGGATGTGTTATCATCGTTGTCCATCTGTAGACATGGTGATAACTTAAACTGAATTAGACTGATCCTTATAAATTAAAAATAAGTTACATGACATAAAACAAAGAATATTATACAGCTTCTGATATACATGTACCAAAAAGATGAAATAGGTATACACCCACTTTATACAGCCTTGTCAGGGAGAAAGTGTCTTACAGACACACTTTTATCGCCACACACATATTCCACAATTTTTTCCCAATCTAACACATTCTCATTTTAAATTTTTTTATGAACCATTAGATAGTTGATTGAAGATTTACAGTTTAAAAAATACAAACAAACTGATTATTGGGAAACATTCAGATATTAATAACCTTTATATAACAGGCTGAATTAGAAGATTTATCAACAGAAGAAGATGCTGGACCTGAAACTACCAGTCAGTCAGCAGGAGGCAAAGAAGATCAAGTTATTTTGTTGGTGGAAAGATTGTCAATGTATGAGTCAGGAGTAGAAAGTGCTAAGTCTGCTGGTGATACCTCTAAACAAAGGAGATATGATAGAGGCCTTAAGGTACATTTTTAATGGCATGACTGACAATGCTTTCCTTTTTTCTCTCTGAATTGCAATATGACATATGATAACTGGTATAAAAAAAATTCTAGAGAAGAAGCAAAGATATCTATTGCTATTAATGAAACTAAGCATTAGTCTTTCTGATTTTAGGCAATACTTAAAATTCTTAAAACATGGTTTGTATAAGATTGATTATTCAAATATTGCAATTTGATGCAAAAAAGTTAGTGATGAATGATAAGTGTTGGTGTGGGCAATACATAAAAAAAAAGTGAAAGTTTCTTTTATTTTGAAGATATATATGTCAAATTTAAGATAAGAAAAAGCAGTTTTATATGATGATTCTCTTTAATTTTTACAGACAATACAGGATTTATTGAAAAAGGCTCAGCAAGGAAAGACAATTGATGAAAGTGATATACCCCCTGCAATTGCTGTTGGTGAGCAAACGAAGCAAAGAGCAGGTATAATCTATACTATTAAATGAGAAGACCTCATTTTGTGTGTCGCTTCTCTTCCTTCCACAATAAATTATTCATCATGCCTCTAGATCTGTGTCCTATAGGTACCATGCATAGTCGCATTTGTCATCCTCACTTTTGATTATTCCGTTTGGGTTATTTTGGGAGGAAAATGAAAATAAAGGCGTCCAGATATTGTTTCCGTCATCGGACAGACTTTTAAGTCATAGACAAGACTTCTGTTTAGGACTTTAAAGTACACAGAATTTTGGTAAATTTACAAACAACCCTTAATTCCTAACTTGATTACATACAATGTTTTGGGTACCTGAGCTACAGGAACCGGTATCAAACATTCCTTCGGTCCCTGGAAGCGATAAAAATCTGATTTCTTGGGACCCCTGGAACCAGTACATAATCATTTTTGTCGAGCCTTCGACTATTGTCGAAAAAGCGAGACATAGCGATCCTACATTCCGTCGTCGTCGTCGTCGGCGGCGTCCACAAATATTCACTCTGTGGTTAAAGTTTTTGAAATTTTAATAACTTTCTTAAACTATCCTGGATTTCTACCAAACTTGGACAGAAGCTTGTTTATGATCATAAGATAGTATCCAGAAGTAAATTTTGTAAAAAAAAAATTCCATTTTTTCCGTATTTTACTTATAAATGGACTTAGTTTTTCTGCCAGGAAACATTACATTCACTCTGTGGTTAAAGTTTTTGAAATTTTAATAACTTTCTTAAACTATCCTGGATTTCTACCAAACTTGGAAAGAACCTTGTTTATGATCATAAGATAGTATCCAGAAGTAAATTTTGTAAAAAAAAAAATCCATTTTTTCCGTATTTTACTTATAAATGGACTTAGTTTTTCTGCCAGTTAACATTACATTCACTCTGTGGTTAAAGTTTTTAAAATTTTAACAACTTTCTTCAACTATCCTGGATTTGTACCAAACTTGGACAGAAGCTTGTTTATGATCATAAGATAGTATCCAGAAGTAAATTTAAAAAAAAAAATCCAGTTTATCCGTATTTAACTTATAAATGGACTTAGTTTTTCTGCCAGTTTACATTACATTCACTCTGTGGTTAAAGTTTTTTTAAATTTTAACAACTTTCTTAAACTATCCTGGATTTGTACCAAACTTTGACAGAAGCTTGTTTATGATTAAAAGCTAGTATCTACAAGGAAAATTTGTTAAAATTTTGTTCCATTTTTTCTGTTTTTTACTTATAAATGGACTTTGTTTTTCTTCCAGTTATAATTACATACAGTCTGCAGTTTAAGTTTTTAAAACATTTATTAGATTCATAAACTATCCTGGATTTTTACCAAACTTAGACAGAAGCTACTTACAATCAAAAGATAGTATAGAGAGGAATATTTTTATTAATTTTTTTCCTCATTTTTGTTGAGCCTGCGATTAACAGCAAAAGTAGGCGAGACACTGGGTTCCGCGGAACCCTTACGAATTTTTATTTATTTAAGAAATAATTCATGCAAGCCATAGATTTTGAAAATTTTCACACGGCCTGGGTCGTTATATTTGAATTTTAATGTTTTGGGTACCTGAGCTACAGGAACCTGTATCAAACATTCCTTCGGTCCCTGGAAGCGATAAAAATCTGATTTCTTGGGACCCCTGGAACCGGTATATAATCATGTTTTATTTAAGAAATAATTCATGCAAGCCATAGATTTGTTGAAAATTTTCACATGGCCTGGGTAGCTATATTGGAATTTTATCCTAAGCAAGGGATAAAATTAACGAATATAATGACTCAGACCATGTGAAAATGAAAACAAATCTATGGAATGCATGAATTATTTTGATTCTAATATTGTAAAGTTTCCCACTGAAAACTCTGAAGCCATTTCAGTAAAATATGGCATTTTTGTGCACAAATCGCATTGTGAAGTCGTCGATTTATAGTGGTTGTGGTTTATTGAGTATTTTATTATAGCTCTATTTATATGATGTAATAAGCACCCCATATTAGAATTAATTTGCTTTCTTAAAAATCAACACCTTATTTATTCTGACGCCATCTCCAGATTTCAGTAAAATATAACGATTTTGTGCACAAATCGCATTGTTTATTGAGTATTTTATTATGGCTCTATTCATAATTCCAATCTTATTTGCAAATATCACATAATAATCTGATTTCATTAGTGGAATCCGTTTCAAGTGACTGAAATTGAAAAAGTTAACATATTGATTATTCAGTCTTCTGCACAATGAAACAAAAAGCAAGGTGACAAAGCAACTCGCCTCCTAAAAATTGTGCGTTCATGTTACTACAAATAGTTGACTTTTGCGTTGACATTCTGTAAATTTACATCCAATATTTTGAACTGGTGAAAAATTCAAAATGTTATATTGACATCAGTTCATGTTTAAAGGGAAACTTCGCAAAAAAACAAAAAATTGATATTATGTCCATTCTGTATAAAAAAGCACAAATTCATAAATATTAAAGTTTTATTCTGCTAGATAAGAGATCACCATCGATTTTAAATTTAGAGTATCAATTCTCTGCGTGCGGCCATTTTGACATCTTCTCGGTTTAATAACCCCGATATATCTATAAACCACAAAGGACCAAAACCAGCAGTAACCTAACGTAGTCGCATTTATCCGACTAACTAACTTGATACGGAAAATGTAATTATTTTTTTAAATAACTATGGTCTGTCGTTTTAAAACTGTTTTTTCTTTACAAAGTTTTTGAAACAAGAAATTTATATGGGAATTAGTTAAAAAGTCAAAGTTCAAAGTCATAAATAAGTGTTCCGTGTAAAATCGTTTTCGAAAATCTAATTTGTTCATAATTCTTTTATGTAATAAACTTATTTAAATAAATTCGGACCTTCTCTTATCTGATCACCAGCATGGCTAAAGGAATTCTTCCCTGAGGTATTGTGAGGTGACACGTCCAGGTATTCAAGCGATTTCCTGTCGGGTTTAAAAACTCTTATAACACAATTACATAAAGCATGTTCATGCATCGCTTCACTTCTGAGGGTATTGATTAGTGTACACGGCCGATAACTTGTAACTTTCCATTTTAAAACTATCAGGTGTAATATACATCTTTGTCTTGCGTGTCCGATAGTGGTATACTAGTCATTACTAAACTCATACGCTTGTTTATAAATAACATTTCTAGTGTAAAGAATGATATTTATGAAAATCTAAATAATTCCAAAAAAAGATTTGATAAAATAAAAATCTATTTACATATTTTTCCAAGGGTAAATTGGGGAAAATGTAAGTATATACTCGTTGTCAATAATGATGGACATTTTGAAACATGAAAAACTATTGATTTAAAAAATACGCACTTGTCGATCATTGGTTTATACGCCTAGATAGAAAGTTACGGAACTATAGATAGTCGCAATTTATAATTGTATATTGAATATAAGAAAGAACATCTAGAACCAATTTGATTTAAATACAGGTCGATATCTAACTTGCTTTGGTTCATCGAAGTTATGGACATAGTAAAATCACAGATTTATATTTCAATTAGATTGTTCTCGAACAGTTGAAGAAATTCGTCATCATCACAATTGTTGGGTATAATAAATGTATATTAATGTGAACATGGTTCTAATAGAACCTTATGCCAATTTTCCTGTTCCGACATGCATGTAATATATATGCCACTGGACGTACACTAATGATCCCCAAAAGTTTATTTGAAGAAATAAAGAAACTTCACTCCGGATAGACTGATAGTAGTTGTATTAACGTCTCATCAGCTTGAGGGTTGATTAATTTATTACGTTAGCTTGTGGGGGAATAAACCATTCCCACTATTGCACTTATGCATAAAATATTAAATAAGAGTAATATAAGAGAAAATATAAATACGAAAAGTCGCATATCTGGTAAAAAAAAGTCTCACCAGCTATAGGATTTCACGTACAATTGTCATTATGATCGAAATAACGGACAATCATTAAAATACATGCATGTACGCTTTGATAAAAAGGGGTGCCGCAGTTGCATATTATTCATCATAAATCTATTTCAAGTTTATACTTTCCTGTTATTCTTATCAGTTAACGCAGAGACATGTAACTATACATCTCTAGTTAACGACAATCAACTATATAAATATCTGAATCTGATGTGACTTACCGTTCATCTCTAGTGGTTCTTCTCTTTCTTTTTTTTTTCTTCTTTTTTTTTTTATTTGGGCAGGAACATAAACATTGTTAGATATAATGTTCCAAGGTTTGAGGGGGGGGGGGGGGGTTGGAGGTCAAGCCTATCGAAAGTTACAAAATAAGAACGTTGTATTTATGAATTTACAAGAAGAATTCTGTTCTTGGACGTTGTTTTCTCCTTTTTTTTTTTTTTAGTTCAGTGATTTAAATTGAGAAAAAATCTAGTCAGAATTTAAATCGTTCCGACAATCCCCCACCTAATACTCCTCTAAAATCATGAATGGTCATGCTTCACAATCATCAGAATTTACTTTGCATTGGTACATTCTGTATAGGTAGTGATTAACCTTGACATTTCCGGGTATAACAGAGCTACTTGTATATTACCTGTATGTGGTTAGGTACATCGTCCCATGAGGTCTTACGTAAACAGGTTCACATTTATAATGGTTTCTGATATAACAAGGTTTTATGACATTCACACTTCTGCATGTTCTGTATACCAGTTTCTTATCTTATTTTCAGACAGAATGAGGATGTGAATATTTTCCAGGAAAAATATTGAGTATCAAAGTATCAAATTAATTTCAGGATTTTTTTCTTTCTTGGTATTAAATCACAGAAATTTAAAGATAATACTGCTTATAGATATAAGAAGATGTGGTATGAGTGCAAATGAGACAACTCTCCATCCAAGTCACAATTTATAAAAGTAAACCATTATAGGTCAAAGTACGGTCTTCAACACGGAGCCTTGGCTCACACCGAACAGCAATTAAGCTATAAAGGGCCCCAACAAATTACTAGTGTAAAACCAGGAGTATTCTTGTCAGTTAAGACAGACATATAATCATATGTATATATATGTCTGTGGTATAGACATGGTTTATGAATGAATGATAAGTCTTACAAAGGTACAAGATATAAAGCACATTGAACATTGATTCCGCCGGTCTGTCTCCATTCAATAAAGGCAAGTTGACGTTAGATTGATTCTGTAAAAAAATTTTAAACATCGTTGGTCAAATAGCTAAAGTATTTGTTGTGAGATGTAGAATATTTTAATAAGGACATTCTTGATTAGGTAAATGTAGATCGCTTTGGACGGACCAAACTATATTAATGTAACTGATAATTTTCTCTGCACATTTAAATATTCAAGGTTACCGATGATAATTCAAAATAGCACAGTTTTTGGTTTATACGCTCGTTTTCGTGGGCCATTTTTATTTATAAAATTATTTCATTGAAAGTTATTCAGAATTCCGATGTTACAACAAAGTACTCACCCATCTATTTAAAAACTGAGCTAACGCAAAATATAAAAAATATATATAACGGCGATTCAGGTATTTTGCCACCATATTCCTCCCCAAATAATTATTTTTTTCTGTCTCAAACCCATTTCTCTTTTATCATTTTTTTTTATGTTTTTCAAACCGGAAAATAATTTTTGTTCTTAATTATTCGATCTCATTCCAATAAGACAAAGTTGACCTTAAATTTCCTGTCAACTTTTTAATTATCTTTCTTCAAATAGCTGAAGTATTTATACGTTGTGAGATTTAAAATATTTTGATAAGGACATTAATTCCTGAATATGTAAATAAAGATCGCTTTGGACGGACCAAATTATATAATTGCAATTGGTAATTATATCTATTTCAAATATTCAAGGTTACCGATTCTAATTTAAAATAGTACAATTTTTAGTTCATACACTCATGTTTAGAATGCCATTATTATTTATTCAATTAAATTAATTCAGTATTTCATTATTACAAAAATATTCAGCAGTCATAATTCATTTTAAACTGAGCTTACGGAAAATATAAAAATATACCACGGCTATCTAGTTATTGTGCCACCATATTACTCCCTCAAAATAATTACATTTCTTTTTTTATTTTCTGTCTCAAACTATCACTCCCGTTTATCATTCATACGAAATGATGTTCACACCTGGAACGGTGAACCGTGACGGCTAAAACTCACTGAGTGAAGATCAAAAGATTAGAATTACAGAATGCAAACCTTTAAATACCTTGAATTTAACCACGCATTCAACAGGTAGTCACTAAGTGTCACAGTACAATACACATTGTATTTACACGGTACTAGCGGAAAATGTTTGCTAGACTGAAGTAAAAGGTGAGAATACAAACATGCATTTTTAATACACTATCAGTTAAATATGTTTGTTGAAAATATCCGTCGGAAAAAAAATTCATAAAAATATTCTATTGTATGATTTACTTTTATTACTATAATGACTATAATCATATCAGAAATCCTTAAAATATAAATCGTACATTTTATTTTTAAAAGTTGCACGGCTGATCACTTTACTTTCTTAATTATTAGTTGGTTAATAGCTACGCCAAAAGTCGTCGATGCGCTTTAAATCGCGTTATTAGATGATTAACGAACAAGACTTAAATGAGATTAATTCCACTCCCGGCATGCAAAAAGACTTAAACTACGTCACAGAAGTCAGGAAGTTCGAATAAATAAAATTAATAATTCCCAATTTTCTTCTTTATTAGTTTTCATATCCAGATAAAACTTGGTGAATATGTTTTTTATGGTATTATGAACATAATAAGATGATATGTAAAAAATTGCGAATTTTCCCTTTAAGATACTTTTGATACCTTTCCTGAAATTCTCCAGTCGTAAAATCTTTTATAAAAATTCATCTTACAACAGTTTACATACTTTCAACCACGCTCTAAATGCCTGCTATTTCGCTGGTGTGTACTAGTTAATATAAAGATAAGGAGATGTGTTATGATTGCCAATAAGACAACTATCCATTAAGGATGAGGAGTAGACTGATGATTATGATTAAGTATGATTGGACCAAATCAAAGTTAAATTTGATGAAACTATAGAAAAAGATCTGTATAAGGAAAACATATGTTGTGTTTCTGGTTATAAACATAAAAATGAGTATAGTAAGTAATTTAGATTTTTTAACTTTATTCCAAATTTTTATTGCTTTGAACTGATGTACCATCAAAGTAAATATTGAATGGGATTAAAATCAAATTAGTTGGTGTGAATCTTATCTATTCAAATTTATTCCCATTGTTGTTGGTTCTCTTACTTATCTTTTCATCCTGTAAAAAGAAGACTAAAGCACATAAAAAAACTTCAACGATTTTTTAATGGAATTTTCATTAGTTGATTAGTTTAAAGAGATGCAACTTAGGGAAAAACATTTTGACCGATTGGTTTTGTATAAGGACAAAGCATTTTGGATTAGCACTGTTAATTTTTAAGTATAATCTGTCTGGTTCATTTTCCAGGAGCAGTAATGCAGCCTGAATCATCACCAACATTCAAGCCTACTACAGATTCAAGAAATAAACAACCTAGCCCATCACCACCTAAACAACCAGCCCTGGAATTGGACAATAAACCAATTAGTCCAGCAACTTCATCACATGGTATTTATTCTGGCATAGAGGGTCAAAGATTTAACAGCACATCTTTTGCTTATTTGTGGATTTTGCAAAAATTGTTTGACAAATTGTGTCACCGTTTAGTTGACTCCAAGTTTGTTAAAGTCATTTTATGATATTGATGATTTCAGTCTCTCATTAGATTAAAAAGTCACAATTAAGAAAAAATACACAAAAGTATACAAATGCACATTATAAAATATTTACTTTTATAAACTAATATTTAGAACTAGGGAGCCATTTCTTTTTTTTTAAATTGATGTATTAGATGTTTACCTTGTATGTTTCTACTGCTGGTATACCTTGTCAAAAAAATTTGAGAAATTAAGAGTTATACAGATTTTGTATATATGTTTTAGACCTTGAAACAGAAAAGATGTTAGAGACAAGAAGAGATCAGTACAAAACAGCAGCTTTGCAGGCAAAGCACAATAAGGATATTAGCACAGCAAAAAGTTATGTACAGATAGCAAAGGTAAAAAATTGAATAATGGGTGATTGATATACAGCCACAAAATTTATCGGCATTAAAAAAATTTATAGCATGCTAATGTCATGTGAGCATGTGCTTTTTAGCTTGACTGACATACTACAGCTGATTTTTACCTGCATCACCAAAGGTGGAAGCAGGTCTAGTAACGGCTTAACTCTGTCTGTCCTTCTGGTACCGGCTCCTTTTGAAGGGAAAGATTTAATATTTAGCTGCAGCTTGATAATGTTGAGTTGTAGTGAGTAAGCATTATTTACATCTGCTGTGTAGCCACTTGCTGTTTGCCTATAGCTTGAAATTTTTACAACACTCATTGTACAAGGAAAATTTTCTTCAATGTTTTCTTGTCTTCTATGAAAGGGAAAGATGTTATATTTGGTCTGCAGTTTGATAAATTTGAGTTGTAGCGAATAAGCAACTTTTACATCTGCCATTTAGCCATTGCCTGTTTGCCAATAGTTTGAAATTTTACAACTTCATTGTATAAGGCAAATTTTCGTCAAAGTTTTCTTGGCATCAGTGAAAAGGAATGATCAGTTATGCTCCAGTATAAATGTTACCTCAACAATTGCATGCAGTCTCCGATCAAGACCCGGTATTGGTTTTGTTAATGTACCTCTTACACCTGAATTACACATGCTTTGAGGGGAAGCACCAAATCATAATTTTAAAGTCTTTACCCAGACTATGATTGAGCTCATAATATTCTACATTGAAGCCAGCATGCTTTCACAAGAAACCAATGATGTTTGGGTATACAGGTAAAGAATAAACAAAGCTTAAAGTACCGTAATGTTCAGATGGCAAGTAAAGTAAATGTAAATCTTATCTTTTTTAAAATACAACTAAAAATTACCTTTTTATTTATTATAAATAATTTGTAGATTAAAAGACTTGCAGGCCCTATGATAATGTGCGGAAGGCTTTGATAAAAGCACAGTCAATGCTTTAAACTAATCCATTCATTGGTATTTATATTCACAGCAATTTGATAATGTATTGAATGCCTTGAAATCAGGACAGGCCATAGACTTATCTAAGATGCCACCTCCTCCTCCTTCACCTGGTAAGTAATCTAAAATCAGGACAGGTCATAGATTTATCAAAGTTGCCACTTCTCCTTCTTCACATGGTAAGTAATTCGAAATCAGGACAGGCCAAATACTTATCTAAGATGCCACCTTCTCCTTCACCTGGTAAGTAATCTGAAATCAGGACAGGCCATAGACTTATCAAAGATGCTACCTCCTCCATCACCTGGTAAGTAATCTGAAATGAGGACAGACAATAGACTTACCTAAGATGCATCCTCCTCCTCCTTCACCTGGTAGGTAAACTGAAATCAGGATAGACCATGCACTTATCTAAGTTGCCATCTCCTCCTCCTTTACCTGGTAAGTAATCTGAAATCAGGACAGGCTAAATACTTATCTAAGATGCCACCTCCTCCTTCACCTGGTAAGTAATCTGAAATCAGGATAGGCAATAAACTTGTCTATAATGCCACCTTCTCCTTCTTCACCTGGTAAGTAATCTGAAAGCAGGACACGCCAAATACTTATCTAAGATGCCACCTTCTCCATCACCTGGTAAGTAACCTGAAATCAGGACAGGCAATAGACTTGGTTATGATGCCACCTTCTCCTTCTTCACATGGTAAATGATCTGAAATCAGGACAGGCCAAATACTTATCTAAGATGGCACCTTCTCCATCATCTTGTAAGTAACCTGAAATCAGGACAGGCCAAATACTTATCTTAGATGCCACCTTCTCCATTACCTGGTAAGTAACCTGAAATCAAGACAGGCATTAGACTTGTCTATGATACCACCTTCTCCTTCTTCACCTGGTAAGTAATCTGAAATCAGGACAGGCCAAATACTTATCTAAGATGCCACCTTCATCATCTGGTAAGTAACCTGAAATCAGGACAGGCAATAGACTTGTCTATGATGCCACCTTTTCCTTCTTCACCTGGTAAGTAATCTGAAATCAGGACAGGCCAAATACTTATCTTTGATGCCACCTTCTCCATCACCTGCTAAGTAACCTGAAATCAGGAAAGGCAAGACTTGTCTATGATGACATGTCCTCCTCCATCACCTAGTACTTAATCTGAAATCAGGGCAACTCATTAACTTATCGAAGATGCCACCTCCTATAAGTACATTCGTGTCAGGTCAGCTCATTAACTTATCCAAGATGCCACTTAAGTACACTTAAATCAGGACAGCTTATTATTTTTTCTAAGATGCCACCTTCTCCCCCATCATCTGGTTAGTATCTTGTCTTATGAAGTATTAAGGGTAGTATATAGATCTAGACCTCATAACAAATGTGAAGTGCAAAGGTTTATAAAAGTAGACAAATTTCAAACTTTTATGACTGACTGAACTTCAATATTTTTAAGATCATTCATTAATCTGTTTACATTTGTTTTTAAAATAAATATATGATATCTAATAAATAGTTCTTCACAGTCTAAAATTATTTTCTATTTATGTACATTTGCAACAAAATTGTTGGTAATTTAAGGTTATTTTTGGTGAAATGTGGTTATTTTTGTAGGAAGTACAAGTAAAGCAGTGCCACCTGTGCAGACAGCATCGAGAACAGAACAATCAACACATCAGGGAGCTGGTGAGGAAGAGAATACACCTGCTCCATCGGCTGAAGGTAGAAACATAATTGAATTAACAAATTTTCATATGGAATCTTTATCACTTGGTAGTCAATTCATTGAAAAATATGTGGTAGAGAGTGAGGGGCAGTATAATAAGGGAGAATTGTATTAATTAAACTAATCATAGATACCAGGATTAAAATTTTGTATGCCAGATGCATGTTTTGTCTTCATTTGTGTTTTAAGGTGTAAAGCTATGTAGAAAAATATTACTAAAGACAGACAACTAAGATAATTAGTTATTTAACAATGTAAGTGTTTTTCAGGGACAAAATCATCAGATACAAATTGCAAGAATTTTTTTCTCAGAAATTCAAATAATATATATTGTAAGACTTTTTACCAAAAACATATGATTTCATACAGTTATGTAAGTTACATAAATGCCAGATACATTTCAAACAGTTTCCTTAAAAATATTTAGAATGAAAAGCTGAAATACACCACATCATATCAGTTTTTGAAAAAAGATATAAAATATGGTGAAAATGGTTGCAAAAGAAATGTACGAACAAATATCTAACAGACATTTTAATCTGTTTGTCATTTTACTTTTCAACTTGATATATAAAAGATAACAATCTTGATTATTTTATAGAATCAAGGAAAGTATTTAAAGCACCAGAACCACCTAAAACAATAATGGAGGCATTAGAACAAAGACTTGAGAAATATAAATCAGCCGAGGCAGAAGCCAAGGCTGCTGGAGAGGGATCTAAAGCAAGGAGACATGGTAGAATTGTTAAGGTAATTGTTATGTTATGCCTCTAATTTATTAAGTTATGAACAATCCAAACCTTTGAACAAATAATTTAAACGTAACATATTTATTTGTAACACACATGGGATTTTAGAATTAAGTAACTGCAATTAATAAGCAATTTTTTAGAGTAAATTTTTTTTAAATAAGTTCTATTCATCATGATCTTAAAAATACAGATATGAACATGTTAGAAAGAGATAACTGTTATAAAATGGTGGTTTTAAAGCAATATATATATATCTTTGTTTGTAGCAATACCAAGATTCCATAAAAGCAAGTAAAACAGGGAAGCCATTTAATTTAGAAGAATTACCATGCCCACCAGGTTTGTAAGAATTCATTATCATTTGATTCTACAGTGGCAAGCTATTTTTGTTAATGGCAGGTTATTTTTGTTAAAAATTTTAAAGGTGCCATGGCCTTTCTGCTTCTTCCAAGTTTTTTGAAAATTAAATTTAGTTTTGTAGGTTTTTTTAAGGCAATGGACTCAAAACATAATTTTTATTTGGATCTGAAGTGCTTCATCTTTTGTAAATTTCATAAAAAGTCTTATTCTCCTAAAGAATGGGGCCAGTTTTTACACCACTTAAATCAAATAGTACTGATTATTTGGGAAATTGTTCAACTCTTAAACCTTATAAATAGTTTGATTACCAGTATAGCCTTTTCAATCAGTGTAAAAAAAAAATTATTTCTGGTTTAGCTATTCATGTTCTTTGGAGCCTTTAAATTTCTGGGTGTAAGTTTTTGTCTAGGCTGCGATGAAAGTTGAGGTATGGGAGGCATAGGAATTACTATCTGGCGGTGGCAGCAATGTAAATGATTTGTATAAAGCTTTATATTTCAGAAGGTAGAAGACCTTGATGCTTCATACCTTGTATTCAGATACCTTATGTTACGAAGTTTCTGTTTATCATATGTCCATTGTCCTTGACCTCATTATCTTGGTTCAGCGACTGCTTGAAAAAAATTATTGTTTTTTTTTTTCATGTGAATTTCTCACTTATTATGAGGAATAGAATAACTTTATTTTGTATATGGGTTCCTTGCCATGCTACATGTCCGTCAGACAGGGTTTACCTGACCGCAACCTCATTTCATGGATCAGTGATCAAGGTTAAAGTTACACGATTAGGTCAGATATTATAAGCAGTTGGTCAACTATATGTGGTGTATGGAATGATTGCAAGGAGTACATGTCAGTCTAGCAGGTTTCATTGAACCTTGAACTCATTTTCATGGTTCATTGTTCAATTTTAAATTTTGTTGTTTCGGTCTATTTTCAATTACCATAATCAATAGGTCAACTTTATTTGGTGTATGGAATAATGGTAAGGTGTACATGTCTGTCTGACAGGATTTAACAGACCTTGACCTCATTGTCATGGATCTTAAAACTGTTTATGTGATACTTTTAGTAAAACCTTTATCTGTAAGACTTTCAACCTAAAATAAATGATCTGTAAAGCAGGGGAGACATTTCAGTATGTGCACTCTTGTGAAATTATATTGTTTTTGTAATGGTTAATACCTTGTGTTTATTTTTCATTTTGTTTATTATTTTTACTTTTAGGTTATGCCCCCTTTCCTACAGAGTCGTCACCAGCAAAATCAGCCTCAGCAGCAAGTTCTTCACCACAGAAGACTGTTCCACAGCAGCCTCAACCTGCAGTAACTACTCCTCACAGACAAGCTGTACCAGTTCAACAGGAAACCACACCCCAAAAGAGTCCAAGTAGTACATCTCAGAAAGCTAAACCATGTATGTTTTATTATGCTCAATGAAAAAAAGAAGGTTATTTGTAAATGTTAATTCCAGTTATACAGAGTTTCATTGTTATATTTAAAAATAGAATCAAGAGGAACATTTTTTCTAAAACCATGTTAATTAGTTCCATCAAATTTAAATCAATACAAGGTACACCAGAATTATTTTGAAAGCAGACAACCTTGAAGAAAGAAAAATACTGACCATTTTACTTTAGTTGTGTTCTTGTTTTGTCAAGTATATATAATATAAAATTACAGTGACCAGGGAGGAGGATGAAGGTATGATGATTAATGCCTCTAAAACTATTTTTTTAAGAGATTTCAGATATCACTAAGATTGGTACAATTTCTTGCATCTTTTGGTTTAAAGGCCAGTAAAATGTGGTATCATTGGCTTTTTAAATAGCTTGAATGTCCTTTTCATTGCCTTCACAAATTATAAAGTTTTTTCTCAGAAGGAAAAGACACAAAATGAATGCCAGTTAACCAAGCTTTACTTTCCTTGCAAGCATGCATAAACTAAATTCCTATTTTTGATTCTGTAATGTTTTACCCCCAATCTTGTGACACTGAACCATATTTACAACATACAGCAATCATGTCTGCACTGCTGTATCCAGTATGTTCCCTTGTGATATTTAAATCTTTTAGAAACATCTGTTATGTTCTGTAATGGCAAACAAATTTGAATAAAGTGTACTATAAAACAACTTGTTTTCACGAGCAATATATTTATGCGACTTTTGCAAGTCAAAAATAACGCAGCTATAAATTGTCAGGAATATGTTAAACTTTGGTCTCCCCTTATTTTAATACATCAGCAAAGTTTTTTATGCCCCCACTGTAGCGGTGGGGGCATTATTTTTAAATTGAAGAAATAAATTGCTGTGAAATCTGGAAGAAAGGGCTAAAATATGTCTGTGATAATAAGTTGATTTAGAGTTTAAGAATGCACATTTTTCAATATTTGATTCTTTAAAATTGCATTTCCCCATTGCAGTTAGCTTTTGTATTAATGAGACTGTCATATTTAAATAAAAAAATGTTCCTGTTCAAAACAATACAGGGAATTAGCAGTAATTAATTTAACATGTATGGCCTAAAATCATTGATATACAGGAATATCATTTACCTGTTTGACAGTCTTGTTGGTCAATGCTAGAAAGTTAAGGGAGGAATGAATTGGCATGTTATTTTTCTATAGACTTTACAAATGTTTAAAGATGTAACATCTTGATTCATATAATTGTGTCATCACTTTCATGAAATATCATGTTTCAAATTTGTTTTAGTTTAGAAAACAAAAATATTTGCTTAAATATATTAAGGATAAGTCACAAAGTAAAATAACGTCTTCTATGTTTTACATTTTCAATCGTCCTGAATATGCATGTAATGTTTGCAGCTGGACGTTATGCAGACAATAATCAATCAATCTGTGATATTTACAGAACAGGCATACATTGAAAAATAATTTAAATTTTGATATGAAATGAAAAAAAAGTGTTTAATAAAAATTAAGAAAAATGTAAGATTATGATTTGTGTGTCTGTTTGATAAGGAATATATCTGACCCTTTTTAATTGGTTGCAGACCTCTGCATTTGTTTAAAGGTAGCTCATGCAAGTATTTATTACAAAATACAGTTGAAATAAAATTTTAGTGTTAAAATAACTAAACATATGTTAACTTTGTATAGTAGTTTAATGATTACTTTTTCGTGCAAAAGAAAGCAATCGTGTTAAATGATTTTTATCAAAATTTAATTGATTATGTTTACAAGTATTTACATCAACTATTTAGCATTTAAAAGAAGTCCTTCCTCAAGAGCTGAGCAAACATCACATTTCCTGACAGAGAGAATGAATGAATACAGGACAGCTGCATTGCAGGCCAAGAAAAATAATGATCTAGAGCTAGCAAAGAAATATATCAGAATAGCTAAGGTAACCTATCATTAATTTTTATCTGAAGATAGACAAGAAATATATCAGAACATCTGAGTTATTCCATAATTTTTCTGGCCACGGCATCAACGACAACAATGAATTAGTTTGTAAATAAATCAGTTTGAAGGGATCCACTGGTAGTAGGTCTATTATATTTGTTCTGCAGTTGTATAAGCATAGGCCTTTCTCGTTTGCATGGAGAATACTTGACCCACCCCCTCAGTCATGGTCTTTTGACTGAAACTTATGCTTAGTTTACATATTTAAGTTTGTGATTAGGTCAGTTTATAGGGAAACTACTATTGGTAGGTCAATGATATTTGTTATGCAGTTATAGTAGATATGGCATGTCTCGTTTTCATGGAGAGAAATTGGCCCTGACCCCTCAGTCATGGTCTGTTGACTATGGTCAACTTTTACATAGTTAACATGTTAAAGTTTTTGATTTGGTCAGTTTAAGATAAATCACTAATGATAAGTCAGTGATATTTGGAATGCAGTTGTATAAGCATTTGCACGTCTCATTTCCACGGAGATTATATGGCCCTTCCCCCATTATCATAGTTCATTGAATTTGAAACTTTTGCATATTTTAAATGTTAAAGTGTGTGTTTAGGTAAGTTTGATGGGAACCACTTATGATAAGTCAATGGTAGTTGGTATGCAGTTGTAAATTAGTATTGGCATTTGTTATTTCTGTGGAGATTATTTGGCCCTGCGTCTTCAGTCATGGTTCATTGACTCTGAATGTTTTGCACAATTAACATGTTAAAGTATTACCATTTTATTTTCAACATTTGCATTATACTATTGAAATTACATAAAGGTGAAATCTAAGTCTATGTCAATAGTTTATTGTTGAGCTTGCGAAATTTATTTTGCGAAAGCGAGACATAGCGATCCTAGATTCTGTCATCAGAGTCTGCAGCGTCAACATTTAGGTTCAGTCTGTGGTTAAAGTTTTTTTGGACATCAATAACTTTATCAAACATACATGGAATTTTATGAAATTGGGACAAAAGCTTGTTTATGACCAAAATACAGTATCCAGGGCAAAATTTTGAAAACATTTATTTTCATTTTTCTGTATTTTACTAATAAATGGACTTAGTTTTTTTTACAGTTAACTTCAGATTTTGTCTGAGGTAAAACTTTTTCAGTCATCAATAACTTTGTCAAACCTTCATTGAATTTTATAAAATTTGGACAGAAGCTTGTTTATGACCAATAGACAGTATTCAGAGCAAAATTTTGCAAATATTTATTTTCATTTTTCCGTATTTTACTGATAAATGGACTTAGTTTTTTTACAGTTAACACTCAGGCTCAGTCTGAAGTTAAAAGTTTTTAGTCATAAATAACTTTGTCAAAACTTCATGATTATTTATGAAATTTGGACAGAAGCTTGTTTATGACCAAAATATAGTATCCAGAGCAAAATTTTGGAAATATTTATTTTCCTTTTTCAGTATTTTACTGATAAGTGGACTTAGTTTTTTTTACAGTAAACAAGTAGATACAGTCTGGGGTTAAAGTTTTTGTTACACATCAATTACTTTGTCAAACCTTCATAGAGTTTTAGAAACTTTGGCAAAAGCTTTTTAATGATTAAGAATCATTTTTAGTATTTTTCTGACAGATGGACTTTTTTACAGTTAACATTTAAAGGCAGTCTGGGATAAAAAAAAATGTTACATGATAAATTTGTAAACCTTCATGGATTGTTATTAAACTTGTACAGAAGCTTATCTTCAAGACCGAAAAATAGCATCTAAAGAAAAAGTTTGATTTTTTTTTATTCTGTATTTTACTGATAAATGGACTCACTTTTTAAGTCAACATTACACTTTTACACTGACAGCAGCAATCACAGGCGAGACACAGGGTTCTGCGGAACCCCTTATGAATTTTTATCTGAAGTAAGCCAAGAAGAAATCAGAATAGCTTAGGTTTTCTATCATTTTTATGTCTTAGATGGAAGATTTTTATTTTTCCTTTAACTTTTAAATCTTTTCAATTTTGATGGTATTTTAAGGAAGATGAACTTATTTGCCTAACATAAACTTGATGATATGTGTCTTTGAAGGCTTTTGCTCTTCTTTTTTACTAATATATGGTTACAATATAGCATGATCAACATTAAATATTATAAGTTCTGTTGATTAGTTGAAATGAAATTATGGTTTCTAAAGGTAATGGACCAGCTACAATTAGATAAATGCTGATTTTCATTAGCTTACATAGCATTTACTGAGGTAATGAAGAAAAAGAAGTGCAGATATAGCTAAAGAATTCAAATCTTTTATAAGTTATGTCCAAGAGATTTTCCTAGTTATATTAAAAAAAACTTATAAGATACATTTATTGTTTATATAATACTGACTTTTAGATTGCATACTAAAGTTAAAAGAAATTTTTATACTTTTTGTTCTGAATAAATATCTTATATTTGTATTTGTGTTTGAAATATTTACTTGTGATGGATACATTAATTTTTTCAAGTTATAATGAAATGATTTAATGAAGACAGAAGTAAAATAAATTTATTCAGATGCTTTATTAACTAAAATTTTAATCTGCCAGATGACTGTTTCTGTTCTTATTTAGAATTATTAATAACAGGCTATTATTTGAACTTGGAATTATTTTTAATTATGGAATTTGCATAATTTCATGTGTTTGAAATTTTTGACAAATTCCATGTTTATTAAGTATTATTATGTTTTGAGCGGTGCATAACACTTTCAACACAATGTATTTTGTATAGATAGTGTTGTGCGCGGCACAGTACATTCTATTGAAAATGTGCTATCTTCTATGTAATAGTAAGTGTTGTGCGCAGCACAGAACATTATAATACAGAATAAACATGGAATTCATTAAAAATTTCAAGCACAAGAAATAATGCAAATTCCATAATTAAAAATAATTCCAAGTTCAAATAATAGCCTGTTTAATGATAGATACCAGATTGTAACGAGAAGACATAGCAGAATAGTTATTTCTTCAAAAAATGTGGTAGTCATATAAAATCCAAATTTATGCTCATATTATACAACAGTTGAGTTGAAAAAAAATTTAGTTTGTAAGAGAACTAGTTGAAATAAAGTGTTTTTTTATGTTAATTCATAATTGTTTTAGGCTTTGTAAAGTATTTTACACTGATGAATAATTTTCAGGGTTTTGAACCAATGATTATAGCAGCAGAATCAGGACTTCCTGTTGACATGTCTCAGGTAATTATGTAATGATTGAGTTCAGTTAATCTGGTATTATGTGTTATGACATTAGTGTAAACATATTTTATTAAAGAAATCGTTATATATAAAGCTACAAGGGTAAAGACATAAATACAAAATATACAGGTGATTCAATAATTGGGATTAGGAAACAAGAGCAGTGCTCTTATATAAATCTGTCTCCTACTGGGAAAGTGCTCTTATATAAATCCGTCTCCTAATGGGATTGTAGTTATTAAAAGCAAAGTAAGATACAGATAACAATTGGACAAGGGATGTGAGGGGGTAGGGGTAGGGATACATAAGTTAAATATTAAAGGACAATTAAGTTTTAGTTTATTTACGATTTGTTTGTACGTTTGCATTATTGTATTTGTAATTTCTCAGTTGTAGATCCTGCTTATATTTAACAAGATATGGAGAGGAGCACCTGAAATTTTGTGAACTATTGTTTTTTATAAGAAAAAAATACTGAAAAAATGTGATTCATACTAAATAATAAAGGAAGTGGCCACTAATTGTAAATTAGTATTAGTTCAAATTTTTTAGGAATATTTAGATTATGATATAATTGTGGTAATCTCTTTCTTATGCACATTTAAAATTACTTTGTATTCATCAATATTATTATTTGAGATGTTGATAGTTATGTAACTAGAATACAGAGTTTTTACAGACTGGTTATTTCCAGAATAAAAATTTCCATTTGAACCCTTAACTTTAATCAGATGCACTAAAAGTATTTCACACAATTACACTGATAATATAGATGTCATTACTAAAGTTTAAAGATTACTCTTCTTTATCATAACATTCAAAATTTATTTATTGGTGCAAAACCAGAAATTTAAAGTCCTTTTGTTAACCTTTTATAACTGAAAGTTGTATTTTTTTAATGTAAAAGGTAAAAATATCTGACATAAAGTTAAGAAAATATATTTGAAATAAAATTAAAAAGACAAACAAAAAAAAACAAATTTCAACGAGACTTCACCTGCAAAATTTTACAATAAATGATGGGATATCTTTGTAGATTCCTCCCTCAATGGTTGACGATCATGAGACATCAACTGTATCTGTTAGCAGGGAGGACTGTGAACTCAGTGGTGATAGAACTGAAGTCTTTCAGAAACTGGAACAGGACCTCATACAACAAATCAGGGTATGATTTATGTATACAGTGTACAAATACATTAACTGAAGATTTATTATGCAAATTTTATTTCAAATACTTTCTGCTGGAGCTTTTAAAAAACACTGAAACAAATAAGTGTATGACTGAAAATTCCTTGAAGAACAAAAACACTAACTTTGATATATTTTTTCTGGTGATGATTTTGGAAAAAAGTTGGTTAAAGGACTTACAGAGGTTTTTCAAATTTGCTTTAAGTAGTGATCTGATATGAATCCAATTATATTACTATTAAATAATATTACTGTTAATATTCAATTTTTGTCCGCTGCCACAACATTGGACAGGGAACAAACAAACATTAGGTGTTGGTACATATGTCCATCTGTCTGGTCTTGTAAGCACTTTTACACCTTCTTGTAATTTTTTTATGAAATAGATACACCAATCGTTTCTTTCAGCAGTGTCTCAGGCAAATACAGATACAGTTACTGACAGTGTGAGACCCTCATGGGTAATCAAGGTTCTTAAACACCCCCTAGTTCAGAAAAAATCACTTCTGATCAACTATTTTGAAGGAAGTTATGTCCCTTCAAAATGTAATTTCTATGGAAATTTGAACTGTAAGAAATTTTATGAAATTTATATCAAAGGTTTACATCAGTGGAGTTAAAAAATCAGTGCCAATCAAATATTTTGACTGCAGTAAGTGCTCTCATGCCTACATTTCTTGTCCAATTTATATTTTTATATAAAAGGTTTATCTAAGCAATTTTTTTGACATGATCAATAATCAGTGCTGATTAACTATTTTTATGGGAGTCTCTTTGAAATAGAAATTAATTGGAAAATTACATTGTAGCACTATCACATCTACATTTTTTTCAGATTTTTATAAAAGAGTTTTGAAGAACCAACAAAAATGTTAAAGTTATTGCACTTGGACAGATAAAATATGTCAGCAACCTTGGAAATCTGTTCTTTTATTACATTAGTAAATCAGACATTAAGTTATACTGTATTTCTTTTAATTTTCAGACCTGTGCTACAAATCAGCAGAACTTCACAAAAATTGGAGATGTTGTTTCATCTGCTAAGTATGTTTATCCAATTTTGTGCTTCATACATTTAATGCATATACATTTTCAGAATTTTTCAGAATATTCAATATATGTAGTAAAATCCCATTTTTAAATTACCGTTACTTGTATATTTTGTATTTGATTATTCTGGTAGTTATACATAACAAATTCATTAATGAAATATGTTTACACTCATGTAGCAAATTTAACCTTATTCATGTGCATGTTAATTTCTTTCAAACTAAATTGTAAAACTATATTTGTTTATTACAAGAAAATATTGTTCAAAGCAAAATCAGAGTAAGGCATCTTGTTACTTTTTATATTACTTCAGTATTTATTTATTTAAAATTTCTAATATATTATTTCTTAATCAACAGGTTTGAGAAGATGGAAAAAGGTTGTAGGAAAGATTTAGAATCATTAAAGAATGCTTTCAGACACAATGATCCTGTACCAAAGTTTCATTATGAAAATAGAACTTTCTCATTAGTGAAGTAAGTGTAAATGAAAACTTTGATAAATTAGAATTTCAGTGATAATTTGAATGTAATGAAATATTTTTAAAAAATGGTACTTGATATTAGGAATTTGACTGATTTGAAGAATATTTCAGTCTTGTGTTATGTATAATATTGTTTTAACTTTGATATTTATAGCGTGGTCTTCAGTTTTACATGTAACAGCCTCAGTAGCTTGCCCACTTCAAGTGTGGAAGGTCATGAGTTCCATCCCCATCTGGGGCAAACAAAAGACTTTGAAATTGGTCTTTGCCAATTCTCTGCTAAGCAGCATTTAAGAGAGAACACAAAGACAGGTTGACTCAAAGTCAGAATATTGTGTCTGAGTAGGGTGATACAGTATTGAAAAATAATGAACCATTGTGATTGTCTTTGCATTCTGATCAGTTTCAGGTTAAAACTAGCATTTTATTTTTGGCATAGTTTGAATTGAAAAAATGATTTTTCACAATGAATGACCCGTTTTTATGCTCCCGCCGTATAAGTTTTTCCCTTGTCCGTCTGTACGTCCCAAAGTTTGTTTCCGTTCTCTAACTTTAGTTTGCCTCAACCAAATGCTATGAAACTTATACACAATGCTTATTACCACAAAATACAGATCAAGTTTGAATTTTGGTGGTGTCACTTGAATCGTTCTAGTGTTATGCTCCTTTACAAAGGAAAAAAATTGCTGAATTTTTCGTTTCCGTTCTCTAACTTTAGTTTGCCTCAACCAAATGCTATGAAACTTATACACAATGCTTATTACCACAAAATACAGATCAAGTTTGAATTATGGTGGTGTCACATTAACCGTTCTAGCGTTATGCCCCTTTACAAATGAAAAAATTGCTGAATTTTTCGTTTCAGTTCTCTAACTTAAGTTTGCCTCAACCAAATGATATGAAACTTATACACAATACTTATTACCACAAAACTCAGATCAAGTTCAAAATTTAAGTAGGGTCACTTTTACCGTTCTTTAGTTATGTCCGTTTATAATTTTATATGATATGCAAGCGGGGGCATCATCTGTGTCCCATGGACACATTCCACATTTTTTTTTCTGTGAAAATATCTAAAACTGAACAGCTATGTTATTATGTCACCCTTTTTACCGTACTTCTCTGATAACAGGAATATAATATGATGAAAATCTCAATGTTGGATTTAAGTGGCATATTCCCTTAAGTAGAAACCAGTTTAGTTTGAAATTAGCTTAAGCAGTAAATCTTTAAATACAACAACAGGCTGTCAACTAGCAATCCTAAAATTTAGTATAATTTGTTTCCAGGTGCAATACAGATTTAGGAGAAAATGATTTAGAAATTACAATAGTCAGAGGTTTACAGTATAATGTACCTTCAGGTAAATATACAATTTATTTTCTTGTACCTGTGTGTTTACCTCCTCCAGATTCCTTTTATGAGAATAACATTTTAACAGACATATAGCATCATATATAATCTATCTTGAAATAGGAAAAATATTTTTTCCTTTTACAAAAATAAGTTTAGGTCTTTTTTTTTGGAATAAAATGAAATTTTACACATGTGGTAAGCATCATGTTTATATGTACTCAATTTGTAAAATTATTAATAAAAATTCTCTAATGGGTTTTATCGTTATATTTCATTCCACAGTAACCCTGTACTGATGTGTCTGTTTTCTAGTATATTTTTTTGGATGATTATACACTCAGTAAAAAGGTAATAAAAGTAAGTGAAAGGACATGTTGGAGTAAAAGTTAATCAATAAGACAGTAATCCAACAACACAAATCCAACAAGAATAGACATATAAAAGCTGGGACTTAATTTTAAATGTATTAGTCCCTGATAAAAGTCACCATGGTGTTTTTAACAATTACCAAACTAGAAAGCTCTGAATGACATTTTTAGATAATATGTTAGTAAGTTTTTTATCTACACTATTTTCAGGGTATTCAGAGAAAGATTTAGACACTTATGTTAAATTTGAATTTCCGTATCCACAGGTGAGTAATAAGTAGAAATATTCATGTTTACATTATATAATGAATTAAGCAGAATTAAATATCTTGCAGAATGCTACTTTTGTTGCAGCCTTTTGAGCAGAAATAATACTGAATAAATAAAATGTTCTCTTAGGGAACTTTGAAAATAGAATTCACCATTGGAACAAGAAAGAAATCTAAAAAAAAAAGATAAATTGCAGTATTTTTTCAAACATTAATACCTGAAAAAATGTATGTTCTTGAAATTAATGCAATAATTTACTTGGAAAAGTATGTCTGAAAAATCATACAATTATTTAGGATCAGAATTATCTTTGTTGACTACCAGAGTTAAAGCTGAAAAGATGACCAGCAGTATTTAGAATTGAATTGAAAATTTAGAAGTCTGATATTCTATCAAATCAACTGGATGATTTTATAATCATATGTTACCTGCATGGTTGTTGTAAAATTCTTGATAAAAGATAATCTTGTAACCTTATTTGTATCGAGTTACTTGGTGAAAATTAAAAAATATAAAAGTAAATGAGGTTTTGGTATCTTGTATGGAAGAACATACCATGTTTTAGCCAAAGAAACTACCATTACATATTTAAACTTAAGTTGTTTAAATAATATCTGAATACAATGATTGACAACAAAGATGGCCACCATTAGTTTATTGTGATATTTTTTTTTGTAATATGATAGCCCCATGAACCATTGAATTCATGTTATAATTTAGCAAAGTGAGTACTTCTGATTTTTAGTATGTATATGTACCCAACATTTTATATATTAACAAAAACAATAAATTGTAGGAAGATCCTCAAGTTGGCACATCAGAAACAGTGAAAAGTACAACCAATCCAGGTAATGCATTTTTGTCGAGCCTTCGACTTTAGTCGAAAAAGCGAGACATAGCGATCCTACATTCCGTCGGCGTCGGCGTCCACAAATATTCACTCTGTGGTTAAAGTTTTTGAAATTTTAATAACTTTCTTAAACTATCCTGGATTTGTACCAAACTTGGACAGAAGCTTGTTTATGATCATAAGATAGTATCCAGAAGTAAATTTTGTAAAAATAAAATTCCATTTTTTCCGTATATTACTTATAAATGGACTTAGTTTTTCTGCCGGGAAATGTTACATTCACTCTGTGGTTAAAGTTTTTAAAATTTTAATAACTTTCTTAAACTATACTGGGTTTGTACCAAACTTGGACAGAAGCTTGTTTATGATCATAAGATAGTATCTAGAAGTAAATTTTGTAAAAAATTAAATCCATTTTTTCCTTATTTTACTTTTAAATGGACTTAGATTTTCTGCCAGGAAACAACACATTCACTCTGTGGTTAAAGTTTTTAAAATTTTAATAACTTTCTTATACTATTTTGGATTTGTACCAAACTTGGACAGAAGCTTGTTTATGATCATAAGATAGTATCTAGAAGGAAATTTTGTAAAAAAATAAATCCATTTTTTCCGTATTTTACTTTTAAGTGGACTTAGATTTTCTGCCAGGAAACAACATATTCACTCTGTGGTTAAAGTACTGTGGATTCATTTATTTTCGTGGGTACCAATTTTCGTGGATTGAGGAAAACTTGCATATTCGTGGATATTTGATTTCGTGGTTTCCCAGAAGTTTGCATATAATCATACAGCAAATTTGCAATTCGTTGAACACTTAAATTCGTGGTTTTCCTGTGCCCACGAAATCCACGAAAATTGGTATCCAACGAATATTAATGAATCCACAGTAGTTAAAATTTTAATAACTTTCTTATACTATTTTGGATTTGTACCAAACTTGGACAGAAGCTTGTTTATGATCAAATGCTAGTATCTAGAAGGAAATTTTGTTTTCTTCCAGTTAACATTACATTCAGTCTGCAGTTTAAGTTTTTAAACATTTATTAGATTCATAAACTATCCTGGATTTTTACCAAACTTGGACAGAAGCTTCTTTCAATCAAAAGATAGTATCAAGAGGAATATTTTTATTGATTTAATTCCTCATTTTTGTTGAGCCTGCAATTAACAGAAAAAGTAGGCGAGACACTGGGTTCCGTGGAACCCTTATGAATTTTTATTATCGTTTTTGTCTTCTGACATCCATTTTTTTCCAATATTTTGTATTTTAGAATCATAAAGTATTCAGAGCAATATATTCAGTAATATTGACCAAAATGTGAAATTTGGTGAGTGATGATACTCTCTCATTAATTAAATTCAGGTAATGGAGTGATGTAATTTTTGTGTACAAACAACAAAAATTCCATAGATTCTGAAGATGTTAATTGAATATAACTGTTTAAACTGTCAATGAAAGACAGGGTAACATCAAATAACATTTTGTATCTAATAGATTGTAAATTTATACTACACTATGAAAAAGAATAAGTTTTTGAAAAATTAGATTTTTTATATTGTTATAAAATCATCTTAGCCATGATGATGGATTTTAGAATATATGAAAAAAAACCAAATGACAGCTAATATGATAATGAACATTCATGTTAAAAATTAATAATCAGTTTGATAAAAATAATAAAATAATAGATATGAATTCTTTAATGTTTACTTATATATAAACAAGTATATTTTGATTAAGAATGGGATATGTATTCTTTGTTTCAGAACATAATCAGCCATTTAAATTGGAAATTGCTAGAAAGTCGAGAGCATTTGCTCGTATTATTGAAAGAAAAACTGTCAAATTAGAGGTGTTTTATAAAAGGTAAATTATAATTACTTATATAGTAAATAGTTCTCTGATTTATTACTAACATTTGTTTGGGGAATAAAATAAGAAAATGTGCAATAAATTCTTTTTTCCTTAACATAAATTGCTAGTTTCTTAATGGATAGACATGATAGACTTGGAGAATTTGTGTTAATTTTGAACTGCCACTGGATAACATTAACATACTAGGTAAGATGTGAATTTTTTTTAAATGAAACTGCAGGCCCTTAATGAAGATTTGTTGATAGGGTTCTGTAATGTACAGAGATATAGCTACTGTTAGTAATTTCTTTACTTAAAATTCAGATTTCCATCTTATCTACAAATGCATTACATTTTTCATTTCAGAGGATTTTTAAAAAGTGATAAGTTACTAGGTACAGTAAATGTAAAGTTACAAGGATTAGACTCGGAATGTACATTACATGATAGTCATGATGTAAGTTAACTCATATAGACATGATAGAAAGTAATTTTGTAAAGCTTTCATTACAGAAAAGTTAGTATATTGTCTACCAATAAAGTTTTTAGGCACATAATATCAATATTGATTTGAGTGAATTCTTTATTTCTCCAATTACTAAGTAAAGTTTATACTGAATGACCTGTGGTTAATAGTATATTTACTAAATTGTACTTTACATATATACTCTGAGTCTTTGCATTTCCTCCTTCTATTTGTCAAACTGTTCAGAGGAATTGAAAAGTAGTTATAACATATTACTCTGATTCTGTATTAAAGAATAATTTTATATTTGGTATTGAGCTGTTATAGGGATTTTCAGATGTGTTTTGCTGTTATTTCCTTTTTGCTAAAGGTTGTATAAAATTTCTAAATGTTAAATTAAGTACAAAATTTTGTCTTGAAAGATCAATTTATATTCTAACTTTGTTAATTTCAGTTCACAATTTGAGAATCTGTTTTCAGCCGAACCTTCAGTTTATCTAGGTGCAAATTAAGATAATACACATTAAAATATATATACATATGATGTTATTTGCATTATTTGATAATTCTACATTTTCGTTTTTCCTGGGCGTTATATAACACATGTGTCAACATTTTAATTTTATAATATATTATACATATACCTTTAATTACGTTGAATTATTACTTTAATATTTTGGTATAAACAAATGAAATTAAATTGAATACTTTATTTAGAATTTCTTTATTTTCTTTTATAATCCAAATTAATGTTTCATGTTAAAACAGTTAAAACATTTTACTTAATGACAGATATATGATCTACAATTTGTTTTCATTTGTTAGTTGACAGAAGGTAGAAAACAAGTTGGTGGTAAATTAGAAGTAAAGATTAGGATACGAGACCCCTTTAAAGGGAAACAAGTAGAGGTAACAAAGGAAAAGTGGTTAGTGATAGACCAGTTTATCAGGGCATTAGGACCAAAGGTTAGTAGTCATTAAGTTTTATCAGTTTGGATTCATTTGATTCTAGTCATATCATTTCCATAAATTTTTTTGATATTCATCATCATTTGCTTGTTTAAAAATAACCTTACAAACATAAACTTGTTGATTAAAGCAATTATATATCTTTAGGCATGATTTTTCCTAGGATCATGAAAAAAAATATTAGTAACTAATCCTACATATTTTTTATTATGTAGAGAATTTAGGCAAAAGAAATGTTTCCACTCACTCTCTTTTAGATATATTTTTTTATGTGTTCCGTATTTCTGTGTATACATGTTGGTTTTTTTTGTATCTATATATCATGCTAAAGGAAAGACTGCAAAAAGATTTTCAAATTGTTGTATTTTATTTATTTTAGGAAACCAAAAAAGGAATGGTATGTTTACAGTATTATAAAACACAATAAGTTTTAATAACATAAAAGGATATAGGCTTTTGAAAAAAGTGAGAAGGTCTGAAGGGGTCAGTCAAACACTATAAAAGGAAGCAACAACACCATGGACAAAAGATGAATGATTGATTCTTCTTTGCTTTATATCCAGTGGCAAATATTTCATGCATGTTCAGGACATGAACAGACAACATACATACAAAAACAAAATATTGAGCAACACATACCCTATGAAAAACTAAGATTGATCTCAGATATCAATTTGTATAATTGTATCAGTAAAAGAAGAGGAACATTAAAAAAGACACCTACAAGTTACCATATGGCCTTCAAGTGTCCTTACCATATCACTTACCCTAAATGTACCTATCTCTAGACTAGTCATAAATGAATATAAGATGAGACAACAGAAGATCAGATATAAACACAAAAATTCCCAAAATGACAAAACAAACTATTTTTTTAAAAAGACTACCACTGTTCTTGACTTAGAACAGGCACATACAATAATTTACAAGTTCTGTGATTTCTTAACCTCAGTTGATCAAAAGGAAGTAACAAAAGATCAAAATTTATGAGCTAACTTTATTTTATCTGAAACAGTTTTTTCATTGGATTAACAGATAATGAATGAGTTTGTATAGTACTCACTAGAAAGATTTCATTGTATACTGTGATGCTTAACATTCGCACATCATAATTGTAAAATTAGAAAAATAAGTGTATATTTCTTTTTGATAGAGTTAAGCCATGTCAATTGATATTTTATAGTGTGTCTTTCTATGTTGTATGTTACACTACTGTTCCAGGTTAGGGTGAAGTTTGGTGCCTGTTAAACCGTTTAAACCCGCTGCATTTGTTTGCACCTGTCCTAAGTCAGAAGCCTGTTGTTCAGTGGTTGTCGTTTGTTGATGTGGTTCATAAGTGTCTCTCTTTTCTCGTTTTTTTATATAGATTAGAATGTTGGTTTTCCTGTTTGAATTGTTTTACACTAGTCATTTTGGGCCCTTTATAGCTTGCTGTTCGGTGTGAGGCAAGGCTCCGTGTTGAAGGCTATACTGTGGATTCATTTATTTTTGTGGGTACCAATTATCGTGGATTAAGGAAAACTTACATGTTCGTTGATATTTAATTTCGTGGTTTTGACGAAGTCTGCATACAAGCCTATGGAAAATTTGTTATTCGTTGAACATTTAATTTCGTGGTTCACCTGTACCCACGAAATCCAAGAAAATTGGTATCCAACGAATAATAATGAAACCACAGTACTTTGACCTATAATTGTTTACTTTTTACACATTGTGACTTGGATGGAGAGTTGTCTCATTGGCACTCATACCACATCTTCTTATTTCTATAAACATGAGTTTATAAATTATATCTCATAAGGAAATATGATAACTGTTCATATTGCCTCACTTTTGTTTCTACTTGACAAAGTTGCAAAGGCAAGACTCGTGTATGCTGTTCCAAGCAGCGTTGGCAACATCAAGAATGTTTTGGTTTATGAGTTGCTCATTTTGAGGGAAACCACCAGTGGTAGGTCAATGATATTTGGGATACAGTTGTATTAGCAAGTTGCACATATAATATCGACGAAGATTATTTGGCCCTGCCTACTCAGTCATTGTATATTTATTTTGAAACTTTTTCTTAGTTTACATGTTTACGTTTGTGAGTCAGCAAGTTTAAGGGGCATCACTAATGGAAAGTCAATGATATTTGGTGTGCAGTTGTATTAGCATTTTCACATCTCATATCCATTGGTATAATTTGGCTACAACCCCTCAGTCATGGTCTTTTGCATTGTTTATATGTTAACGTTTGTGATTAAATCAGTTTAAGATGAACCACTATTATTATAAATGGTAAGTCAATAAAATTTGATATGCAGTTGTATTAGCATTTTCAAGTCTCTTTTCTATGTAGATTATATGGCCCCTCCCCCTCAGTCATGGTTCATTGTCTTTGAAACTTTTGCATAGTTTACTTATTAAAGTTTGTGTATAGGTCAGTTTAATGGGAGCCACTTAAAATTAGTCAATAGTATTTGGTATGCAGTTGTATAAGCATATACATTTCTCTGGATATTATTTGACCCTGCAACTTCAATCATGGTTCATTGACTTTGAATGTTTGCACAGTTCACATGTTAAAAGTATTGCCATTTTAATTTCAACATTTATGTTATATTATCAAAATTACATACAAGCCAGATATATCTCTGTGTCAACAGTTTGTTCTTCATTAGTTTAGGTAATGAGGGTAGTTCAATATTATAAGATACAGAATTAATAAAACAATCATAAAACAAGATAGTGGCAATTCCGTAATTAATTTTAAAATGTGGGAAAGGCGGTGGTGGTTGGAAGGCACCTATTATTGATAATATAGGGGTAGTAGGTTTAAAAACAAAATTTCACACAGTAATGAAATAAATTTTTAATTTGAATTGATGGGGTCTACAGAAAAAAAAGACGTTCACCTGTCCATACATTTAATTCTGGAATAGCCCTTATTTGTAAGATGACAATTGTAATAATGTATACTGGTACAGACAATATGTTGCAATTAATTATATTATGGTCACTGGCCCGTCAGTGAGATACTCTTCAGATAAAAAGCAATCAAACAAAGAAGTGCAAAATTATATTTGAGAAGTTAAATAACATTTAGATCTTTTTTCTTAAAATCACAAACAATATCTTTCAGGCACCTGCAAAGCCAGCAGTGTCGAAAAGGTAAGCCTTAGAAAATAATATAGTTCATGCGATACTAACTATAGTTTGATTAGTTTTTATAGAACTCAGTCGCCCATTAGATATCAACCCTACTGTGTTTCAGGAGAGGTATTTTTTCCATTTTTTGACGAATGCGGAAGGAGGTCTAGAAACCACTAGACTCTGTCCATCTCTAAGAGCTACTACTATATATTTTTGACAATGTAAAACTGACGGACAAGGCATTCAACTGTAGAAAAGTTAAAATACTTTGTGTCTTTGCCATAGCACATATTAATGAAATTTTAAAAGGTTAAACACCCAGTAGTTTAACTGAACATAGATGAAAAAAATTGGAGATGATCACAAGTGCATGCTGTTCCAATAAACCTTCATACTTGTCCATTTTGGTTACTGAATACATCCTACTTCTGCTCTTTCAAGTTTATGAACTATCAAAACCTAATATTTTGACACTTTTGTGACACATATAAGTTGTAGAATTATGAAAAAGTAGGCCTTTTTAGTGTCAAACAATTAGAGTTATTACAGTATTGAAATCTTTCTTGAGACTAAAACTAAATATCATAGTAAATTTATAAAATGTTACTAGTAAGCTGTAGATTTGATGTACATGATAAACTTATTGTCACTTAATAATTTCACATATGTTTTGCTTGTTTGCTGATATCAAGGAACCAATAAAAAAATTTCTCACTCTTCAAATCAATAAATATCCACTAGTCAATTATACTTCTGACTTCCAGGAAAAAATTACAATTCATCAGCATTTATGTTGTTTGTCTCCTTGTACTAATTATTGTAACAAGTTTCAGGGCTTTTTCTGTGATATAATTGTACAAATTGTAATGAAGTGAAGGGAATTTTTTGCTATTCTTCCCTTTGATATTTAGATGTTTCAAAATATTTGTACTAAACAAATAACAGTTATTTCAAGGGTCCTAACAACAGTGTTTGATATCAATAGTTTATTTTAAACTTCTTGTGTCCTACCTGCAAAAAAAGAAAGTAAGTGAATGTGAGACATCGAGATCCTATATTATGTCATTTGCATCATAATGTTATCAGTGTCATCAACAAATGAAAACATTAAGGTTCAGTCTGGTTCAAATTTTTTTAGACATGTTGCTTTGTCAAACCTTCATTCAATTTTATGAAACTTTGACAGAGGCTTTTTCATGATCTGGAGATAGCATCTGCAGCTGAATTTTGAAAATACCTTTTTCATAATTCTGTATTGTAAGGACAAAGGACTTGGATTTTCGGCAGTTAACAATTAGATACAGTTAACTTTCATGGAATTTAAGAAACACCTTACACTCATCTACCAAATATTTTATCATATTTCCTCATACAAGCCAAATAAGGCCCTTTAAATACTTTTTGTATGAAAGAGTCGAGGCAAGTTGAATCAAACCATCCATTCTTTTTTGGGGATTGACTTCATAGACAGATTTAACTGATTTATTTCTGAACATATCTTCACAGATGTGGTAAATTTGAAAATGTTTTTTTTTTTTCTCTTCACAGTTCTCAAGCCTCTGGGGTTTGTGCCATATTGTGAAGATGTGTTCAGAAGATGGATATAAATTCTAGTCATAATCAGTACTACTTGACAGTGCTTTTCATGTAGAATGAAAGAAAGAATGAACATGACTTTTTCTTTAAATGAATAAGTATTATATTTTTTGGTTAAAAAGACTTCCTAATATACACACATATTATGAAGTAATTCTATCATTTTCCCTTTTGCTCTGAAAAACATCCAGAAGGACAACATACTCATTTATTTTTGTCGTGCCTGACGAAATCGCAGAGACTTATCATAGGCGTGTTTTTTCCAGTGTCAACATTAGCCTCGCCTGGGGCTTCAATAATTTGTTAAAGTTTATGATTAGGTCAGTTTTATGGGGAACTACTTATGTTAAGTCAATAATATTTGTTATTCGGTGGTACTAGCACTAGTATTTCTTACTTCCATAGAGATTGTTTGGCCCTGCATCTAAAGTTATGGTTCATTGACTTTGATTGTTTTGTATAAAATTGAGAATGGAAATGGAGAATATGTCAAAGAGACAACAACCCGACCAAAGAGCAGAAAACAGCCCAAGGCCTCCAATGGGTCTAGTTTACTTGCTAAAGTATTGCCATTTTAATTTCAACATTTGCAGTTTATTATCAAAATTAAATACAGGCAAGACATATGTCTGTGTCGACAGTTTATCCTTTAGCGAAAAACAGAATTGACATGTACCCATTAGCTTTTTCTTCTATATCGCAACAATGAGTGGCAAACAGAGCTTGTTTCTGTTCAATTAAGTGCATTTTTGGAAAACAAATATTTATTACATTATAATGAAGTCTTCCAAAAAATATAAGAAGATAAATTAAAAGGAGTACAACCATACCTTTACTTGAATTTAGAAATCTAAGGTTTCACTTGATTTCTTTTTTTAATTATACCACATTGAGCTTCTTTTTTGCAAATGCTATTTATAGACATGTATTTAATTCCTAATTGCTGATTATTTATTAGGAGGAACCATATATTTAAATATTTTTTAATTTCATCTTGATGTATATATGAAGAAAAATAGTGTCATTTTATAGATAAGATTTGTTGAAAGGGATTTTACTGACTTTTGGTAGGTGTATCATGTTGCAACAGATGTAGATTTATTTCTTATCCGTCCTCAGATTTACACAAATAGTTATCTGTATAGATATTTATGTTTATATACCGGTAGATCAGTTTAAGATGAACCGCTAATGTTAAGTCAATGATATTTGGTATGCAAATTTATTGGCATTTGCAAGTATCGTTTCCATGGAGATTATATAGCCCCACCCCTGATCATGGTTCATTGACTTTGAAACTTTTACATAGTTTACAAGTTAATGTTTGTGTTTAGGTTTGTTTAAAGGGAACGACTTATGATAAGTCAATGGTATTTGGTATGCAGTTGTATTAGCATTGGCACATCTCATTCCATGGAGATTGTTTAGCCATGTACCTTCAGTCATGGTTCATCGACTTTGAATATTTGCATAACTTACATGTTAAAGTATTGCTATTTTAATTTCAACATTTGCATTATCAAAATTACAAAAAGGTGAGACATATCTCTGTGATAACAGTTTATTAAGTCAATTCACCTTATGAGAAAAGGTTACAAAGTGGATGAGTTCATCTTTTAACTTCTCTGTGAAAAAACTGTGGTATACATGTGTTTGTGATTAAAATATTCCATAATCAAAACTGTGCAACTAATTATAAGTATTTAGATTTTTTTATATATTTTTTATATAAGCATTTTGAAAGAAATGTTTATTTTGTGTTTGTGATTGAAATATTAAATAATTAAAACTGTGCAACTAATCATAAGTATTTAGCTTTTTTAAATTAATTTTCTTATTTAAGTATTATGAAATAAATGTTTATTTTGTTCAAGATTATTTACAATCAAAACACAAAATTATTTTCTTTTGTTTTGATTTACATGAAAACATTCTTATCTGTATTTAAAGGTGCATATCTTGTGTTGATAGTGATATATTTATTATTATATTTAGTTTACACAAATTTCCGTCCACAACATTTTTGTTACTATATCTGTGATATACTATTTAATATTAAATGTTGAGTTTTGAAATATGTTTCGTTTTTTGCATGACATCATTTAATCTTTTCTTGAACATTATCCTGGTCACTTACATTTTTGATTCCCTACCAAAGGTGATAGGCACTATATGTTTGCATTCTGTTTGTCCATACTTTTTGTTAAATTTTTTTGCTTTTTTCTTTAATTTTCATGCAGTTAAAGCGATAGAGGATGTGGTCCGACTGTAGGTGTTGGTTCACTGGGAGACACGGTAGTTACATTCTAAAATGTTTACTTTGTGGCCTTAAATATGTAGGTGAGTCAAAGTAGCCTTTCAACAAAGGCCTCAATGGGCATAGGAGCAATATCACAAAGAAGCCATATCTCCAAGTGAGCCAACAGTTCAGACAGTCGGACTCACCCTCTAAGTCCCCTAACAGAAATTTGGATATTTAGAAGCCAAAAATAAAACTTTTTACAATGTTGTCTAGGAATTACAAGAAAGGCACCTTTAAACCTTTATTGCATCTTTTCATGTGTCTTGGATTATCTAACTCAAGGGTGATTTTATTGTCGAGCCTGCAACTTCTGCGGCAGAAAGCAAGATATAGGGATAGTGATCCAGGGGTGGCGGCATTAACTAACTACTTAAAAGCTTAATATTTCAGAAGGTAGAAGACCTGGATGCTTCATACCTTGTATATAAATGCCTTATGATATGACGTTTCCGTCTGTCATATGTCCATTGTCCTTGACCTCATTTTCATTGTTCAGTGACTACTTGAAAAATAAGTTAAGAATATTTATTCCGCCGTAGTGGAGGGGGCATTAAGTTTTACCCTTGTCCGTCTGTACGTCCGTCCTTACGTCTGTAAATTGGTTTCCATTCTCTATCTTTAGTTTGCCTCAACCAAATGTTATGAAACTTATAAACAATGCTTATTACCACAAAACACAGATCAAGTTTGAATTTGGGTGGCGTCACTTTTACCTTTTAAGAGTTATGCCGCTTTACCAATGGAAAATTTGCTGAATTTTTCGTTTTTGTCTCGCCTTGAGGGAGTAAAAAAGTGAGACATAGGCAACTTAAGTTTGCCTCAACCAAATGTTATGAATCTTATACACAATGCTTATTAGGGAGCTACCATTTGATTTTGATGGGGGGCTAGGATGAAAAATTTTGTCCTGCATTTTTTTTTAGTTGTAATCTCTGTCCTGCCTTTTATTTTTCACTCTATTCGGTCCGGCCTTTTTTTTTATTAGTTTATCCTGACTTTTTTTACATAAATTGTCATCCTGCCTTTTTTTTTGCAAAGTTGCTCATCCTGCCTTTTATTTTTACTCAAAACTCCTGTCCTGCCTTTTTTCTTCAAATTTCATCCTAGCCCCCCCTCCCCATAAAAATCAAATGGTAGCTCCCTTATCACAAAACACAGATCATTTTTGAATTTTTGGTGGCATCACTTTTACCTTTCTAGAGCTATGCCCCTTTACAAATGGAAAAATTGCTGAATGTTTCGTTTTAGTTCTGTAACTTAAGTTTGCCTCAACTAAATTTTATCACCCTTATACACAATGCTTATTACCACAAAACACAGATCAAGTTTGAATTTTGGTGGCATCACTTTTACCGTTCTAGAGTTATGCCCTTTACAAATGGAAAAATGCTGAATGTTTCGTTTTTGTTCTCTTACTTAAGTTTGCCTCAACCAAATGTTATGAAACTTATACACAATACTTATTACCACAAAACACAGATCAAGTATGAATTTGGGTAGCATCACTTTTATCGTACTTGAGTTATGTCCCTTTATAATGTTAAATGCAAGCGGGGGCATCATCTGTGTCCCATGGAAACATTTCCCATTTATTGTAATCTTAATTTCTCTCTGATAATGAGTAATAGGATAACTATATTTGGTATGTGCGTACCATGCTAGGTCCTCTTGCCTATCAGACAGTTTTCACTTGACCTCGACCTCATTTCATATATCAGTGAACAAGGTTAAGTTTTCGTGGTCAAGTCCATATCTCAGATACTATAAGCAATAGGTCTACTATATTTGGTGTATGAAATGATTGTAAGGTGTACATGTCCAACTGGCAGGTATCATCTGACCTTGACCTCATTTTCATGGTTTATTGGTCAATATAAAGTTTTCAAGTTTTGGTCTGTTTCTTGTATACTATAAGCAATAGGTCAACTATATTTGGTGTATGGAATTATTGTGAGATGTACAATTCTGGCTTGGTTTATTTGACCTTGACCTCATTTTCATTGATCATGTTAAGTTTATGTGATACTTATAGTCAAACTTTATATTTAGGACTATCAACATATGATCAATGGTCAGTAAAGCAGTCAAGATATTTCAGCATGTGCACTCTTGTTTATATGATTATAGATTCAGCTTTCCAATCTTTTTCTAGTTAAAAAACACAATGAATGCAAAGTGATTGCCAATAGTTAAAATGGATAAGGTGGACTGAAAATATCTGCATGAGCCTAACATCTGATTCTTCAAATTATTCTACTGCCATTTGTGTGTATCATTACGTTTTTTTGTACATAGAAAACTCTTTTAGGGGTGAAATTCAAATTACGATCAGTTCTATGCTTTTATGAGACTTTTTGCATAGAATCATATTGACTGCCATACATACCTTTGAGGTTTATTATGATTGTCAAATCAACAATGAATAAGCATTATCAACAATTTCAAAAGTTTTTTAAGACCTTGTTATGATATAAAATAAAAAGATTTGGTATATGATTGCCAATGAGCCACCTATCCACCAAAGACTTAAAGGACTAGGATATAAACAACTACAGCTCACTGTTCAGCCTTCAATAATGAGCAAAACCTATACTATATAGTAAGGCCTTGGAGTAATAAAATGTGAAACAATTTAAAAGAGAAAACTACTGCCTGATTAAGGTAATAACTTTATTTAAATGATTAAACTTGCTGGCTCTCGCCCAATATTGAATTTACTGACCTTGCAATATATACATATATGCATCTTACGATCCTTTACAACAGATAATTTAGCTAATCTGCAATCAATCCCATCTTCATGTCCAATATATCATGTACTGTGTTACAACTCTAGATTCTACTGACGAAGAAAGTTAACACTAGGCCACCGAAAGCTGAATTTTAGGTCAGTCTAGGTGGCCGAGTGGTCTAGCCTCAGCGCTTGACACAGTGTAGGCGGTGTTGTCACAATATCCCAATAGCATGAGTTTGAATACCGGCCTTTCACATATGCTATCATATAATAAAGCCATATTTCTCAATGTTATATTTCCATTCCTATATATTATACTCACCTAAAGAAAATCTTGATTGTTTCATGTCATTATGATATTGGTACAAATTCATTCCTAATAATGTCCTCAACAGAAAGATTTCAATACATTGAAAAAATAAAATTTAGACCATTCACAATCTTTTCATCAGTGATTTTCATCTCTTTGATATACTATTAAATCGATGATTTATACAAATAAAACTAAATTTGGAATGCATAGGGTGAGTTAATTTTCTCTCTTTTGTAGTAAAAGTTCAGGAACTATTTGTTTAGAAGTATTAAAGTATGAAAAACAACTTCTTGATAATCAGGTAAGTTTTATAGCATTTACGTATCTATGATATTTGTTTAGAAGAGTTTTGGCTGCGGTACTTAAATTTTTATCTTTCAACAACAAAACCAAAAATGTGCCTTAAATGAGAAAAATTTATTACATGTATATGTACATTACATATTAAAATTAAATGAAGGTATTGTTTTTAGCATTGTGATACATATTTTTGGTTTTCACTTTCATGAATACTGATAAGTTCATAATTTAAGAAATTGTGACCTTCATCATTTGGGCTCTGGTGGAGATAGAGTTGTCTCATTGCAATCATACCACATCTTTTTATTTGTTTATTTAACCCAATACATAATTTACTCAATTTTAATCAATAAAGCCAAAAATGACACGGACGTTCTATTTGCAGGATGTTGCATTCTTTTAAATCCTTAAACCAACATATATGATGGCAGAAGTCTAAATGCAAAATGAACTTGATTGTAAAACTATATATTGTCAGTTAGGCATAAAATATAGGTCAAAGTGACCTACTTTGCTTGAGACTGCAGTACTCATCAAGATTCATCCTTTCATCAAGTTATAAATTTTTAGGTCACTGTATTTGAGAAATGAGCTGAGACACAAAACATAATGTTATCAAATCCATTGACCTTTAAAATATAAGTCATATGACCTTTATCTTATAATACATGGCCAGTCTCCCCATGATGCAAATGTGCACCAAATTGTATGTAAATTTAAATTGTGTTTTGAAATGGGTGTATATATGCAGGTGCACACAGACATCTTGAGTTTCCTAGTAGTTATCCTCAAATTTGTTGAACTGAAGAAACAATATATATTCACTTGGCTGACATATCAAGATTTAAAAGTTGTATTTCATATTTTATACAGATTGCAAGTTTGAAAAATCAGTTAACAAAAGAACAATATCAAACATTAACCCATAAAAGTCAATTGCTACAACAGAAAACAGAAGAGCAACAAGGCAAACTAAAAACTGGTGGTAAAGAGGGACTGAAAGGTAAGATTAAAGTAAATGAGGATTCTGTCAACTTTTATGATACAAGAAAAGATAGGACCTCTATATTTGGTGTATGGAATGATTGTAAGGTGAACATAAAATTGAGAATGGAAATGGGGAATGTGTCAAAGAGACAACAACCCGACCAAAGAGCAGAAAACAG